CGACATATAAGTGTAGGAGAGCGAAGTAGAGCAACAAATGGGTTCGGCTCTACCATAGTGATACCAACCGAAAAAGTGCCAGTGTAAGTGAGGTTACCGGAGGCCCAAAACGTCCATCTCCAAATTCCCCAATTCTCAAATCCCTATCCCTTAAACGACGACAACGCACTTGCAACTCCACGAGTGTCGCATATGTCCACGGATGTCGCCAATTGCTTACCATCTCGTAATCCGTCTGCTAGTTTTCCACCTTATCCAATTTCCAAAAACTTCAGAGTAAAACTTTTACCACTGTATTTAAAATTCACCAACCCAACATGAAGGTCTATTGCTACACTGAACCTCTTTGACCTCCTCTTTCTGAGACAGGGATTAAAGATCACGATCACGATTAATTATCCTCCGATCCCTCAGCAAGAGCAGCACTTATTTATGTAGCTTCCAAGTCTCCCGGGAAGTCATTGAAATGATGATGATGATGCAGTCTCTGCTAATTTTTTGGTTCTTTGGCAGGGTTCACGGGTTTTTCCAGAAGAGTCCCTAGAGGAGTCGTGACCACGCCTTTGTGAGATAACACATATCAATGATATAATAGGCTAAACGAACTACAACAAGCCGTCAGACCGTGTACTCGTACATATGTACATAAACCCTTTGATATTAGGTGTACATTATAAATAGAAGTCTTACAAAAACAAAACACAACATTGCTTTCTATTTTGTTATTATCCAATGAAAGCACGGCTCGTCACGGGTTGAACGTAATTTCTGCAACACACTAGTAGGGATACCATCATGTTTTGTGGTTAAGAGGAGCTGTCTCATTTAATTTCATATGGAATACAATATGGAAATTATGGCAAATTACCCCTATGAAGAGGACAGTAGACGTTATCGTGTATATAAGTATTTCAATTTAAAACAGATCCTTGTTTTAAAAAATTAATAAAATTATTCAATGGTTAATTCTAATAATACACAAATCTTTGTCCAGTATAAAGCTAGTAGACATACTGAGCTTTTTATATTTATGAAAAATTTCCTATATTTACATTTCCTACATTTTTATTTCGTATAGCTAACTAATGTTTTATTTAAATCGACAATAAAGTCATTCGTTGGCAACAGAAATACAGAACAAAATCCTACATAATCAAAAATCATGCAACACCTACACTCGCGAATACCACGCTATAATTAAAAGTAAAAAAGTATTGCAGCATTATATAACAGTTATATACATGTGCTATATGTAACTCGTTAGTTAAATAACGAGAAATTATGAGGAATATTCATGAAAAACAAGAAATGCTATGTTACTGCACTTACGTCACTTGAATAATTGAATAATTCTGTTCACATACATTGGTACGAATTATGTCAAAGTGGAAAAAGTTTTCAATCTATTACCAGTAAGCAGTCGGCGCCGCCCATGGATACCCGCAATGCTAGGGGAGTAATGAGTGCGTTGCTAGGATTAGAGTCTTAGGAATTATGGGGAGAGAAGAAGGATTGGGCCTCCGGTGGTTGTTACACGCCGGTTTTCTGCGAGGCCTTGATATAAACTCCGGTCAAGCTAACCCATTCGTTCCGAAACGAGAGTGTACTAAGATTTCTCATCGATGAATTATGTGGTCAACAAAATAATTCTCGTACATTGGTTTCGTTTTGTTTCTAAAGTGATACCGATTATTGATACTGTCCTTGGCTAGGGGGCTGGTCATGCTTTGTTTGTCCTTGAAAACGATCACGATACTTCTTGCTCGACAATCATACTTGGCGACCCTTGACTTAGCCAATGAAGCAGTTTATTACCAACCAAAATTAACTGAACATTTACATCACTGAATGAACAACTTGCACATTACGTTTGCAATTATCGTGTCAGATAAAAAAAAATGTTCACTTGTTCGAAAAGTCGTTTTTAGTCTGTGCTTGTACATTTCTGTATGTTTTTCTTTTCACTTTCTACTGCATTTTTTATTAAGTGTAACTGTCAATTAGTGTTACAGAGTTCGGGTGTTTTCTCAGTTACAATTTTATTAAGAATTTAACTTATCTTTTTTCCTATCGTACTTTTGTTGACGTAGTAAATTTTATAAGGGTTTCATAATCGTTTTTGCGGTTAATTAGTTTAAAATAATTACGTTACGCATAAGTAAATAAGTGTGAACATTTGTAAGTATAAATGGATGGGTGAATGGCTATTTTTTACACTTTCACTTTAAAACTACTGAACTGATCTGAATGAAATTTGGTACAGAGATTAACTATCGCTTGGAATAACATATAGGCTACATTTTACTCTAGTACCACGGGTGAAGCTGACAGAAAGTAGTCATTAGTGACGACAAGGTTAGATGGTTTTTTTTGTCAAACATTTCTGTCTCTCTCTTCCAACAAAAGAAGAGTGGTTCAGCTGGATATCTGTATGTTTTAAAAGTGATTCTCTTGTTTGATAATGCAATATTGAAAGTGATATTGCAAAAATATAAGGATTTTAACTCAAATTCTATTTTTACAGTAGCATAATTTTCATGGATGCTTGCACTTAAGGTTTTTTGACGACTTTCGTAATAAAACCCGTTATATACAGTTTTTTAATTAGCACAATCACGATAAACAGCATTTAATTATTTTCAGACAATTTATTAAAGGCTTATTAGCATAATATGTTTGGCTAGCTCGTATGAAAAGTGGTTATTAGCACGAATTCTAAGCAAAGTTTCAAAGGTTCGATTATGACTATAACAACATTTCAACTACTTTAGAACCTTATTAAAGTTTTGATAAATAAATATGATACTCATTAATTAAATATTATAAAAAAAAAATTACATACAAACTTAAATATGAAATAACTACTGAAATGTTATGAAAACCCAAAAAGGTCAATTTCAGTGTCAAGACTGCTTCCAAATCAACGAGGCAGTCGCAATTGACAGAAGGAAATACAAAGTATTATATTGTCCTGTATCAAAGCGATAGGTATTAGTAGCATTACGAAGTGAAACCTGCGCCGGCGCATGCAGTGAACGAAAGCGTTCGTTATTAAACCACGGGCTTCTGCTGATACCGTGTGGTACATAGATGTATCAGACTATGGATGTGATCAAAACAAAAAAAAGTTAAGAGGTACTTATCAAACAATTACGCCTTTTGAACAAAAGTGTAGGAGAGGCCCACCACATATGGAGACCATTAGGGCCAATGTCCAGCTTTTTTGCGAGAGGAAAAATCATCAAATGACTTGTCCCGCAGAAGGGAGTTCCTTTTCCTGCTCTGGACTGAGGCCTCGGTGCCTCATTTTGCAAGCCCCGCAACCGCAAAGTTTTAACATTAAATTTAGTGCCCGTAGATCAAACGAAATTAATCTCTTCGCTCTACAAATTTACAAAAACAATATATCTTTCTATAACCCTTTGACCAGGATGGCTCGTCAATATAATGAAATGGCAAAGAGCAATCACAAACTTTTTGACATATTTAATTACAGCATTAATAAATTCATCTCAGATATAAAAGGCATTCTCCATTGTCGATCTGGTGTGGATTCTTCAGGCCCGGGAAACTGTGCCTGAGGGATCTTAACATATCATCCCATATTTTTGTTGAGAGGCAACAGTGTTGACACACGTCACTTTATGTTTTCTAGTTTCTACTTCTTATTTCTTTTTCTCCCTTTTTGAGCTTTTTTAATATTTAAAACTTGTAATTTTGCAGTATGCACATAGTGTTACGTTACTATCTAGATCAAAACCTTTAGTTTTTAAGCTAATAATATTTGATTGTAATGTGTTTTGTGCATGAAATAAATAAATAAATAAATAAAAAAAAAAAAAAAACCGCAACTGAACATCAGTATAGCCATATCTGAACATCAGTATAGCCATATAGGGCTTCGTCTTTAGTGGTCTGTTGGCTCTTTGAGGCGCGCGGAACACTACGCGCCGTACACTCAGGTGTGGTTCTGGTCGTCAGAGGTGTCGCCTACTGCAGCGGCTGGGGCGTTGGTTGTGAGGCTCATGTAATAGGAGGTATCTAGAGGCGTTTTGCGGCCTTTTGATGGGCCAGCTCGACCAGAATCACAAAAACCTGGTGTGAAACAAAACTTGCGCTGTATTTCACCGTGCCAGTGAGATTACCCGAGTCCTCGAATCCTTAACATTCGTGACCCGTATCCTTGTTAAATCTGCACAATTCCAAAATAAAATATCGAAAAATCCCCTATGTAAGTTTGCCCAACCAACCTGTTAAATGTAAATCAACACCCAGACCTCTTGTTTGGAAGAGAAACAGACAAACAGATAGAGAAGCGATAATAAAACCTAGCTTCTTCTGATTATTTTACATCTTTGTTGATAAGTTTCACTTGCAAAGTGCATCAGGGTGTAATATTAGATCGTAAATTGGAAAATCGACCACAATCTGTGGCTTATGCGACGTTACTTGTTACTGTGATCGCTAATAGATGCGGAAAAATATCGTATTAATTTAATATCGCACGCTTCTCATTCCTTAGGAAGCAAATAAGAGTAGTTTAGTGCTTACCGACATTTCCCTCTTTCTCTAAATATACATAATATATAATAATTTGAGAAGCGATTTTTAAAACCGTAATAATACTTGGCTCCTAAATTCTGAAAAATAAAGTCATTCCACTTGATATTCTTTTGCTTCATACAAAAGACATCAACGAGTTGCTATTATAACAGCGCCTCTAGCGGCCAAATATGATACCTGAGCATTGCCATCTAGTATCGAATAGTTGAAACTTTTTGCGTTTCTTTACAAGTTGTTGATAAGAAAACTGATATTTTACTGTTTAAATTGCATTTCATATTTCCAAAAACATTTTGAATTAACTATTTCATGCAATCTTTTAATACAATAAACTAATTGCAATAGTAAATTAAATGTTATTAGCTTTAACAACATAAAATTTATAGAAAGAGATAATTGCTATTGCTATGCGCAATTGTGCGTAAAACGAAAAGTATCAATAATTTGTCACTGTTGTCATAACAAATTATATTTTGTGTTTTGGTCGAAAGAATTCCCTTTATAATCAGTTAATATCGCAATTTCATAACAGAAAACTATGTCTGAAACTGTAAAAACGAATAAAAATGAAGACACGGTCAATAACAACACAACCACTGAACAAAAACCAGCAGACGACAGTCAAATTAAATTGAACAACAAATTAAAAGAAAAACTTCGAAAATATATCAAAAAGTTGGATGGTAAGATATATCTTTACTATATAAATCATATAACTTTACCGTAACTATGTTTTTTTGTATATATATTCTGTATTGCATATATATTTTTTGTATTTTCCGAATACTAACTAAAACTTCATAATACATTTGTAAGCCACTAGGCAAGACAAAGCGCTCTGCTACCAAAAGTATTAGGACCTGTAATCCTTCACCTATGTTACCAACAAATAAATATTAAGGTAATGATCATATTTGAGAAGCTGGTATATTATTTATTCCTGGACATTGTTTTTAAGCCTAGCTCATGTTAAAATTTGTGACACTTCACCAATCAGTAATTAGATTGTGTTGTCTATAACTCTGGGAAATAATTAACATATGTATTAATATATTTACAAAGACCAGCTGTTATGTTATTAGTCTTAAGTAATCCAATGTCAGTCTCCTATATATAATGTAAGACACATTGGCCACAATTCCAGACTGTACTAATTATCCTCAATTAAGTTACAAAACAACATTATCTATGCTTTAATTCTATTAGGCACAACCGTTTTTAAGTGGAGTAAGAAACAGAGACTATAACAATAATTATTTAACATTTCAATTGTGGTAATTCAAGACAAAATAGAAGAACAATAGGTGCGCAAACACCTTTTATTTAGATGAATTAATGTAAACATCAACCTTAGTCAAGTGTAGAAATACCCTAATTGAAAGATTTTCCTATCATACAAAGCTAATCCACAAATCTGTCATCTACCACAACAGGTTTATAGATTACCAGATATACACCATCAATTACAGATTGATGATGTGGAAAAAAGGAAAACATTGTCAAGAAACTTTGATTTTATATAATTATAATTTTATATCCATACTAATATTATAAATGTCAAAGTAACTCTGTCTGTCTTTCTGTCTGTCCCTTCTTCACGCCTAAACTACTAAACCGACACTTTCTACAGACATAGTTTAGAACTCGAGAAAGGACATAGGATAGTTTTATAGCAAAAATCTGCAGGATGTCACAATTCCATGCGAACAGAGTTGCGGGCTAGTATTTAATATTTAATATATCTAATATAAGTTTATAATCATGGATCTGCCATCAGTAATTCTGCTTGAACATTCTACATGTGAGAAAAGGCCTAGTTTGTGCCTAACAGTGGGCACTTATAGGCAGATAATATGTGTTGAAATGAAACATCTTCAATTGAATTTCTAACAACTTATTCACCTCCACAGAAACAGGCACAAGCATAACGAAAGAAGAAAGCATAAAATTAGAAGTTGACACATTCAAACAGTTATATAAACCCAAATTAGCCGGGAAGGAGGACTCGTACAAGCATATACCAAAATTCTACTTCAAGTTACCGAAACCTGATGACACCCTCGCTCAGAAGCTAAGAGAGGAGACCAGAGCCCAGTTCCTACAGAAGAAGAGCAAAGAATTGCTTGACAATAGTGAACTGAAGCATCTATGGAGTTTGCTAGAGAAGACCAATGGGAGTTACAATGTGACTAACAATGATGAGCTGATCATTGACTATTTCCAGTTTAAGAAGATTAGGGATGAAGCGGGCCCTAAGTATAAGTAAGTGGTTCAGTTATTCGTTTAATTACTGTGCTGTAGGAATGTCGAAGCAATGTTTGATCAGAGATGGAGTCCTGCAATGCTGCCCATTGACACTTTTAGTATTTTATTTGGGGTTTAAGGATAGGAGATTTAGGGATTAAGGATGGGGGTGAGTTTTGGGTCTCCGGTAACCTCACTCACACGGCGAAACACATCGTAAGTGTTGGTTCACGCTGGTTTTATGTGAGGCCGTGGTATTGCTTTGGTCAAGCCGGCTCATGAAGCATAGCTCTCCTACAATAAAGGTGGTGTCGAGAAATGCCTTTTAAAGAATAGTTTTAGTGTACTGTAGACCCGTACTTATGGTTTTTCAGGCCGTATTTTACAGCTGAAGTATTCGGTCGGCTGCAAGCGGCCGAGGGTGGCGTCGGTCGCGTACGAGCAGTGTCACTATTCAACTACGTGATGCGAAGAGTCTGGCTCCAGCAGACTAGGATCGGACTCTCCTTGTACGACGTTACCGGGCAAGGATACTTGACAGAACATGTGAGTTGTATTTGTAATTATTGAGTATTGGAAATATAGTTTTGTTTTTAGAAGCATGTAATCTATTCCGAACCGATCTGCATGAAATTTGGTACATAGTGGGGAAGATAGATTACTGTCTGAAATAACGCATATGCTTCTTTTTTTTCCTTTTTTATTTTTGGTACTTATATTTTATCTTAAATTGGCTAAAAAATGCTATAATTAAGTAGGTACTGGTACAGGTAGGATTAGGAGGTATAGGTGATATATTATCAAATCAATCAATGGCAGTAAGTATATTTATTTTAAAATATTATCGAATACTGGTTATCTATCTGAAGAAGGATCAAGTTAAAATAATTTTGACTGAGAAAACATCCCAATTAACCATTAAGAGTGCTATTAAGGCCCCCCATTTTCAATGAACAAGTTGGACTAACTTATCTAATAAATATTTTTGTTCCCAGGACTTAGAAAGCTACATAGCAGAGCTAGTACCATCCCTCGCGGCGCTCGATGGGCTGGACTCTTCCTTTAGCTCCTTCTACGTGTGCACCGCTGCAAGAAAATTCCTGTTCTTCCTCGATCCATTGCGCGTGGGCAGGGTGCGGATAAGAGACGTGTTGTCCTGCTCTTTCCTGGATGATTTGTTGGAGGTGAGAAAGAGATGATATATTTGAAAACACTGCTTCATTGATAGATAATTCTATTTTGAGATTTTAAAAGAGTCTGTATGTTTTTAAATAAAATACATAATTGAATGAACATATCCAAGGTATGTAATACAAATACAAAATGAACGAGTACAGCAATTCTCATAAGCGATATGTTGATCTACATTTTTAAATTACATTATTATGTATTTTATTTGAAACCAAAATTCAAATCGCCCTCCGATCTATCTGATATTATTTCCTAATATACTATCTGATAATATGAAGAAACTAAGCAGTAATAATAATCATCTTCATCATCAGCCGGAAGATGTCCACTGCTGGACAAAGGCCTCCCCCTTAGCTCTCCACGTCGATCGACAAGTTGCCACCTGCATCCATTGGCTCCCCGTGACCTTCGTCGGTACATCGAGGGGTTGGAACAGTTTGCCGGCTGCAGTCTTTCCGTCCGAATATAATTTAGGTGTCTTCAAGGCTAGAGTGAATAGGCTCTTAATAAACTAGGGCGCCTTACCATCAACGATTGCATCACTGCTTACCATCAGGTGGGATCGCAGTCAAGCACTAGTTTATTTAAAAAAACCTAGCGGGAGGCCTGCCCACGCTACGTTTTCCGGTCCTTGGTCGCTACTGGAGTATTTTAAAAATAAAAATAATTATTATTATTCCAGCTCCGCGAAGAAGACTTGCCGATGGAGATCCAAGAACAGAACTGGTTCAGCGCTGCCTCAGCCCTTCGCGTGTACGGACAATATCTCAACTTGGACAGGGATCACAATGGCATGCTCAGCATCAACGAGCTGGCTGGGTGAGATCTTACTGCATTCATTTATTTAGACTTTATATTCAGACAACAGCAGGAGAACCTACTCAATCTCAATTTTTTTCATAGGGTTTTCGACTGTATATCAAAACATTAAAGTGGAAAGTCTTCTAATGCATTATCGCAAACAAACAGGCGGATCACCTGATCGTAAGTAATCGGCGCCACCCATGTACGGGTATCCTACACCAATCCTCGTATGTAGTGGTTGTGCCCTACACGACTGGGGGCATAGGGAATCCTCAAATCCCTCCAAACTTGGAGCATAGGGATTCCTCAAATCCCTTACTTCTAGAAGGCAACAAACGCAGTCGCATTTAGGGATTCCTCAAATCCCTTACTTCCAGAAGGCAACAAACGCAGTCGCATTTCCTCTGGTGTTGTCAGCGTCTATGGGTGGCGCGAATTGCTTACCATCAGGTGATCCACCTGCTCTTTTATCGACATAGGGTCGGTTAAACATTTTTTTTTTCTAAAAAACGTTGCCCCACATTATGATTTTCTCCTGTGTCGTGGGTGCGGTTACAAACATACAATTTCACATACACATGACACCCAGACCCGGAACAACAATTTGTGGGTCACTCAAAGATTTGTTCCGTGCGGGAATCGAACCCGCGACACGTTGCACGGCAGCCAGTTGCCCAGCCACCGCACCAACCGTGCTTTCAATACCCTATAAAAATCTAACTGAGTTACCGATGAACAAATACACTTTTGTTTTCATTTTTAGTAGTGACTACTCGATCTAAATAAACAAAACAATTGACTTTGAACCCTATTGCCTTCCAGATACGGTTCAGGCACGTTAACCCGGGCGTTTTTGCAGCGCGTCTTCCAACAATGCCTAACTTACGATGGAGAGATGGATTACAAGACCTATCTAGATTTAGTTTTAGCGCTAGAAAACAGGAAGCAGCCGGCCGCCCTAGCGTACCTGTTCAGGGTCCTTGATATCAACTGTGTCGGTTACTTGGATGCTTTCACGTTGAATTATTTTTTTAAGGTGAGTTTTCAATCTGGTTTTATAAGGATACTAGCAGATCCAGCCACGCGTTGCTGTGGCTAAGGTTCTTGTCATCTATACTAATCTATGTAATCTATACTAATATTATAAAGAGGTAAAATTTGTAAGTTTGTATGTAGGGGGTAATCTTTGGAACCGCTGGTCGGATTTCCAAAATTCTTTCACTAATAGATAGCTACAATGGTCCTGAGTGCTATAGGCTATAAAACATCACGCTACGATCAAATGGAGCCGAGCAGCGGGTGAAACCGCGTGAGAGTAGCTAGTATATACATATGGACAAATAATTTGCAATAAAATCATATTGTGACTATAAATTGAGATGTAAGCTATCCTATCTTTAAAGTTGGATCAAAATGCACACGGAATGCAAATCAAATTTAAAATCGGTTTAGTAGTTTAGGAGTCCATCGTGGACAAACACGTGATACGAAATTTTTATATGTATTTTGTTTGTGTTACCACCTTAGGTACTTATCGGAGTTTTTTGTGGAGGGAAATCATCAAATGACTTCTCTTTTTTCGCTCAGGGTATGGCAAGAAGGAGTGTCAGACTCTTACTGACTAAAATCCACCGCGTCTCCTGCTCCAGGCCGAGGCCAGTAACTTTTTGTGTTTGACCCGCGACTTCGTCTAAGTATTGGCCATATTGGGCCCCATCTGTACTTATCAGGGTTGTAAGCTGAATAATGCACGGGGAAAAAGGAAAAACCACCCAGTTGGAGGTTTTTAGTCAGTAAGCTTCTGAAACTCCCTCTCGACGAAGACTTTAGCTGATTTTACGGCTTAAAGAAAATACTTTCGTTCAGCGATCTGATGGTTTACTATTTTTTTTTTATATTTATGTTATTTGTATACTTATACAAATTCAGTTACTGCAGATTCTCGTTTGGATTAAACGGGAATCTGCAGTGCCAAAATTTCTGTATTTGTTTTCCATTTTACTTTATGTGTATTGTGCATAAATAATATGTAAATAAATAGACTAACCAATCCGAATCTCCAACAGGCAATACAAGAACAAATGATAGCCCACGGCGCGGAACCTGTCAATTTCGACGATGTAAAAGACGAAATCTTCGACATGATCCGTCCAGAAGACCCGACAAGGATCACCCTTCAGGATCTGATCCGCAGCGGACATGGTCACACTGCTGTATCAATATTGCTGGAGTTGCAAGGATTCTGGGCCTATGAGAACAGGGAGGCCTTAGCTGCAGCCGGAGACCATGCCTGACAAAGTGGGCAGCGTCTCCAATTCAATGGGGATAGGTTCAAAATATAAACTCTTTGGTGTTTTGAAACAATGTTTGTATATTTGTTTGTGACGAACTTGAAAACTGCTGAGTGATTTTTCGTGAGGTTTGTTCTAATAGATAATAATTAAGTTTTAAGACTGCAAAAAGTGTAGATGGGTCTGGAGGGATATTAGTCTAAAAAAGAAAATAAAATGCGGTACACTTAAATCTGCTATAAATTAGCTTCTATAAAAATATAATATTTCAATTGTGTGCCTCTCCATTGTACTCTCTACTCCATGAATTATCGGTACTGATGTTATCTAGATTTGATCGTGGTGGAGAAGTTCACATATATTGTTTTTCACTTTACACTCCTTCTTAAAAGGCCGGCACCGCGCCTGTAACTACTCTGGTGATGCGCTCGCTCGCGCTAGCTCGTTTGCCTCATATTACATAAAAATAAAATATCAGTTTTATATTAAGTACGACGTCGTCGTGACGTGATATTTTTTTTCTACTCCTATTATATTTCTCTTGAATTGTCTAAAACAAGAATGTCAACTATATAGTAATATTTTTAATGAACGTGTTATTATTATTTATAGATTTCTTAGAAGTGAAAATAATCTTATTGGCCGAGAAAACATTGTTAATGCCAATTGTATATGTAATTATATTTATTTTTTTACTGAGGAAACTGACCAGTTATACATGTACTTATATGGTATATGGGTGCTTATTGTAAATAAAGGGGTGTGTTTAAAATTTGTGTCTTTTAAGACAATTAATATCTATTTAACTGAAATTGTATTTTTAGAAATGAAACACAAGATCGGATAATAATAATTATTAGTTTTAATATAACATTTGAAAATACATAATTAATAACATTTTATATAAAAAATGAAATAACAACATGATTTTCTTTGTAAATACAAACAATAATAAATATTTATTTTATAAATACTTGGTTTTTCATTTATTATTGTACTTGATTATCTCATTAAAGCTTATTTCTAAATTGAAAATATAACTCGACTGCCAAGCATGAGGTACAGAATCGACTCGGACCCGGGTCGAAAAGACATATAGGTTTAGATTTTCAAAATTAATAGCAACTCGGAATCTAGCTATATATAAAACTATAATATTGAATTTCGGCACACTTATCTATTATATTTCATGGCTTATGTTTATATTACCACCAGATATAACAAAATTAGACAAAAATAGTAAACGCAAGATTAAAACCCGGTTTCTGAAAGGCTTGTCAACGCTAAAATTCACCAATCTCCTGTTAAATCTCTCGTCAAGTCATCTGATTGGTTGTTGATAATTCAGTCAACCAATCAGATGACTTGACAAGAGATTAAATTGATTTTAACATTGATCGGCCTTTCGGAAACCGGGTGTCAGACTGCATTATAATGTAAAAATATCATCTTAAAGATATGAAATCTTGTTATCTTTTTTAAGGAAAATTGCTCTATAAAATAATTTGAATTACTTTATGGTAGTCATTTTACTTAAACCCTCATTCTAGCAATGTTAAAAAAGAGTCTACTTGTGACCACGACCTGTGCAACTTCAAGCCCACCCATAATTATTTTTCGCGTTAATTCCCGCATAATTATATGTTGTAAATGTTAAAAAAATTAAGTTCTCGTAAGTAAGGATGTCTTTAAGGAACTTACAATACAATACTTCATGAAATTGAATTTCGGTTGACTATGTGGAAGATATTTTTAAAGAAAACTTTGCCTCATACCGTTCATGGACCATGTACCCACGGCACTCATACCCGAAACAACAATTTGTGGATCACACAGAATTGTTCTATCGAATTCACGACACGTTAAATGGCAGCCGGTTTCCCAGCCAACACGTCAACCGAGTAATCAATTGAAAAATATCCAACTGCCAATGTGTAATATTTATCTACAGTAAATATTTTAAATGCATTTGTAATACATAATATGAAAAGTTATTTTGATCTTTGTACTAATTAGATTAAGGCATGTTTTCCTTTGTTTTATTTACACAGACTCCTGCGCAGCTCTGTATTCGTAGACGCTGCCTCTTTCAAGGAAGGCGCTAGGTTTGTTTCCCTCTTGATCTGTGTTCGAAGCGTCTGAGGCTGGTCCATAGCCACCGCCTCCGGGAGAATTCATTATGTATTTGTCCTGAAAAAGTAAATTAGCATATAAATTTAAAAGGTTTTCAGGAAGATTTCTGACGAAATAATCTGTGCCTTTACATAAACTCACTAATTGGGATTTTCTCCTCTTTCATGGATGCGTACAAACATAAAACTTTACATGTACATCACAATATAATTTGTAGAACACACAAGGAGTCTGTTTGTTTCTCCGGTTCATTCATTGGAATAGCTGAACTGTACTTGACCGCACTATGCAAAAAGGACTAACTTAGGCTACTTTCATTTTAGTAAAAGTCAGTTCAGTGACCAAGAAAAACATTCAGATGCGGGTCAAAGATTTCTTTAAAAGTATTTTTATCTCAGAGGAATAGTGCGATGGTATAAACTAGTTTATAAACATTATTATAACTTACCCCAGGGAAGGCCTGTACAGAAGCTTTGCCTCCCAAATTGATGAGTCGTCCGTCGACGCGTTGTAACAGGTTCAAACCACGCGCGCCCGCCTCGCCTCCTGTAACACAAAATAATAAGTAGATTATTGATAGACGTTTATTTTTATAAACGTGCAGAAGTGCCTGTAAGGGTCTAATTGAAATAAATGATTTTGACTTTGTCAATGTTAAAACAATTCTATGCTCATGCTTCATCACGAATGGGTCGGCTCGACCGGAGTGATACCACAGCCTCACAGAAAACCGGCGTGACACAACCAGTGCGTTGTTTCGCCATGTGAGTGAGGTTACCGGAGGAGTATACTTTTTATGTTTAAGCTTTGTCGTTCAAAAGTTCCTTTAATGAAACTATTTGCTCGTTCCAAAGTGTTGATTCCAATGGAGAAGAACGAACAAGAAATTTTATGGTAACTCTTTTTACCCGACTGCCAAAGAAGGAGGGTAATGTTTTTCGAGTGTATGTAAGTATGTATGTATGTCTTTTCCTTTGTGACCTCCTGTAGCCTAAACGGCTTGATGGATTTTGATGTATGAGGTATCGTTAGATTTGTCTTGATTACGGGAGTGTCATAGGATACATTTTATCCTAAAAGTCCCACGGGATAAAGACATAATAATATTTTTTCTAAATTTCCCTTTAAAAAAATATGTATGCGGTATCATTAGATTCATTTCAATCACGGGAGTAATTTATATAGGATACGTTTTTTCTCAAAATTCCCACGGGAACATGTTAATTCTGCGTCAACGCAAAGCAACTCATGCGTTAGCAAGCAAAAAGATAGGGCGTGGCCTGGCATGCGGCGCGCGGCGCGGTGCGGATATGTTGCGGAGTAACATCACTCGTAATCTAAAGCCAAATGTCGTCGAAATAATTTAAAATGGTACTTACATATACATAGTCTTCTACATCTACAACATTTTCGTTAAATAAAAACAGCTAAAAAGTTATAAATAAAAAAATTATTATTAAAAAAACAAAATACCCGACTGCACACTAAAAAAAGAGTAAAACAAGCCCCACAATACAAATTTACTGAATATAATTTATAAATGTTGATGGAAAGCATCGTAGGCGGGGACCACCTTGACCGCCACCAACGAAAATTCTGCTAAATGGTGCACAACAGAAATGACTATAAATAAGCCTCTGTTGGTCCCCGCCTGCGATGCTTTCCATCAACATTTATAAATTATATTCAGTAAATTTGTATTGTGGGGCTTGTTTTACTCTTTTTTTAGTGTGCAGTCGGGTATTTTGTTTTTTTAATAATAATTTTTTTTTAAATCAGTACTCACCATTCATCCCGTACGGTTGGAAGGAGCGTCTCTCAGTGAGTACTGACAGCTGCACAGCTCGACGGAACACCAATTCTCTGATCACACCATCACCCCCCCTCCAACGACCTGGAGACGACGTAAAACGTCCTTATACAGTATAAAACAAAGTCGCTTTCTCTGTCCCTATATCCCTTTGATACTTAACCACGTGTAGGTAGCCTGGAGGTTAAGGCGCCCGCTTATCTTACATGAAAGACTAAGTACCAAAGTGACTTTTCGCGAGTTATAATATGTGTACTTTTTAGATTACTTAGACACCACTGACATACGGTTTAGGAAAGACTAGACTTATAATTACAAACTACAAGTTTAAATTCGCCAACCCGCCTTGAGCGAGCGTGGTTATTAATGCTCAAACCTTCTCCTTGTGAGAAGAGGTCTTTGCTCAGCAGCGAGTTATTATAAGCTGATGATAAAGAACGAGTTTCTTTGAGGGCCTTCGTTAATTGTTCATTTACTGAACTTTTTTTACCAATAAAAATGTACAAGGATAGTCAGAATGCCACGGGTATTCTTCTTAGGTACCTAAAATATCTAAAACTCAATTTTTTTATAAAAGGAAGTAAGGACATCCTTGCGAAGCTGAAGCGGGTCGCTACTATATTATATAATGTCAAAGATCTTTTTTTAAATGGAACCATCCTGCCACATCCTCTCAAAACCGCTGCAACTCCTGTAAGCCAGGATCTACATCTACAACCATGATAACACCAGAACACTGAAGTCCGGCGCGTCCCAGGGACATGAATGACTGTCTTGGATCCCACAAGTCCCGAAATAAATCAGAAGATATTATTTGAGAAAAAGAAAAAACTAAATAGTTTGCACTTCCTTCGGTAAATTTAATGCAGGAGGCAGAATGACTTAGGCTTTAAAGGCACAGAAGAGACTGTACACTTGGGAGAAGCCCAGTCACCAAACACCATGGATTTTGTATTGTAATTGTAATGGGACCTATGTGTGAGCTGCTATGGTTGCTGTATATGTCAAAGATATATAAATCACAAAGAATGAAGCCCATGGTTCATACCTCTGCCTCCAGATCCAGGTCTGAGAGAGAACCTGGTGACGAGCATGGGGTACCGTCGCTCCACGATCTCGACGTCCGTGATGCGAGTGTTCGTCATGTGGGTGTGCACTCCTCCTGAACCGTGCCAACCCGGACCCTGGAGGATTAGTTAGTTGGCAATATTATAAGGCGTTGTAGTGGACAGATGATTTTGAATTTATAAGTATTCACACTTACAAAAGATAGCGTGAGAATTTATATAAATAAATATAAAATACTAGCTATTGTCGCGCGGTTTCACCCGCTGCTCGGCTCCATTTGATCATAGCGTGTTGTTTTATATAGCCTAAAGCATTCGGGAACATGAACTCCTGAACAGTGCTAAAGATTACCCCCAACACATAAACTTTCAAATTTTACCTCTTTATAATATTTGTGTAGATAGTAAAGAAAAAGTTTCAATTTATAGAATTATGATATTGGATAATCAGCCCTTAGTTAAAAACTTAAACAATTGAACGCTAAATATATGGTTAATAGTCACCATTCACTCGCGTAATTCTTGTGGAACATCATTCGTTGATTGTGATTATATTATTTAAAGCTGATTTTTGAATAATCAGATAAATGTTATCTGAGGAATAAAATTGTTGCTGTCTCGGTCTTATACAAACATATAACGGTATACATTATGTGGTGTTTATACATTCAGTCAACAAAGTATCGGGAATGAATGTTTTTTTTATGGTTCCAAATTCGAATTTTAATTTTTTTTGTTGTTGTTAGATTGGCATAACTGTTTTCCATTTTGGCGCGGAATTTGAGTTGCATCTGTTATTTATATTAAAAACAGTGCTGTTTTTAGTTTTATAATATCTAGTGTGTATTGCGAATTTCATAATGGATAAAAACATCGAACAAAGAGTTTGTCTTAAATTTTGCATCGCCAATGAAATTTCGTGTTCGGAGGCACTCAAAATGTTACAGAAGGCTTACGGTGAATCGACTTTATCAAAAACACGTGCTTATGAGTGGTATAAAGCGTTCAAAAGCGGTCGAGATGTGATGGAAGATTTGCCTCGTTCTGGTAGGCCATCAACGTCTGCAACTGAAGTTAACATCGCAAAAGTGAAGGAAATAGTGACTGAAAATCCTCATTCAAGTTTGAGAGAGATGGCCGCCGAACCGTACCATTTTAACAAATAATTTGGGTATGAAACGTGTTGCCGCTCGACTAGTCCCAAAAGACCTGAATTTTCTTCAAAAACTAAATCGCATGAAAGTCGCTGAGGACATGCTAGAACGAGTCAATACCGACCCAACATTCATGAAACGCATTGTTACTGGTGACGAGACGTGGGTTTACGAGTTTGACATGCAAACTAGTCAACAAGCTTCGGAATGGCGCCTTCCAACTGAACCAAAACCGAAAAACCACGTCAAAGTCGATCAAAAGTCAAAGTCATGTTGACTGTTTTCTTTGACTATCGCGGTGTTGTGCACTCAGAATTCTTGCCCGAAGGTCAAACGGTAAATAAAGAATATTATTTGAGCGTTATGCGGCGTTTAAGAGAACAAATTCGACGAAAAAGGCCAGAAATGTGGAAAGAAAATGCTTGGATTTTGCATCACGATAATGCGCCTTCGCACAAGGCCATCATTGTAAACGATTTTTTGTCCAAACACTCAACAAACACCATCGAGCAGCCACCATATTCACCAGATATGGCTCCAGCCGACTTCTTTCTTTTTCCCACACTCAAATTACCCCTTCGTGGCACCCGTTTTCAATCGTTAGAAGACATAAAGGAGAATTCGCGGCGAGCACTGAACTCAATTCCGGAAACAGCGTTTAAAAAAAGTTTCGATGATTGGATTATTCGTTGGCGTAAGTGTATCGTTTCTGTAGGAGCATACTTTGAAGGTGATAAAATAAATTTAGATGAATAACAAACATTTTGTGTATTATTGACTTTTTCCCGGTACTTTCTTGACAGAGTAGTATACTATATTGTGTTTATATATTATGTATTGATATATCTTTGCTGTAGTTTAATAGTTAGTTTATTAATTCTTGTTGTTTTTCTTTTTTCCTAATTTTGTTTACAGTCAGTCTACATAATGGTTTATTCTAACTCTTCCATAACGGGCCTGCTGGAAGAGATTTCTGAAGATATAAGCTGTGCCTTTGTACCTAATTGTTGTATTATTTTTCTTGTCCAACTTACTGTGTACATAAATTATTAAATAAATCAATAAATACCAAGCTCCACAAACTTGATTTTATGACTCAGATAGCTTGTCGTCTATAATATAGATACCTAGTAATATAGTATACTCACAGCCCCGCTTCCTCCAGCGACAGTTTCATAGTACCCCCAGTCTTCCTCACCCAGTGTCAGGTTGTTCATACAACCTTGAGAAGCTGCACAGACCTAGAATAAATAAACATTATAAAAAAAAATCTTACTACATTAGTATTATACAGAAGAAATTGTGGGTCTAATTACAGTTCGAAATATTTAGTTTTTTTTATGAGCTTATCATATGTTTATGACCATCCTATACAAAAAAAGCCTTAGACTAGAATTAAGTCATGTGTCGTGAGTGCATTTTCAAACATTCGATTCGATTCGATTTCACATAAACATTACAAACCAACACACCAACACAAATCTACAATGATTAATTGCAGGGGCATTTTTCTTACAGCTAGTAAATTGATAATCTACGTATATTTATTTATATTTGAACAAACCTGGAATGCTTTGAGCACGACATCGACAATACGTTGAGAAGTAAGCACGTTGCCTCCGACGACGGCCGCGTCATCTGACGGGTCCAGGATGGAACCTTCCGGGATTATCACCTTCACTGGGTTCAGGCAGCCCTGGAATAGTAATAGGGGTGTCAGACAATCAATATTAATATACAATTGTATATAACTATTTATCACAACATAGTATAAAACAAAGTCGCTTTCTCTGTCCCTGTATCCCTATGTATGCTTAAATCTTTAAAACTAAGCAAGGGATTTTGTTGCTGTTTTTTTTAATGGATAGAGTGATTGGAGAGGTAGGTTTATATGTATAAAACCATCCAATAAATAGTAGAGAAATTCTGTATCAGCATTGCAGCCATGATACCCGGGGATGTCAGGGGCAAGGGCCATAGCATTTCCATAGATATCACGTCTACTAATCCATAGCAACCCATACCACAATACACACCCATATCACAAAAGTCCTGCATCAACCGGTGATTGTCCTTGAGTGCACTTTCACAACTAAATAGTTCCCAAGGTCAAAAATAAATTAATTCGACCTTTGAATACAAAAAAATATTGAAAAATAACTATACTTTTATTCATCGATCGATCACTACACTAAGTTTTAGATATTTTATAGCTAATTATTAAGAAATAAGTAAGGTATTTGACGCAAAAATACTATGACGTCATACTTCAGTTTTTCATACAAATTTTATAGAAAAGTATCGTTTTTGACATTTGGATAAAAGTATTGAATTCACTAGTTGAAAACTACCGTATTACTGGAGTCAAGGATATTTGTCGACTGATGTCCCATTTTACTAATATTAAAGTTGTTCAAAGGGCCTCTGCGAGTTGGCTTCGGTCCCTCGTATGCCTTCCAAAGGTCCGGGGCTCTGTGGTGCCGTGAATGGAAGCGAACATAGAAAATAATAATAAATAGTTACCTGGTTGAGTGGTACATCGTGGCCGACCATACAGCGCAGACAGTATATGAGGGCGGACAGGGTGATGGCGCGCGGGGCGTTCAAGTTGCCCCATACTTCTACACCTGTACCCCTACGATATAAATAAATAAATGGAAATCATTTTACTTTATGTTTCATTTATAATTTATTTCAGCATATGAAAATAAATGTAAGTTGTAAATTCTTGCAGAGAGTTTATTTATCTCTGAACATCCATATAGTAGAAACCCATTTAGTGTGAACCCAGTGTCGAACTATCGAATTTTTCAGACTATAGAGTACTGCTTAACACCCCCTTCCCCTAAAACCCGTTTTTTTTATTGACAAATTACCTACAAATCTTTTATTTATATTTAATCTTATAATGAGTAAATTTTTTAATGTCATAAATTGTAGCATGGCCTACGCTGTATTCCTACATATTTATAAAGACATAGAAATGAATTGTGATACTGATTGAAAAAAAGTAATCGTGGAGTTCCTTGCTCTAGTTTTTCTCTAACATAATCTACACTTTTTAATTGATTTTTAATTGGGAGAACCATGCTTCGGCACGAATTCGCCTTTTAAGTAAAGTTACCCGTTAGAAATTGGGTAATGCTAACTTTAAAACTTTCGCGTTTCATGTTAACAACATATAATTGCGGGTATAAAAGTCAAGCCCTCCAAGGTATTTAAATAAAAAGTACTTTTCGCGTTAATACCCTCGTAATTAATGTTGGTAATTAGGTAGTGATTCTGCAAGCCCTAAATTTTTAAAACCCCAATCACTAACAATTCATCTATATAGCATTATCTATCTATCTACGTATCTAATACGTTAGAAAATAATCATAAGGGTTCTTGACTGACTACTAGACCATAATAGTTTAACTTTTTATGGGATTGATATTTGTCAACACTCTATAATAATAAATACTTACGTAAAGTCACAGATGGCGCTGCCCTCTTTCTCGTCGAGAGTGACGGTGAGGTTTATGGGAGTGCCATTGTCCATGTACTCCGTCGCTTGCAGGACTGTGGAACCGGTCTTTGATAGCGCGTTGCGAGCTATCTCCTGCACATAGTATTTTATTTAGACATTTTTTTTCGTAAGTGGAAAATCTTTTCCCGCCTAGGGTCGTGCGGGAGGGAGTGTCAGAGCCTTACTGACTAAAAATCCCCCTGTTCCTAATATATACATGTAACATAACAAATCCCAACAACGCCCGAGCGCACGACGCGTCATACCATCGATACGTCATACCGGGCGTGGCCTCCCCGCAGCGGCTGCCCCCACCGTGCGCCGCCCCTGCCGGCCGGCGACTATAAAACACGGCCCCCGCCGTGTGCGCAGCCAGTGTTCACTGCGCTCTCGGACCGCTCCAACCTTTCTGGTGATAGCACCGAGAACCAGTCTTACGCTAGCACACGCACGTGGATCCACTCTCTGTACTGTTCTAGTTTATAGTATAATTATTGTTATTGTTTGCATATAATTAATAAACTACGTTCTGTCGAAAATTGTGTTGGTTCGTTTAAACATTGTTACACACACTTTTTTATGTAAGAAAACCTTACTTCAACTCGAATAGGCCGGCTCGACCAGAGTTATACCACGGCCTCACAGAAAACCGGCGTGATGGAACGCTTACTTTATGAGAGTGCGATTACCCCGGAGATCTAATTCCCCAACCCTCCAAGCTAGACTCATAACTTCTAAATCTTCGATGAGCAACGCTGTTTGCTTATCATTCGTCTCCGTCACGACGGGCTGACACCCCTTTTGGGGGGGGGGCGTAAATCATCAAATAAAATATCAAACTTCTAGATACTCTTGACAGACCACTCCGTTCCTTCTCCTGGCCGCGGTATTTGGGCCCCATAAAAAACTGAGTGGAATATTAGACCTGAAGCAGGTTATGTTTTTATTAAGCTTTATATTTAGTAATGGATGGCAAGCGTTTCCTCTATCACACCTGGTGGTAAGCGGTGATGCGACCTACGATGGAGCACGCCTATAAGCAACCTATTCACGCGGGCCTTGTAGACACCCAGGTTATATATACCCTTTGGGGAACACAGACTCTGGCAAAGCATTCCACTTTTTCGCGAATAAAGTGGGATGTGAACCGCTTCGTGCGTCTTGAAATTATGAAATTAAAATATTACCTGATAGTCTTAGTTGTCTTAATATAAGTCAAAGTCAAAATCATTTATTCCAACTGAACCATAAATAGGTACCTATTTTTGAAACGTCAAAATAGAAAAGTAGTCTGTCAGTGTCTGTCAATTATAATTAGGTATATTTAAGTGTAGGAAAGTCATGCTTCGGCACGAATGGGTCGGCTCAACCGGAGTGATACCACGGCAGTGAAAACAGGCGTGAAAAAACCACAGGGTTGTGTTTCGCCGTGTGAATGAGCTAAACGGAGGCCCAATCCTTCCCTTCCTCCGATCCTTAAATCTCCAAATCCCTAATCCCTAAAAGGTCGGCAACGCATTCGTAACTCCTCCGTTGCGGGTGTCCATGAGCGGTGCTGATTGCTTACCATCAGGTAATCTGTCTGCTCGTTTGCCCAACTATTACATAAAAAAAATATTACCTTGAGCATATCCCTGACGGCAAGCTCGGCGTTGTTCTGTATATGTGACATATAAGCCTGCGTCACATCCAGCCCGTACTCGCTGATCAGCTCGCCAACCAACTGGATACCCTGCCACAATAACATATAGGTAGCTATGATACGAAATCGTCATAGTAGGCTACGGAGGATTCGAGATCTTTTTTTGTGAGGTGAAAATCATGAAATAGCTTCTTCCGCCCAGGGTGGGGCGGGGGGGAAAGTTAGACTGTTTTTGTTTTGTCACGAGAAAATCATTAAATGGACTCTCCCGACCAGGGTAAGGTGAGAAAGAGTCAGACTACTTATTAAGAACCTCGTTCCTTCTCCTGCTCTGGGCCGAGGGCGCAGTGACACATTGCGCTTACCCCGCAACCCCGGCTGAACATCAGCCTTTTAGGGCCCCGTCTGTGGCGGTCTATTGGCTCTTTGAGGCGCGCGCGGAACGCTACGCGCCGTACGCTCGGGCCTGGTTCTGGTCGGGCAGCGAGCTACCCTTACTCGCCGACCGCAGGCCCGTGCTTACGGTGGCAGGAGATCATCTCTCGGTCACTCTTACTGACTAAAACCCCTCGTTCCTTCTCCTGCTCTAGGCCGAGGCCGCGGAGACTCATTGCGCTTATCCCGAGGATTCGAAACCTGATATTGGTATTTCCAATGTGCCAAAAATCAAGAACCTTTAATAATACCAATATATATTGTCTTAGCTTAGGTACTTATAAGTAAGAAATAAGTATATCAACGTACCCTTTGATTAGCAGCGACTTGTGCTTTCAAATCTGATAAGTTATCCGCTAAGTTCCTAGTGCCAGAACATCCAGGAACTTTTCCTGGCTTCATTAATTCTGTTTAAAAGAAATAATAACATTAGTTAAAGAGAGCAAAGTCTACTGAACATATATGTAATTGTATGACTTAACTAGGTTCTGCGCGTGGTACAGTACGACCGACGTATCTTGACGAGTCTGAAGTTAGCCGTTTGTCTGCGCAATGGATCTTTTAGGAACAAAATTGTGTACTACGCAGCTAATCGGCTAACTTCAGAGTCGCCAAGATACGTTGACGGTATTGTAGGTTGATCAAAAGAAGCCTATGTCTTATTCCAGAATGTATCATATGCCTGTGCCAAATTTCGTCCAGGCGTTTTGGCGCCACTGAGTAACAAACATCCAAACATCGTAACGTTCACATTTATAATATTAGTAAGATATATTTCCATAATCTTTCTAACAGAAAAATTGCGCAAATGATTACTTATAGGACCCTAACCGAACTTATACTACGGCCTCACAGAAAACCGGCGTGAAACTTTTATTTTTCCGTGTTGGTGCAAATATTCGAGCTCCAATCCCCTTCCCCTATCCCTAAATCCCCAAAGAGTGGCAAAGCAAATGTACCTAACTTGCCTGCCATTTTATTACCATCAGCTGCTTTAAACACATACCTTGAGTAAGCAGTTCCTCATTGAAGCGTCCATCTTGGACGAGGAGCGTGGACTTGAACGCGGCCCCCTCCTGCGTCAGGCTGACGGAGTGGGGCGGCATGGAGCCCGGCGTGAGGCCGCCGATGTCCGCGTGGTGCCCGCGGGACGCCACGTAGAATACTGGCTTGGGCTGTGACCTATGGAAGGTGGTTTTTGGAGGGGAAAATCATCAAATGACCTCACCCGCCCAGGGCACGAGGGAGTGTCAGACTCTTACTGACTTAAAACCCTTCTGCACAGGGCCGAGGTCGCGGTGCCCCATTACGTTTGCCCCGCAACCTCAAATAAAATCTTCTGATTTATTTCGTTTCGGGATCCAAGACATTCATTCATGTTCCTGGGACGCGCCGGACTTCAGTGTTCTGATGTTTTCATGGTTGTATCTACTGTAGATCCTGGTGCACAGGGGGGGTTGCAGCAGTTTTGGGAGGTTGCGGCGGGCTTGTCCCATTGTCCCGCAAGCCCGGCTGAACGTCAAACCTATAGGGCCCGACTGTGGTGGTCTTTGGGATCTTTGAGACGCGCAGGGAACGCTACGCACCGTACGCTCAAGTGAGAAAGGCTGTGGATTAGTATTTAGTGACTGTGCTTTTTAAGTGTGGGAGAGCCATGCTTCGGCACGAATGGCTCGACCGGAGTGATACCACGACCTCACAGAAAACCGGCGTGAAATAACCACTGCGTTGTGTTTCGTTGTGAGTGAGGTTACCGGAGGCCCAATCCTTCCCCTTCGCTAATCCCTACTCAATCCCTAAATCTCCAAATCCCTAATCCCTAAAAGGTCGGCAACGCACTCGTAACTCCTCCGTTGCGAGTATCCATGGGCGGCGCTGATTGCTTACCATCAGGTAATCCGTCTGCTCGTTTGCCGAACTAATACATAAAAAAAAGAATGCGTTTTGTTAAAGTGAACTACAGATGTTGCTTATCAACAATTTAACGAAACTGTTTTAACTGGTTAACACTTTCTATTCACACTTTTGTAAGGATTAAAACGAGTATACTGAGGTGAAATAAACTGGGTATAAATAATAACCTTACCGTAACATCATTTTTTCGTCGTTTGGCCCCTAAGTTGGAACGGTCTGGGGCCGCGCTCAAGCGGCTCCTTCCCAACCTCGGGGGGCCAAACGCCTCCTGCCGGAGGTTGTATATGGGGATTGTGCGATCCATGGCCCTCTACGGTGCCCCTGTGTGGGCGCCGGACTTGAAGCGGCGGCCGGCTCGTACGCTGGTCGCGTCCCAGAGGATCATGGCTATACGAGTAATCCGCGGGTATCGCACGATCTCCGGGGAGGCGGCGAACCTCCTTGCCGGATCACCGCCATGGGATCTAGAAGCGAAGGCGCTCGCGCGCGTCTACAGTTTGCGCGCAGACGCGCGTCGCCGGGGCGAAGATCCTCTGCCGCGCCAAATTAGTGCGTGGCGGAATGAGCTCCGGCGAGATCTCATGGCAGAGTGGAAACAACGACTGTCGCAACCGAGGGCCGGGCACGCTACCATAGCAGCGGTAAGACCCCTCTTTGAGGAGTGGCTTGGGAGACGCCACGGCGTCCTCACCTTCCGTCTGACGCAGGTGCTTACCGGGCACGGCAGCTTCGATAGGTTCCTGTTTCGGATTCAGCGGGAGGAAACGCCCGAGTGTCGTCATTGTGAGGACCACCTAGAGGATACGGTGGAGCATACGGTAGCGGTACGCCCTGTCTGGGCTGAGCACCGCCGTATCCTCAGGGAAGTGATCGGCGGCGGCGACCTCTCGCGCCCGGGCTTAGTCGAGGCCATGGTGCGGAGTGAGAGGAACTGGGACGCCGTCTCCTCCTTTTGTGAAGCAGTCATGCTCGCAAAGAGAGAGGCGGCCCGCGTGAGGGAGCAATCCTCCTCCTCACGCCCCAGCAGCCGCAACTGGCGACACTACGGGCGTCGGGGATCGAGGGACGATCTCCGGCCACCGTAAGTACGGGCCTGCGGTCGGCAAGTAAGGGCAGCTCGCCGCCCGACCAGAACCAGGCCCGAGCGTACGGCGCGTAGCGTTCCGCGCGCGCCTCAAAGAGCCAATAGACCACCACAGTCGGGGCCCTAAAGGGCTGATGTTTAGCCGGGGTTGCGGGGTAAGCGCAATGAGGCACCGCGACCTCGGCCCAGAGCAGGAGAAGGAACAGGGGGGTTTTTAGTCAGTAAGAGTCTGACACTCCCTCCTGCCCGGCCCTGGGCGGGAGAAGTCATTTGATGATTTTCCCCTCACAAAAAAAAAAAAAACCGTAACATCATTAAGGAAAAATATTTGAAAAAATAATCTCTCCTTACCTTCCATTCTTGAACTATTTTGAGACACACAATCTTATTATGAAAGCGATCCGTTGCGATAGATACAGGGTAAGTTAAATCAAAACACAAGTGTAGCAACTGACACATGTTAGTATGTCTAGCAAAGTAAAAACGCAGAAGAGGTAACGACGGGTTTAGTCAGTAAGAGTCTGACATTCCCTCCCGCCGCACCCTGGGCGGGAGAAGTCATTTGATGATTTTCCCCTCGCAAGGTACCCGAAGTGACTGGGCAACCGGCTGATATGCAACCCGTCGCGGGCTCGATTCCCGCCAGGGAAGAATTGTTTTTGTGATCCACAAATTGTTGTTCCGGGTCTGGATGTGATGTAGTGATGGTGCGTATATGAAATTTTATCTTTGCCCACCCGGGAGGAAATTTTAGTGCACAATGATTTTAATTTAAAATCTAAATTAGCAGTTTCAAAATCATAGTAATACTTACGGCCAAAACACAGGCGTGATGACGGTCAGGTCCGGTAGATGTGAGCCGCCAGCCTTCGGGTGGTTCGCGAGGTAGATCTCACCGGGCTTCATTGAGTCACCGCGTACTTTCATCTATGTAGAATAAAATTACATCTTACTTATTATTATAAATGCGAAAGTTACGATGTTTGGATGTTTGTTACTCAATCACGCCAAAACGGCTGAATGGATCTGGATGAAATTTGGTACACGCATAGGATACACTCCGGAATAAGACATAGGCTACTTTTTATCAAAATACCACGCGGGCCAAGCCGCGGGCGGAAGTTGGTTTTCAATAAGTATGTTGTGATTGACCTTCGAAATTTGGTCAAAGAAAAGAAGAAAGAAAGGAAAAACATTTATTTGAGAAAACAGTATCTGAAACCAATCTGGTTTTTTTTTAAATAGTGCAAGTATACTAAGTATTTTTAACAATAAATGCGTCAGCAATGGTATTAACTCCTCCGTCGTGGGTGCGTCTCCTAAGTGATATTAATCGTCAGGGAAGAATCAATCCCGCGATTAAGGCGTAGAAAAGTAAATTTATTGAAAATAACGACTGCATTTATTTCTCACTAGAACTTAATACAGTTGGCGACGCCACGCAGCTCATAATTGAGAACCCCGTTGCCACTCGAAACTAGTACAGATTTCTCAATTATTTTGACAATTTCTAAAAAGTGTTGGATTTGAAATCTTGGCAAGTAGCCGATTGAGCACTTTACTAGGACAAAAACGAATCGAATCGACGTTTCAATACAATAAAATATCGAAAAATAACTAAATATTTCGATATTTTTTAAGAAGCTAGTCAGCTATTTGACGCAAAAAATCTATGATGCCATACTTTGAAACTTCATAAGTTTCATAGAAAAGTATCGTTTATGACACTACTAACTACTGTAATATTGTTTTTATGGTTACCTGGTATTGCACAGTTTCCTGCATGGCCCCCAAATGCACGGGAATGTGGGGGGCGTTGGACACGAGCCCCCCGTCCGCACCGAACAGCGCGCACGAGAAGTCCAACCGCTCCTTTATGTTCACTGATATCGATGTACGTTGTAGCACCCTGTACATATACAAACATCATCTTCCTTATGTGATAAACGAGCAGACGGATTACCTGATGGTAAGCAATCAGCGCCTTTAATGGGCACCCGCAATCTAAAATCTATAAGGAATAAATGAATAAGGAGTTTTGGGGATTTATGTATTAAGAGGGTGAAAGATAGGGCCGTCAGTAACCTCAATTACACGGCGAAACACAACGCTGTGGTTTTTTCACACTGGTTTACTGTGAGGTCTTGAAGGAGGAGGAAATATATGACTTTATGAAGAATATATTTCTTTTCTTTTGGAGTTATAGCTAATTAGTTTAATTACCCAATGAATAATGGCTTGAATGACTTGCCGTTTTATCTTAACTTGGGCACTTATAAGCTGATTAGGATGAGTGTGTAGAGAAAATATTTACGAGTATATCAAAATCCTGTTAATATTATAAATGTGCATGTTTGTGAGAATGTACGGATGTATGTTTGTTATTCTTTTACATAAAAACGGCTGGACCGATTTGGTTTAAATTGGTATGTATGTATGTATGATTAACACATAGGCCGATTTAATCAACACACCACGCGAGCGAAGCCGCCGGAGGAAGCTAGTTACTCTTGAAATAAAAATACAATTGTTCTCACCTTCCCATCTGCTCAGCAATGGACATGAACCGATGGCTGAATATGCTAAGCTGTATGGAGTCCAGCTCCGTAGTGATACGCTTCGGCGCCCCCGAACCTATAACTATGCGGATATCTCCCAGCTCCGTAATTTCTGCACGACAGTCTGGAATAGAAGGAAAATAATTATAACTAAAACGTATAAGCGTCTAATTAGCGCGGGCTTTTCGTACAAACTTTCAAGTCACCTATTTTCACAAAACTTCGATCACAAATACGAAACAACATAATGGAAGCTACCGTTTTTTTTCATAGATGACGCTAGTTTGGATTTATCACCTTTCGACCAATGGGGTGTTAGCTGGCGTCATGCTATTGGACGTTCAATATTTGAGAGCTACAGTGATTGGATAAAATGAGCTCTTGCTAAATTTAAGCCATCTCACATCGAATCGTCAGAATACCTACTGCTGAGCAAAGGCATTAATCACTGCGTCTGCTTAAGGCGGATTGGCAATTTCAGACTTATAACTAGAAATTACAAGTCCAGGTTTCCTCACGATGTTTTCCTTCACCGTATGTCAGTGGTGTCTTAATAATCATTGAAAGTACATATAACTCCGACTCATATTGGTACCCGGTATTGAACCCACGCCTTCATGCATGATAAGCAGGCGACTTAACCTTAACCTCCGGGCCATCAGGACATCTGGCGAGTAAAAATATAATAGCCTACATTCTGCTGCAACGAACCTGGTTCCACAACAATGGTGGACAGTCCATCCATGATGATGGCCGGTCCGGGCACCACCTGTTCCGGCTTCAGCTTCTCCAGCAAGTATATGAGGGTATCTTGGTAACCACCTTCGAAATATACTTTTGTACTCTGTAACATTTCATTGAAACAGAATGGTTTAAAGTCAGTAAGAATGTGGATTTCCTTAAGACCCTGGGTAAGCCAGGAGTGGGTGAGACAGATCACCCTTAGCCACGGTAAAAGAAGTCAATTTCCACAAATTTTTCGGGTCTGGGTGTAATGTGTAAGTAAAATTGTATGTTTGTAAACGCACCCACGACACAGGAGAAATTCCAAGCGCGGGACAAAAAAAAGTTTTTCACCAGTCAAAAAAATAGCATAGATGGCGCTACTTTAGCTTTAAAGATCTTGGCAAATAACAAAGGTACCTCCGGCCAACTATTCAAAATTAGTTTTGACGATTATTTTTTGCGAATCTCACTTACTCACTTAAAGTCTTCCAATTTGCCAATATTGCCATTCTAATTTTATTTCATAATAAAAACATCAATAAAAACATTCTCGGAACTCGACAAACCGATAGAAAAATATTGGAAACGGTCAACGGTCAAGGAAAATTAGGATTTATTTTTATACAAATAGCATTTTCATTATAATCAAATAAATAAACAAAACTTACTTTTTCAGGAACAGGTGTACTACCCTTGCCAGAGGGCGGTGGTATTTCCTTGGGCACAGCACTCATACCCACAGCTCGTACTCTGACGTCATCCACTATAATGTCACGCTCATTTAGTTTGAAACCAAACTCGCTTTGATACCTGAAATAAAGATATTTTTTTTAAGAAGCGAAAGTACTAATAGTTACTGTTGCTTTGGCACGAATGAGTTGGCTCTATCGGAGTGATACCACGACCTCAGAGAATCGACAAGAAACAACCACAGCGTTGTGTTCCACCGTGTGAGTGAGGTTACTGGAGGCCCAATCCGTCTTCTACTCCAATTCTCTTCCAATCCTCCCCAATCCCTAAATCTCTGACAGTAAGATTAATAGATAGATAAGATTTAGGCCAACAATGCACTCGTTACTCCTCTGGGATTTTTTTGTGAGGAGAAATCATCAAATGACTTCTCCCGCCCAGAATCGAGCGGGTATGAGTGTCAGACTCTTACTGACTAACCATCCTCCTCCACCTCCTGTTACCTCTCCTGCTCTGGGCCAAGACCGCGGTGCCTCATTGCGCTTATCCTACATCCCCGACTGAACATCAGCCCTATAGGGCCCCATCTGTGGTTGTCTACTGGCTCTTTGACGCGCTCGCGGAACGCTACGCGCCGTCCGCTCGGGTCTGGTTCTGGTCGGGCGGCGAGTTAATTAACTTCCTGACATACCTATTAATGAAGGCAGTATAGAAGTCCCCATGCCTGCAGGCGGTGGCCGACTGTCCAGGTAGAGGGGCAACCATGAGCGCACAGTCGGTACCCGCGTACCGCAGGTGGAGGTACGGCTCCGTGTGGATCTGTGACTCCGGGATACCCTGAAGACATCAATTATTTGTATTCATGTCTTCATTATATAAGTGCCTATTGCTAAAGGCCTCTTCCCACAAGGAGAAAGTTTGATACCTAATATTAGTCAGCTAAATAGAAAGATCAAGTACTATACAGTATAAAGACAAATCTCTGAAAAAAAGTATATCGCGAGATATTAATTCAGATGGCTTTATAAATCTATCTTAATAAACCCAAAATAGTTATATATTCCGTCTTTAGATGCTAATGTACAATATGGGATAAAAAAATATAACGATTAAATAAAATCGACGCAGCAGATGGCGCTGCGATCGTTTTAAGTCCACCAAAATACCTGTTTCTTCAGCTTGTCCTTGGCGACGGCTGCCAGTAGATCGAGCTGGTCGTCTAGCTGCTTGAAGTGGTTGGGGTTGTATACTGCTGCAGCTGGAGCCTGTTCCTCTTGGACTATGTGGGCCAGAGCCATGCCGTAGGCGGATAGGATTCCTGGGGGCAAAAGTATTGGAGTTAAGTGTAGGAGATCCATGCTTTGATACGAAAGGAGTAAAACCACGGCCTCACGGAAAAAATCCCCAATCCCTAAATCTCCAAAACCCTAATCCCTAAAATCCGGCAACATCTCTGGTGTTACAGGTGCAGCGCCGATTGCTTACCATCATAAAAAAGTAAATCAAGAAACTTTTACGTTGAAATCAGTCAACGATATATTCGTCTTTAATGGGTCGATGAAAATTGGTATAAAACAGTTATTATCAAGATTTTCAACAGAATTTTAATGAAACTGATCAACTGACAAAACGCTTTTTGACATCAGTTTTATTAAAATTCTGTATGTTTCTTTAAGAAATCAGTTCTCAAAGTCTAATGGCCAAAATTAATCCCAAATTGATATGAGATAGCGATCTCATATCAATTTGTTTTTATTAGTTTACTTATGGTTTAAAATCAATTGTACTATACTCAACACTCAATATTTATCTGTATTTCACAATGTAAATAAATAAAATATACATAATTTCAGAGCATTATCGACACTGACGGGCACAGCAAGATACGTTATACATAAGCTAACATATAATATATAATTAGTCATAAGGAACTTACCAGCATATTTATGTATAAGTACGGTAGAGATCCCGAGTTGCCTGGCGACGCTGCAGGCGTGCTGCCCCCCCGCGCCGCCGAAGCAAGCTAACGCGTGTTGAGACGCGTCATGACCTCGAGCTGTTGTCAAAGCCCTAAAATATGATAAATACAATATTTCCGTAAAAAAAAATTCATTCTATAACTAGATTCAAAAAAACTCCTTTAAAGGTTGACTGCATCCCCACCTGATGGTAAGCATTGAAGCAATCGTTGATGGTAAGGTGCACTAGTTTATTAAGAGCCTATTCACTCTAGCCTTGAAGATACTTAAAACATAACTGGACAGGAAGACCGTTGCAAGCTATTCCAATCATTATATGGTCAAACAATAAAATAATTTCATGATAACATTAACTTAATCATTAATTTTAAAAACTATTCAGAATACACATTGATATTGATTGTGTGTGTGTGGAATTGTGACTTTAAGCCGACCAAAGAAAAAAAAACACGACTACATACCTACCTGTACCATATACCACACACCTGACATACCATACCACCGAATACCTTACCATACTACAAGACCAGTTACCTTCCACAATGACCAACGTTTTGACGAAGAATATTGTTTCTGGCAGAGACAAAAACGCAAACTGTCTTTCTCAAGACAATTGATTTCTTGTTTCTTGATAGTAGAAGCAAATAGTTATGGTATCTAGTGTTGTAGTATTCGGTGGTATAGGTAAGGTTTATGGTATATGGTTCGGAATATGGTACGGGTAGGTATGTAGTCGTGATGTGCAGCTACAGAAATAAAAAAGTATATATATGTACCTGATAGGTCTACACATGGCTTCGTTGGCAACATTTATGAATCCCATAGCAACTTCCTCCATTGTCATCTGGGGAAATTAAAATAGATATTACATTATTCAAGACTAATATGTCCTCTCGATGCTTTGTTCACGTTATAGTATTAATATATTTTGCAATTAACAGATTTAATCAGTTCATATTCACAGTATTATATAACCACTGTTTTCCGTTACATGTGTTACAAATCCACCAAAATATAATATAGCAAAGATAAACTAATGTTTACAGCTTTTTTCATCAGCATTTAATTTCATCAGCAATCAGCATTCAGCATTTAATGAAAAATAATCATAATTCCTTTTTAAGATGACGCAAGAGAATTCTCTACTTATATTTCGTTAGTTATTTAAGTATACTATTTAACAAAAACTAATTAATTAGGTAATGATATCATTACCTACGTGTTATTTCATACAATTTTCGTAGGAAATTGTCGTTTAAGAAATTTCAGTAGAAGTGCTGAATTTGACTAGCTAGAAAGTATCCTATTTAACACACCTAAAGCGTATAAGTAGCCCCCCTTACTATCCCAACTCACCTCCTTCCCACCATCCTGCCTCAAGAAGCTGTTGATCTCATCCGTCATCTTCTTGAATGCTGACACCGTCGCCTCTCTATCCAGAGGTTCGTTCTCAGACTTACCGAAGATCTTTGGGAAGTATTCGGGCAGAAGGCGACCTGATAATGTTAAAATGTAGTTTAAAAAAATGAATTTGTGGAATTTGCTTAGTGATATTTTGATAATGATAGGATAAAATCCTACTTAGCGAATGCGGGTAACACTAGCCCTACGCCAGGTCTCTAGATCAGAGCTGTCAGAGAGAGAAAACTGTTTTCATGCGCTTCTGTACTGTCGATTTTCAAATTATATGTCTATTCATTAATATCGCATATTCTTCAAAACCCTAATCCCTAAAAAAAAGGTCGGCAACGCACTCGTAACTCCTCCGCTGCCGCTCCGTCCATGGGCGGCGCTGATTGCTTACCATTAGGTAATCCGTCTGCTCGTTTGACGATCTCTTACTTAAAAAAAAAAAAAGGTAATGTTGACATAACTCAGAAATAATAATATTAGGACGGACAATATTCATTAGAAATACAATATATACAGCGTAATGATTCATATCACGTTCTCTCTTTATCTCTGTTGTTTTTTCTCTCTCTCTCTCTCTTTCCTCCTTTTCTTTTTCGTTCCATCTCTCTTCAACAATCATTATTATCTTATAAACACAACTACTTACCGAGTAACAAATTAGCATCAGTAACAGTGAGCGGGCCTCCCTTCCTATAGCAGGCAGGACCGGGCTCTGCGCCCGCAGACTCGGGTCCCGCCACGAACAGACCAGAGCGGAACATCAGCATGGACCCACCGCCCGCCGCTACCGTGTTTATATCTGAGAAACATATTGTACTATCCTTAGATGGTAGCTTCTTACAAACGAATGCTTATTTAGGGACTAGAGAGTAAAAGTTCCCTAAGATTGAAATAAAAGATCGTCGGGCCAGAAGAAGTGCTGCCTGGCTATATTACCCAATGCTCTTAATGTGGACTTTTCTATCCATGCAAATATATGCACATACTTCACTTGCGCTATATAGTATTTTGAACCGTCATCCGTCGATTAGGTTCATCGATCAATAACTATATGTAACGCCACAATCACAAATCATCAAAATCTAAGTAATTAAAAACAACTTAGTAATATAGGTACTCAGTCAAAACAATTAAATACTATTGGAGACTAGAATTGCATCTGTAAATCTAGACGAGATTTGAAAATCCAACCTTAGGCACTATCGCATATTTATTGGAGAGACATGACTTATTATTACTGATGAACAATTTAACTGATGAAATAATATGGTACTAAAACTAAACGTTAATGAATTAAATGAATAATAAAAAGGACTTCGAACTCTTCTCCTCCGCCCATCCCTCCCCAATCCTTAAATCCCCAAAATGCCGTTGCAATTCCAATAGTATTGCGGCTTACTATCAGGTAAACCGTAACACGTTCGTTCGGCAAATAATAAAAAGTTTTAAAAAGGAGTTACCTAGTTGCGGTGCTTGTATAGTGACTCCAGCAGTGGTAGCTTCGTGGACATGTTCCAACGAGCCGGCGTATCTAGACACGTCCGTCGAAGTACCACCCATGTCGAAACCTAGTCCGAAACAAAAAAAAACAATATCTATAAATATAAAAAAATTAAAACTTAACTGTAGTTTTTTTCTTTAATACTGGCTGAATACACGTTAATATTTAGCATAAGTTCAATTGATTACACTGTCCGGCAGGGCTACTACCATGAAGCGGAAGGAGCTACACACCATTTATAGCTCCATCCCTCTTTCTCGCCTGATAGATTAAAGAAGAACACGTCATGGTAGGCCTTCTGTTCTGCTCTAGCAGAAATAATATTTTCGAAAAAACATTTTAAAAATATTACCGGGTAAGTTCGGGTTACTTTGACCCTGCGAGGTAACTTTGATCCAAACGCTTTAACCAATAATAACTGAGAACCAAACATATATTCGTTTTTCATTGGTTCGAAAATTTGGATCAAAGTGGTAAATACTTAAAAGCGTAGAAAGCGCTGAGTGTTGGCAAAAAAGAATTACTAACAAAACAACCACTCATCATCATCTTCCTGCCCTTGTCCCGTTTGATTTGGGGTCGGCGCAATATGATTTTTTCTTTCATTCTGTCCTGCCAATCGTCACGCTATCGCTAGCTCCTCTGTCTTTCATATCATTTCTCACACAATCCATCCATATTATACTTTGGTCTCCCTCACCCTCTCCATCCATCCACATTCATACTCATGGCTTTTTTGTAACATGCGTTTCATCTCTCCTTTTCACATGGCCATACCAAGACAAACGGTTTCCTAAACTAAACAACCACTAAATCTTCTAAATAGCTTACCGATAACTGGGAGCCCGGTTTCCTTTTGATAAGCTGTCATGGCGTATCCAACAACGCCTCCTGCAGGCCCGGAGAGAATAGCTCTTGAGCCGTTGAACCTAAGAATAACAATGACACGGATATTATCATTTTTTGTGATACTTGATATTACATAACCTTATATACTTAGAAATCGGGATTACGGGTGCAAGCAAGTATAATGATGTACAGCAGTAACGCCCTTGAGCGGGAGAAGGAACGGGACGGTTTTAAGTCAGTAAGAGTCTGACACTTCCTCTCCACTGAGTGGGGCTATTTGCACTCCCAAAAAAAAAGCGATGGCTGGGCAACATGTCTGTAATACAATGTGTACTGGTTTCGACACACACACACACACACACACACACACACACACACACACACACACACGAAACAACTGTCATTGTGATCCACAAATTGTTGTTTCGTATCTGGGTGTGACGTAAAAATATGAATTTGTATATTTTTTTTATGTAATAGATCGGCAAACGAGCAGACAAATTACCTGATGGTAAGCAATCAGCGCCGCTCATGGACGAGTGTGTTGCCGACCTTTTAGGGATTAGGGTTTGAGGAGGCATTGGGGGAGGGGAAGGTTTGGGCCCCCGGTAACCTCACTCCGGTGCGTTTTCAAATGTGGGAGATCTGAAGTGTGGGAGAGCCATGCTTCGGCACAAATGGGTTGTTTATCGCCGGTTTTCTGTGAGGCCGTGGTATCACTCCGGTCGAGCCAACCCATTTGTGCCGAAGCATGGCTCTCCCACACTTCAGATCTCCCACATTTGAAAACGCACCCACGGCAAAGGAGATAATCTTAGGATGGGACAATGCTTTTTTTATTACAAACTACACAAAACTTTCTAAAAAGAAACCCAATAACAGACAATAGCTAATTCCCGCCTCTCCTATACCATATAAACGAAAGGGTTAGTTAAGGGATTAAAACGAACTATAATAATATAAAAACTCACATATTCATTGGAGTGAGTCCACCATCAGATTGCATGAAAAGCACATTAGCGTCTTTGAGTCCTCCGGAGAATCCGTCAGCAAACCCTCTCACATACTCCCGGATGTGAGGAGTTAGGTATGCATCAGCTGATGCTGTGAAACCTCGCGGTACTATGCGGACCATTGATGTGATTGCGTGGGATAGGGATACTTGCTTGAAGCCTGAAAGACGGAAATATTTTTTATCCTGTGTTGTCAATGAATTATCAAAAACTTTATTGAATGCTTTTTATCCTTACTAAAACAAATGCTTGTGTTAAAATTAAATGGTAAATACTTGCAACAAAGATGGCGCTGGTATCCATTATGGCAAAATTTACTAGTCGTCTGAATATGATCTTACAAAATGTCTAGAAAGTTGCTTATGGTTGCGAAAAAAGTTCCTATATTATGATAGGATTAGAAAAAAAACGAAAGAAATGTCAAAGTCATAATATAAGGGACACCAATCTATGTTATTCTATTGGAAAATAACAAATTTTAAAGGTCTATAGGTCAAAAACTGTTTCAGAACAACAGTTCTTGTATATGTATATACCACCATCAGCATCACCGTATAAGTGCTCTGTGCTGAGCATAGGCATCTTCTTACACGGAGAAGCTTTGTGCATTAAATAATTTATCATTTGATCAAATACCTTTATTTGTTTGAGCTGTAGGAATTACTGCTTTTTTATTATCATTAACCACAACGCTTGCTCAAGGTGCATTGGTGATTTAAAACTTATAATTAGAAAATACATTCAATTTTTCCTAGATACCGTAGACGTACTTTCTAGTACTTTACTTTAGTTGAATAGTTAACAAATGTTAATTAAACACTACATACAACAGTTAAAAAATCAATCAGTCAACTAGCAATCTCTGATAAATAATCGTACGAAGAAAAGAAATCGTTTATTCTTCACCGTAGATTTATTGATATGATGATAAATTTTTTTGCAATATGTTAGTAGAATGTTAGTATGTTAGAAGAAATTTAAAGTGGAAAATTGGCTTGCTTGGACAGGGTTTACAGCACGAATGGGCCGGTTGGTCCAGAGTGAATTTACGACCTTACAGGAAACGGACGTGAAACAACGCTCTCGTTGTGTGAGTCAGGTTACCGAAGCATAATTGCCACTATCCCCCATCCCTATATCTGTAATTCCCCAATCCGCAATTTTCGTCTCCATCCCTAAAACGCTGAGAAGCATTTCTATCTCTAGTATTAAGATTATGCATGGCCAACACTGATTGCTTACCATCAGTCAATCTGTCTACTCGTTCACCGCCCTAAATCATAAAAATATTTTAAGCAACTGCTATTTCTGCATTTACTTTCCAAAAAAATAATAATTTTGCAATCGTAAATGCTGTGGACCCTGAACCGATTACAAATATAAGATTCTAACTTCGATCGGTTGGGAAACCATTTAATAAAGCGATAAAAGTATTAAGTATCTATGTTCATCATACCTACATTCTGATAGTTTCAAAACTATAAACTCACCTATTTCATCAGCAATTTTCCCGATCCTGATTTCATGATCGTGATAAGTATAACTATGAGCTAACACAACAGCCACGCTCTCAATCCCTTTCTGTTTCAAAGCCAGGAGATCTTTCTTCACTTCTTCTTCTTCCAAATCCTTTACAACTAACATCTTTTCTCCCGTAGTCCCTACAACTTCCTTCCAATTCTTTCCAGATTTGTCCATTTGGCACCTGTCTTCTAAAGCTGGTATAACGCGACAGTCCACTTCTATTACTTCTGTGTAAAGCACGCCTGGACGTTTTATGTCCTAGAAGGAATTAAAAAGATGGGCTAAAATTCTAGTTTTAAATCAAAAATGATCTTGTAAAATAGTAAATGAGATTGAGATATACTTGGTAACTATTGTTTAGTGATTGACTGGTATTTTGTATACTGATAAAGCACCCCGAAATAGTTAATGATATTATACGGATTTTATCAGCTTTACCTATGGTGTTTAGAAGGTAGGGCAAATCATGTAAAAGCTAAAAACATAGTATAACTGTACTATAGAGCAATGCCCAACAGTTAAAAGGTATGCTTCTAATGAAAAAAGTTCTATTAAAACAACCTGTAATACTTACCAGCTGAAATATATGCGGCCTAGCTTGATTTCCAATATAAAGAAGGTCTTTGAAACCTTTATTAATGATGAGAGCCATTCTAGCACCTTTCCTCTCAAGTAACGCGTTAGTGGCCACTGTAGTGCCCATCCTTATTGACTCAATTAGGGATGCATCAACTTTGCCATCGGCATTCAACGCTTTGCCGGTTTCCTGAAATAAAAATTAAAGTGTAATTTTTATACATATGTATGTACAGCGAGATTCATGATTAGACTTTTAGGACTACAAACATCCCGGCATCAAAACGTAGTGTGTTAAATAAATTTGTAACCGAAAACTATTAGTAGGTATGGGACAGTAAACAGGCGTTGCACAAGAGAGGATTTCCGGAGCTGGTATTTTGGACGATTAGGTCTCGTATAAGTGCTGATGACCTGAAGCATTTTTTCTTATAAAGGACTTTTGTGGGTGCTCCGAGTAGGTACCCTATCATTAAAAAAAGGTATGAATTCTTTCTTAAGATGCAGGTAACTATTACATTCTTTCGTAAAAATAAAAAGTCGTTTCTATTACGCATCATTTTGAATTTTGCGAATGGAACTAGATAGTGACACTAAAATAACTATAATATTATAAACAGGATAAGACTCGATTGTTTTTTTTTTTAATGAATCGCATCCGAAACTACTTTACCAAATTCAAAAAAATATTTCACCGTTGGGAAGCTACACTATCCCTGGCGAAAAAAGGCGAGCATAACTACGCGAGTGAAACAGAGGGGCACAGATAGTTACCAATAAAATAAAACAGACACATAGTCTTCGGTACATTCAAATGTAAGTATGATGTAATGATGCCATGCCTAGGTAATAACTTAGTGGAAGATAGAGTTTGTCTGTTTGTTTCATGACTGCGCGAATTAGATCATGATAAGAGTTCCGATAAGAAGATACGAGTATCTGCGGAATATTTTGCAAAACTGAAAGACATATCAAATGATCCTTGACAATGAAGTTCTTTACTCTTTCTCAATTTTAAACCTTATGCAAATGGTTATTGGTTTATTTTGTGTTTCAATTGATTTTCTGCGCTTTTTTCCTTAAAGTAAAAGTGATATACTTATAGTACAGTCAGTTCCAAAAGTCGATGAACAGAATCAATTTACCAAAACACCTGTTCACAATAAAACGCCATAAGTTATATTCGCAACTAGGAAACAAAATAGCCTGTACACCAGAAATTTACAAAAGTCGTTACACACGACTAATTCAAAAGTATCTGTGCACTAGTATTCCTAAAGTCGCTGTACACCTTCAATCCAAATGTCGCTGAACATCATTGTATCAAAAGTCACTAAACAACAGTAAAGACAAAATTAGGTTAACAAAGTATATTTTTAATGTTGCCCCGTGTTAATATACTTTTGACGCTTAAGTTGTTCAGCTACTTTTGGAACAGTGTTTGCTAGACCTTAATAATGTATGTTAACACGTTAGTATCTACATATTTCAAAACTTATTTACAAATAAATTATATTTTATTGTCAGTAATCATACTAATCTATAATTTATGAAATAACATAAACATAACTAATGATCTACGAAGTGATTTTTGTGACGGTACTTGTAATTTACTTTGCGCAAATCTTACAAAACCTACCTTAATTTAATTTATTATTTTTACCCGACTACGGCAATGCTAAAATTTAAAGAATTCGACATATGACATATCATTAGAAACGTCTTTTTTGTCCGCTGGTTATAAGTTATACGATGTATTACAAAATTTAATGCGGCGTCCTCTAGCGGACAAAACAACCAGAGTAAAAAAATAAAGTTAAGATAATTATACCGTGTTTGGTATCATTTTAAAGCTCTTTACTTGTACATTTTTAATATATATGTATTACTCGCATTTTTTGGTGACTTTGCTTGTATTCATGTGCTGATTGCATATAATTTACATCTTTTCGTTCATACCTTTTACTACTTTATATTAGTTCATTCTTTTGTTGATATTATGCGACACAAATACACTTTAACACCAAAATAGTACAAATAATAAAAAAAGTATAAAAACTAAAACCCAACTACGACAAACACCGACGCTGAAAAACGCTGTTTTCTTTCTTATCTTGTTCGGAGGAAACGTTCGGGTGTCACCTAGCACAGATCGCCCGGAGGACACGATAGAATATACGGTGGCAGTGTGCCCCGCTTGGGCAGGAAGACAGTATTTAAATAAAATAACTGTTGCTATAATCACTCTTCTTACAACTCTTGATATTACAATCACAACAATTACAATTTAACTAAGGATAATTTAAGATTAGGTTGAATTTGAACTTAACGTCCACCGAACACGTGGCCGCCTGCGTATTCTACGAAGGTCCAACACTAATTGTCCAGTTTTACAAGAAGGCCGCCTTACCAGAGCTCGGTGTTCGCTATGGACTTGAAATAATTATGACAGTTGACAGTAAAGATTGACATCGACGTATAACAAAGAGGTTTTACATGCACTGATGGCCAGTGCGCCGCCATATACTTTGTTAACCTAATTTTGTCTTTACCGCTGTTTAGTGACTTTTGATACAATGATGTTCAGCGACATTTGGATTGAAGGTGTATAGCGACTTTAGGAATACTAGTGCACAGATACTTTTGAATTAGTCGTGTGTAACGACTTTTGTAAATTTCTGGTGTACAGGCTATTTTGTTTCCTAGTTGCGACTATAACTTATGGCGTTTTATTGTGAACAGGTGTTTTGGTAAATTGATTCTGTTCATCGACTTTTGGAGCTGACTGTACCTATATCACTTGCTTCTACTATTTCTACAGTTACTCAATAATTAAGTCATTGAAAACATTGCGATTTTTTATGTTTTGATAAATTTTGGAATAGCAAACTATAGGCTTATACATAGTAACGTAAACGTAAACGTAAAACCTGGCATAGTCATGGTGACTTCTTCAGATTTATATGTAGGTACTTTCTAAAATTATTGAGATACTGACATACGGTGAGTTATTGGTTTGAATTCACCAAACCGCATTAAGCAAGCGTGGAGGAGAGGCCTTTGCTGAGCAGTGGACACTTATAGGCTAACAATGAGAGATTTTAAACTTCTAGAAGAATCACTTTATTTATTTATTTATTTATTTATTATTGCTTAAAAGGTACATTTTACATTAAAAAAAGTATAAAACTGTATACACAGTTTGTCTGTTGGATCAGATTTCAAAAACTTACCTCTTGCAATATCCTCCTGATTGCTTCTCTGGGTGCATCATCATAATTCTGTGGGTCCACTGACAGCAGTTTCATGACCCTCACCTTACCATTCGGGCAGCGAGCGTACACGTCTGTGAAGGTACCGCCACGGTCTATGGCGAACTGGAATCCATTTTGTGGTGCCATTGCAACGTGGTACTGGAATGATGAGAAGGATAAACTCTTTATTGTGCTTATACCAGTATAATCTACTACCCTCGCGCTTCGCTTGCGTGGTATGTTGATAGAAAGCCTATGTGTTAATTCAAGGTATCACCTATCTCCATACCAAATTTCTCGGTCCGGCCGTTTTTACATATAAATAATAACAAACATACATCCATACATCCTCAAAAACTTTCAAATTTATAATATTAGTAGGAAGTAGGACAGGACACTTTTTTTAAACGATGCCCTGTACCTAGATTCTCTGTGCTTCCATTTACAAACATTCAATTTTACATACTCTTGCTGTATTAGGTAACCCTTATTATATCTTTATTTAAAAAATAAACTTATCAGCTTTATAATTAAGTATACATTACTTAAAAGTTTATTTGTTTATTTTATTGAACGCGCTAATCTCTGGAACTACCTACTGGTTAGAATTGAATAAATTTGTTTTAGTATACCATTTATCGAGAAGGTATAAAACATTACCTACGCTACGACGGACGACCAATAGGAGCCGGCGCGGATGAAACCTACATCTATGTAGATATAGATATATAAATACATTTACAAAAGCATTTACAGCATCTGTTAAACAATGGGCGCGTTATCACTAAGTGAGCCCTAAGATACATTATTTGATAAGGTAACATTAATGAGTTTTTTTTTACAATATTAGGTATCTATGCCGGTCGGGCGACGGAGTCGGCAAAATTGAAAATGGATCTCCTCAATTATGGATCAAGTCAAGCCAAGTTAGAAACCAAATACAGATTTGTACGCGGACTACTAAATAGCTTTATCTATCTATTCAAGTATGCATAGGTATTTGCAAATTGCGTCACCTTAAGACGGCCTCTTTCAATTGCCTACTAGGTCAACGGACTATGCCTAAACATATTTCCTGTTTGATTTCATTCATTATGACTACAATGTGAAAGAATCATTCCTACATATCTACAGTCATTTTGTAGTAGGCAAATCGTTACATTGCGTATACATAACTACGCAGTTTCGTTATTATTTATTTAGCCTTTCAATCGCCTTTCGCACGAACGCCGGCGTTCGTTTCAGATAGACGATTAAAGATTGGGAAGGAATGGAGGGGAGGGGATTTGGCCTCCGGTTACCTCACTCACACTCCGAAACACAACGATGAGGTGGTTTCACACCGGTGAGGTCGTGGTATCATTCCGGTCGAGCCGACCCGCTCGTGCCGAACCTTAGCTCTCCCACACTTACGTATGAATTAAAAACGTTTTGCACAATGCTGGACTTGGCGAAGGCAGTACCTAATATGTAAGTACTTACCTACTTACAATTTTATGGGATAAGGTACCAAACGAACAGATGGGTCACTTGATGGTAAGTCTAGTGTCGGCCTAAGACTCCCGCATTCTCAGAGGTCTTGCAAATGAGTTACGAGCCTTATAAGGTTAAAGGTTCGAGGATTGGGGGATGTAAGGATTGGATATAAGTGTTGAGTAAAGATAAGACTTCTGTAAACCTCACTTACCGGCCACACAAGGTTTTTGGAGGTGGGGGGAAAGATCATTATCTTACTTCTATCGCTTTTTCTATTGCCTTGGGTCGAATGAGAGTCAGTGTGAGATTTTACTGACTAAAAACCACTCCATACTTTCTGTAGGCCTGGTATATTATTGCGTTTTAACCCACAACCTCTGCCATAATGGGTTCTATCTGTAATGGTCTGTTTACAGTGCGCCTTATCTACACACGACAATCCTGAATGTTAGTACCCTAAATTACCTAAATCCAAGGTCAGAATAACTGCCTGGCATTACTTTTTTAATCTGTAATCCCCATGAGCCAGATTGGCAGTACCTACTTTTAGAAGTCCATAGATAATTCGAATTTTTGAGCACGATTTTTAATCAACTTGAAACTTAGCATATCTACATCTCAATGACCAATAACAATATATGTACAATAATAAGTAAACAGTTCATAACTCTGGGATGAAAAGTACCCTCCTGAAACCAAGTTATGTGACCAAATGATCAAACATTTTATTCTATAAAAAAAAACTAGGTAATTAAATTCAGATTTAAGTACCTATATTTATATTGGTTAATAAATACTATATGAACAATAATAACCTTCATTAACATTAGTTTTATCATGCTCTATGAGCTGAGGAAAATTATTAAGGAAAAGTTGGATAGATATGTAGGTACCTAAATAAAATAGGATGGTAAGTGACTAGGTAAGAATGTGGTCACACAAGTGTCACATTAATAAATAAAAAAAAATCCTATTCAACTATTAGGTTAACATATTATTTTCTATGACAATAATATTGTAAAGAGGAAACATTTAACAATTCAATCATAGTAAAACAATAGAAATACAACAAGAGCGCGACCCCTGGCGTCCGCTTGGGGCTTGATTAATTAATTGTTCATCTACATTGAATAGGTTCAGATACCACAGGATAGATGAGAAAAAACTTCGGACATTAAAAAGCTGAGTTTATTGAAAAAGGCTTACTCACGTGTTAATAGAGAAAAACTCGACTAGTTTCTAGTCACAACGGGGCCCTTATTCATGTAAAACTACTAGATTTTTCTAAGCTATTCCAAGTGAGACAACCGCTGTAAAAAAAATTTTGAAAGTCCTATGGCAGTAGAAATACCGATATATTGAAGTGATATGAAGACCGCCCATTGCACACTCTGTAGTTGTAATGCTTGGGCCACACTAACGGGATACGCCATCAAATTATCGCGATAATGGTCGTCAATCGTAGGTGTAATTCGATCACTAAACAAATGAGTTAAGGTATATTTTTATTTGTTTAATATCATCAATTATCGCGATAATTAATGGCATTTTCCCGTACTGTAGCAGCCCAAGTATAACCCTGCTCTTTGTAGATTTTTTATTTTTATAATTGAGTATGATAATTTGAATTTAGAACTATGCTTGGTACATGCCAATAAGCTGACCCCTTATTAAGTCATCAAACCCCAAGCATTGCCTATGTTTGCACATCTATTGTTCTTCTATTATGTCTTAAATTACCACCATTGGAAGGTTAATGGAGAATTCCCAATAAACTTTCTGCATACTCCTTCACAGATAAACGGCCTGATATTATATGTTCCTAGAGTAGTAAACCTAATAAATAGATAGAATGGACCACAATGCTGGAGTGAAAAATATTTTTTTTATTACTTCTAGTTTGATTAGGTTGCTTAATTAATGTATTGAGTATCATTTGACCTTTGCCTTTATAATGACAGACAAAATATTAGCAAACAATATTATGCTAGACTAAAATAAATAATGGTGTTTAATATTTTACACAATTTTTTTTTATGACTGTCAACCATTTACTTAAAATATTTTCTTTCCTTGACAAATTTCTCAAAAATGATTTCTAAACAATCAAATAAAAATAAGAAACACAACTTTGTAAAAGTAACTAATTATTTATCTGGGCCCAGATAAATAATTCTAGCTATCTATTTAGGCAGAAATGATTATTAACATTGCTTGGTAGGTACAATTTTAAATTAAAAAATTAAACACTATCAACCATAGAGTTGTATTAAAATGTACAGCCAGTACTATTACAATTTTATTAATACGCACAAACTCCCATCTATTTTACTATTTTCATCAAAACATTACATAATTTTCAAGTAATATTTGTAGGTAAATAAACACCAGTTGAATACAGTAAACTTCTTTATTAACTTGTCAGATAACAGATCAAACAGATATTGTTCTGAAGATGTTGTGAACCATTGAACCTTCATCATAAAATAGATCTTAAACTATGAAACATATGGTTGGCATTTGAATGGGATGAAATGATAAACTGCTCTTTCATATGTTTTATTAGAATTTGCAGAAATAAATTTACTTCTGTCTTGTGTAGGTATCTAGAATTGTTTGGTTTTTGATAAATAATTTTATTTTTATGTTTATGTTAAGTAACAATAATTGAATATTAATATCTTAATATTATAAACAAATAAAGCAAAAAATAATTATGGTACTGTGCACTAAATATTTTCTTTACTCAAGGACATTTAAAAAAAGAAGTGTTGTGATCAAACTACATTCTAGTAAGATTCCAATTGGTTTATCCAATTAATGAAATTGACATGATATAAAATCTTGCGTAGTAACACAATAATAGACTGTAAAAATTAATACCTATAGAATTATAAACATTAAAAAAATATATTTTTAATAAATTCATTATCTACGTATAAAGATGGGAAAAAAGTAATACTAATAAGCCGAAATAATTGTTATCACGATTATTGCAACTCACCGTTTATCAGAAACTCGAATAATGTAAATATTTATTCCGGTACGTCTTCACTTCACCACACGTTGCAATAAACTTATCAGGGGCTTCAAACTTAGAATAAAAAACTGGGGACAGTAATGGATACAATGATACAAAATGACGAAGTCTGACGTAGCCCATGTTCAAAATGAGTTTTAATGTGTTTTTAAATTTGTCGGGTTACATCGTGACGTAGACGGATGATGTTAACAACATGAATAAGAGATGGCAGTTTGGTCTTCTTTTTCGCTGTAGATCCAATAGATGGCGTTAGAGAATGATAATGAAAATAATGCTGTGTATGCATGCACACACACAAAGAAGAATGTCTGCTGATAGCTCGCTTGCACCGGTTATTTTGCGATATTTTGTTTGTGATCTCCTTTTTGTGTTTCGTTCTGAATTTCTCGTCGAGTTGAGCTTACGTTCCTCCGAGTAATGCATAATTGTGAACAGAGAAGGTTTTTCTTATTGAAGCAGGATTCTTGTGAGTGAAGTTAACCTACAATGTCTTCGGGCAGATACTGCTGTGTCCCAGGGTGTAAAGAGACAGGAGGTATGCCAGACCAGCTATTTATTTATTTAACACAAGCTTCTTCACTTCTTACAACAGCAACAAGTTTATGTGTAACGAACTCATAAACTTGTTGTCAATCCCAAACAATACAAATCAAATTAAATGTACTATGACATTTAATGAAATCAACAGCACAAGTAGACCTATATTTTAAAACCTATAGCAATATACTTATAAACTTAATTTATTTTTCTCAAGCCCCATTTTGACTTAAGACTAGCTACTAAATATAAAACATTTTAAAGTGCACCTAAAAAAATATTTGATTGAGAGGTGCTACTATAATTTGACAGAATTTCTAACAGATTCCTAACATTATGACCTTTGATTATTAATATTAATAATAATACATATTAATAATCAAAGATTATGACATTTTTATCCATCTGTTATTCAATTGGTTCCTTTAGGTTTTTTTTGTGTTTATCTTTGTAATGCCATGTAAAAATCATTATATTAATATTAATTAAGTTAATACATTTGTACGCTGTTAGCCACAGCAAAACATGAAGGTTATTGTACTCCTTTTAACATCCTACATTACAACATATAAATATGTATCTTGTTCTGTATACTCGTGTTTTACAAATAAATTATCTTTATCTTTACTGCCTATCATGTTTTTTTATGAGTTTAATGGAGCCAATATTTTTATTGCAAGTTTACATATTTTATAATAAAGTTGATATCTTGACAATGCAGCTGATGTTATGTGTGTGAATTTGATTATTTTTCAATGATAAAACTTTATTATTTATTTAAGGTATGCATCAAGTACTTCATGGGTTCCCGAATCCTGTAGTTGATAGAGAAGGCTTCAATACTTGGCTGTATGCAATTAACAGTCTTGAACTTGTTTGAAGAATGAACAAATATTGAACCATAGAGTGTGTCATGCTCACTTTGAGGATAAATATTTGTGCCGTAACAACAGAATCAGTAATATTGCCGTGCCAACATTGAAAATGCGCTGTTCGTATAACACTACATATTGCAAAATACTTTTGGATAAACACCCCAGGTTACACACCCCCAGTGCTACATTGTCATATGCAACATGTCAGAATTGTAAGCATTTTAAGACTGATATCATAAAAACTCTTATATGTATATAAAATTCTTGTGTCAGAATGTGACTAACTCCTCTGAAATAATTTTATCAAATTTTATATCCACATTCAGTAGATCTGAAAAATTGGCTAATATTTCCTACCCCTAAGTGATAAGAGTGGTTCATCCATAACATTTTTAACAGAGTTAAACCACACAAGAACTTATATTACAAAACCCTAATATTACAATATTATTTTAAACATTCCAACATTCTTATTTTGCGTAAACAAAAGTGTCTCACAGGCTAGTGTTATGACAAAATTTATATTTAATGCCTTTGTAATTAATTGCTTTATTCAAATACCTATGTTTTATTTTTCAGCATTACTGTCTCGGACTTCGTTAATAAATACCACCAGACAGCCTTTGCAGCAAATTCAGAACCTACAATCAACATAATCAGGTAAATATAAATGACACCAATTCTTCCCATGGTTGCCGGGTTCTACACCTAGCAAATGCTAGTACAATGTCAATGTACTTTACAAGTTTATCGAGGACATTGGTGACATTGTAAAGCATAAAATTATGTATAGCTGCCTGTTGTTAATCGTAAGACATTGACGGTTGTTACATTTAGTCAGAAGCCAGAAAGTTGGTCATCATGCCATCATCGATTTATTTCACTTCATAGCATCTTAAACGTATAATTATGTAATTTTTTTACTAAATAATTTGAAGTGCTATATATATTTGCTTTTTTTTTTCAGCACCGTTGACTCCTCCTTCAACCACTAGCCTACAACAACTAAATCTGGGCCATGGACCATCACCCTCAAGTAATTATAATTTAATTAAATCCCTGAATGAGTCCACTTCATTCTCCAAACAATAGCTATACCAATGTTTATGATTTAAAGTATCTCATTTTAAAGGGCACAACTAGAAGCTAATTTACTTATTGTTGATGAGTAAATAAGTGCTTGTGCAGTAGACTGACTAAATATCGTGTGTATCCTATATGCATTACTTGAAACAATGCACAAAAAAGAAATTAATGAATCTCAGTCACCCAGGCACTTTCTCATGTAGTCATTATTACGCTACAACATATTCATTCGGTACTATGTAGATATAACGTAGTAACCAGCACACTTTAAAGTGTGGTTAGACTAATAAGTTTGGGTTTGTCCAACAAATTATGGATTTTTTTGCAATGGTTGACTTCAAATTGTTTTTGTTCAAGTTTACATTTTATACTTATATATTTTTTTCCTTTATTTTAGTGGCGCCATATACAAAAGTTATAAATTCGTGCAATTATTCATTTCAGGTCTCACAGCTACAATGCAAGAAGCTGCTTTACCAAGTACTTCAGAAACGAATGTGCATCTTAATCTAGGTAAGTTGTGCAAATAAAATCTTGTGTATAACTAAAAAAAGTTTTGAATAAATAGATTAACTTTATTTAATTTATATAATTACAGGAGAAAAAACAACGGTGAAGAAAGCTAAGAGTCGAGTATTCCTTACGAATACAGAAAAGTACCTGCAGGATAAACTTGTTGCTGCAAGTATTAAGTTAAGCAAAATGAAAAATAGATTTAAAAAACTGTCTGTCAATGTAAAAGCAGCGAAACAAATTGCATCCAACCCTGCAGTATGCGACATACTAGAAAATTGTACGAGTACAAGAAAATTATTAATTAGTATGCAATGTCAAGAGGACCACAAAAAAGAAAAGGAGCGACGTTTTACGTTACAAGAAAAAATTGCTTCCTTATCTATTTTTAAGCAAAGTCCCAAAGGATATAGATTTCTGAGATTTTTTTTATTTTGCCTGCTCAGCAAACACTAATTAAGTTAGTACAAATTTGTAACATCAAGCCTGGGATAAACAGTAATATTTTCTCTCAATTGAAAAATAAAGCTGACAACATGAAAATAGAACAAAGGTTATGTGTTGTTATGTTTGACGAAGTTTCTTTGAAGAGCAATGTTGCATATAACGAGAGAAAAAATCACAAGTCTTGTTGACAATGGGCAAAACAGGAAAACTGAATTTGCAGATCATGCTCAAGTCTTTATGTTACGTGGCTTAATTTATAATTATAAGCAGGCAATATCATATACATTCGCGTCGAGTGCTACTAAGGGACCTGAACGAGCTCAACAAATAAAGGACGTGATAAGAGGTTTGCAAGAATCAGGGTTCATAGTTGTTGCTACTGTATGTGACCAGGGTCCTAATAACAGACAGGCTCTGAAACTGTTAATTAATGAGAACAGGGGAATTTATTTGAGAAAAGGTGAAGAGCCTAAATAAAATAAAATTTTAATAAATGGTCAAGAAATTGTACCACTTTATGACCTGATGATGATGACACTGATGACATCTCCTCAAAGGAATTAGAAATAACTTTATGTGCAAAGATTTAGAATTCACCAAAGATGGTGTAACAAAAATTGCAAAATGTTCGCATTTAAATTTACTTCTCAAAGAAAACCCTGGTTACAAAGGCATTAGGTTGATTCCAAAATTAATGGAATGTCATATCAACCCTCTAAAAATTAATAAAATGAAGGTTAAATTTGCCTCACAAATATTCAGTCGTACTATGGCGTCTAATATGGGATACTTGGCAGGTAATGTATGTTTTATTTATTTATTCAAACTTCATGCACAAGGCGGGTACATAGGCGGACTTAATGCCTAAGGCATTTTCTACCAGTCGAGCCTTGGGTGATGCAGAGCTGTGCCGGTGCAAGAAGCAAAGCAAACAGACTTTATTTTATATGAGTCAAAACGAGATAGATACATATATATGTGTGTGTGTGTGATAGATACATATATTTGTTTTATTGTATAACTAGAATATGCAACAAGCGAATGTACTATTCCGGAAAATCTAATATCTCACGAAAGTGTTATAATCAGTCACGTTTTGAAAAAATACTTGTTACGTGTTTGAAATCAATTGAAGTAGTTTGCAAAAATAAATATAATTCAGAACTTTAGGCGATTAAACTGTCATACAATTTTTTTTTTTCAGGTAAGAACATACTTCCCGCTGAGTGTAAGGACACCGCTGATTTACTGCTGTTCATGGACAATATCTTTGACTCCGTGAATGGCAGTCGACAGAAAAATAGAAATGCAAAACCCTTACTAGGGCCAGCAACGCCAAACTCGGCACATCACCAAATTTGGATTGAGGGAGTACAAATTTTTAAATCGATGAAATTTGTATCGAATGGTAAAAAACAATCGGTTCCCTCCATTACCAATTGGGTGTGGACACTGAGTAGAATAAATAAACTACAAAATGAGTTTAACGTATCGTCAGTGTGGTTGCGGCATCTTAATCAGGACCCCTTGGAAAATTTCTTTGGGGCGGTAAGAAGCCAAGGGTGCCGCAATACTAATCCCACCTGCGACCAATTCGAATCGGCTTTCACCACATTATTAATAAATAATGTAAGCAGTGTCCACACCCGCGGAAACTGCGAAAAAGACTTTTGCGATGCATTGTATTCTCTCACCATCAACGAAAATGCAGAAACAACGTCAACCTGCTCATCGTTTGATTTTTCAAACATTATTGAATTTAATTTTACACCTATAGAAATTAAAGAAAGGGATCCCCGTATTGTTGGACCTCTCCAATATATAAGTGGATATTTTTTGAAGAAAATTAAATCTAAAATATTTAAAACTTGTACAGATTGTTGTAACCTATTAATGGAAAAAAATGAAATTGAGTATATAAAATATAGGGAATACGCAGGTCGACGATGGCTTTGCACTCCCAGCAAGAAGTTAATAGAGCTGATTTCCAATATGCAAGATTTAATCAAACAAAAGAAAATATAGAAAAATTATATTTAAAGCTAATCATTAATACAGCTGTTAGTAGTTTTGTTGATTTTACATTTATAAAATGTATAATAGAGAAAAAAATAATCGATTTTTTAATTAATATTGTTATTAGATTTATAATTTTTAATTACTGTAAAAATATCAATATAATATTAGCTGGGAGAAAAGATGTTGATGATGATGAGAACAAATTGCAAGTTAAAGCTAAAAAGTTAAGCGAGTACTATAGAAAAAACAAATAAACTAGATTTTCATCAAATATGTTGTTTCATTTATACCTCTTTTTGTTGTAGCAGTAGATAATGTAATTCACTATAAGAATTGTAAAATATTTAAAGTGAATTACACTGTCTACTACTCGTTTCAGTCACGTAGTTGAGCAGTAACGAAAAACAACCAACAATCTATAGATGCACATCCATAGTATAGATATGGTTATATATATAATAAAAATGTTGTCTAACATGGATTACAGATGGCGCTGTTAGTAGTTACCCAATTTGACATCGAAGATTGGTCTCTATTTCCTATTGTTAAAATGTACTCTGTGAAACTTATCAAACTAAAGTCAACTCAACCTCAAATAAAATAGGAAGTTTACGCAAAACTTGACAATTCTTAATCACAAAATTGTTTATTTCTTTCCCACTTCACGAAATAAGACATTTTTGTCTTTCTCTAAAATTGTCAATTTCATTGATAAATCCTTGAACGCGACTGTTTTCAGCTGATGGGTTTTGTTTCGGCTATTCTGAACTTTATTTTACATGCTTTAAGATTTAAAATTCATCACTTTTTTTCTATCTATTATAGTTTTTGTTGAAATTGTTTCACGTGATTTAAAACTAATTTTCTGTACCCGTGATTTAAGAATGACAAACCAAATTAAACCTTTTGGGTGTTTTTATCTCTTACTAGGAATAATTATAATTTGAGTTTTCAAAAACATATCATTCGATTTTTTGTCGTGAATTCCTTATTTTTTTTATTACGGAACGCATCCATAAACATAACCCAACTTTCCTCCTGTCAGCGCAGCGACAACGTCACGTCAAGCACCATAACATCGCGCGATTATTGAATGATTTTACTGAATTTCACTCAAATAAGGCTTCTAACACTTGGAAATTATCTTAAAAGGATGGGCCGTAAAAATCGCCAGTTTAATAAATTCGCCCAGCGAAAGCGGGAACGCAAAGAACAGGTATTTTATCAAATTAATGTGACTATAACCTTTTTGCACAAATTAGCAGGTGTTTACAATATTCCACTTGTGTTTTTAGGAAAAAAATCCTCAGGAAAAGCCAGCTGCCGATACCAGAAAGCATTATGAAGACATTGTGAGAGAGAACGCGGCTTTTGAAGAGTATTATAAGGTGATTATTATAAAATTTTATGAGTCACTCCAAACAATTTGTATACAGATTTCGAGCTCAATAAACAAATAATAATACCAATAAGTATATTCCTATTATAAGCAGTCGTAGCTTCATAATATATTTAAAACATTCAGTACTGAATATTAAATTATTACTTGTTTTCGTATATTTTTTTTTCAGAACCAAAAAGTTTGCCCCGATGAAGAATGGGACACTTTCATGAAGACTTTAAAAGAGAACTTACCGACAGCATTCCGTATTACTGGTTCTAAGTGTGAAGCAGCTGCTCTGATGAAGATAGTGCAGAGTCAGTACTTCTCCGAGATCCTGAACATGAAGCTACAAGTTGAAGGAGATGGCGAACAGGGGGAGGAGATAAAACCTATTAATTTACCTTGGTATGTGACTGTGTTTAAAAGTAGTAGTCAAGTAATACAAGTTAAACAACTGAAACTAGAATACTAAGTTTTTTATAGTTATTTTATATAATACCTAGATCCTTAAACAGTGTTGCTACAATGTGTGTGTCCATGGGCTGAGCCAAAACTCATAATCTAATATAAAATGTAAAAATCTTTTTACATTTACTTAATATTTATAAAATATTAATACAAGTCAGTTAAGCAAAACTTGAATGCAAGACAACAATAAAAAATACATCACATATGCATGATTTAGATTTCCTTAATCCAAATCTCCTTAATCATATTCCGCACCTAAACAAAACTGATTTTTCAATCACAGATACTATTTATTACTTTCTAACAGGTACCCAGGTGGCTATGCATGGCAACTTCGTCTATCCCGTACGGACATCAGACGTAATGAAGCTCTCTACAAACTCCACAATTTCCTGGTCGCTGAGACGGCAGCTGGCGGAGTGTCGAGACAGGAGACTGTATCTATGATACCTCCTGTTGTACTGGATGTACAACCTCATCATAAGGTATACTGGACAATTAATTATTAGGTTTATTTATTACATTGTTGTTGTATGCGTTGTAGAGTCCGCAAGCGTTTTGACTAACAAGTAATTTAAGAACTAAAACCGGTTGCAACCAAGTTTTAATGATCACTCCATGGCTCAGTAATATATCTATCATCGCTACAATTACAAGTTAGTATCACCATAATGTTGATATTGAAATTGCTGTCGAAATAAGACTGCCTATGCCTATCTGTAGTGTTTATTGTTTCCTTTATATATATTTATTAAAATCACTCTAAAATTACATTTTTAAATATTACTATAAAAAAAAATATTTAAAAATATAAAAGTAGGAGCCAGTCGGCAGCGGGAGCAAGGTCCAAGCTACCGGTGGTTAGGGCTCCAGAGACAAGAACCTCCTCACAATACGTGCCGTTTCAAGGAGGACTGCCTTCTGTATGAGGCCCTTGATCCATCCGCCTAACGTCAGCCTCTTAAGGTGGTTGTCGAGGCTTTTGGGGACTTTGTTTCCTTTTATTATTATGGTGTCCAATAAAGAATATTCTATCTAATTGGGATAATGTTAGATGGCTGGGTCAAGGACCTCATGCAGAAAAAGTACTTCAGAATATGTCACACAATTTCCAGAAATTCCTGTCTCTGGTGCCTGGACCACAAGTGGCATTGATTTATTACTGGAACAAAATAGTTTTTTATACATATGATTAAAGAAAAAGTTAATATTTACTTATGGATATCTATACCAAATTGCCCAAATTCTGTTGCGATGGAATAATGTTACTGTTGAAAGACTACAATGGGCTTTTGATAACCAAAATAATATAATTTTACAGGTATTAGACATGTGCGCAGCCCCTGGATCTAAAACTGCTCAATTGATTGAATTCTTGCATGCAGAAGAAGATAAAATGCCGACAGGTAAATACATTCATCATCATCATCATCATCAGTCTATAAATGTCGTCATTCGTGCCGAAACGTGGCTCTCCCACACTTTATGATAATTTCTTTGTTTAATTTCACCAACTATCTACTTCTTTTAAACATTCTAACCGCCTGTTTCTACTAGTCTAAGATCATTACCGCCTATGCCTTTAATATTTGGTCCTCCTATCTCCAGGTTTCGTGATGGCTAACGACGTGGACAACAGCCGATGCTACATGCTGGTACATCAGGCCAAGAGGCTCAACTCTCCCTGTATACTCATCACTAATCATGACTCCGCTGTCATGCCTGCACTCGAAGTAACAAATGAACAGGTCCGTTCTAATTTCTATGAGTTAATGTATAAAAAATTGGGTAAAATACTAATTGAGTAGGTAATTCTTTTTTTATTGGATAGCTGCACATATACGAGCAGATGGATTACCTGATGGTAAGCAATCGGCGCTGCTCACACCACCGAGTTATGAGTGCGTTGCCGGTCTTTTCAGGATAAGGATTACGGATATTTAAGTATTGGGAAGCTATGGGGAGAAAGGGATGGATGAGGCCTCCGGTTGGTTACTAGCGAAAATTCGCGAATGTTATTGCATTCGCTATTTTTTGTGTCGTGAGTGCGTTTACAAACATGCAATGGTGTTCATTGTGATGTGTATTTCAATACGATCGCCTAGAAACTACGTCAATTTTGGTAGGGCGAAAAATGTAACTAACAATAACCTGCGTGGTACAAGTACAGCGTTATGTTTTGCCTTGTGAGTGAGGTTACCGGAGGCCTAATCCTTCCTCTCCCCCCTTCCCTCCCCAATCCCTAAATTACTAAATCAAGGGCCGCAACGCAGTCGTATCTCCTCTGTCGTTGCGGATGTCCATGGGCGGCGCCGATTGCTTACCATCAGGCAATCCGTGACCTCGTTAGCCGAGTTATCACATAAATAAGATAAAAAAAAATGAGCGAAACATTTAGTTTATGTTAAAATAATCATTGCATTTAATTTTCGTGGTGTTTCGTCGTGTGTTTAACTACATAATTACTTTGATATTCCTCAGAGTCCAGGATCAACCAAACCGCTGAAGTTCGACAGAATTCTTTGCGATGTACCGTGCTCAGGAGACGCGACTCTCCGCAAGAACCCCGACATTTGGCTCAAATGGTCCACTGGGAATGGAAATAATTTACACGGGTAAGGCCCTGTTTTACAATGTCTGAATAGCCTCTATGTATCAGACAAATTTGTATGAACTATATGCTACATAAGTTTATCGAGAACTTATCGGAAGGCGGTTAAAGAGACCCGTAAAATTGTAACTTTTTGTTACTCGAAGTTGTTTAAATTTTGTATACTGAATAATTATAGTAAGACATGTTAATTTCGAGAATGCTCTCTCGAATAATTATTCCAACAAGATTAATCGACTCCTCGATTAATCGTATTATTATTATCGACTGACGATTGTAACGATTATGTCAAAGTAACAACGTAAGAATGTTTTTTTGATTAGACCATAAACCACAGCAGGACTCATAATCGTAATAAAAAAAAATGAAGCCGGCATTTCCGATCGGTCTAAAACTGAACAGTCTCTTTCATCATAATTATGAGCTCCAATGTAACTCGAAACTAATCGAGCATCGACGAAATCTTTCCAACTAAGCCGTATATTGTAATAAACCCATTGTATCCTCCCAGAATCCAGTACCGCGTCCTCAAACGTGGCTGTGAACTCCTGGAAGTCGGAGGTCGGTTGGTCTACTCGACGTGTTCCTTCAACCCTGTGGAGAACGAAGCCGTCGTCCACAGGGTGCTGCAGGAGACAGCAGGGACTGTACAGCTTGTTGATGTAGCTAATATGTTACCAGGCCTTAAATTCCATAAAGGTAAGGGTCAGAACTTTTAGTACTAGTTTATTCTAGACTCCGTGCCCTTGTCAAACGATATCCAGTAAACATTACTAAAATTACATGTTTGAATAATACCGATTTTACAATACATATATACAACTACTTAATTATAGTCTCTTACTAATATTATTAATGCGAAAGTGTTTGGATGTAGATATATAAATAATACCGAATTTACGTATTACAATTGTTACTAACCACAAACTGGGTAGTTTCCTAGGTCAAAAATAAATTAATTATTTATTAATTACAATAAAGTATTGAAAAATAACAATACTTTTATTTATCGATCGATCGATAAACTAATTATTAAGAAATAAGTAAGATTTTTGACGCAAAAATGTTACATATGACGTCATAACTCAGTGTTTCATACATATTTCACAGAAAAGTATCGTTTTTTACACTCTGATAAAAGTATTGAATTTGACTAGTTGGAAACTACCGTATTATAGTATCTTACTTTTTACTAATATTATAAATGCGAAAGTTACGATGTTTGGATGTTTTGTTACTCAATCACGCCAAACGGCTGGACGGATCTGGATAAAGTTTGGTACAGCCATAGGATACACTCCGGAATAGGACATAGGCTACTTTTTATCAACATACCACGCGAGCGGAAGCTAGTTACTAATAATTAGTAAATTCAATAATATGTATTAAAATGATTTGTACAGGTATGACGTACTGGCGCCCAGCCTCCAAAGACATGGTGTTCTACGAGAAGTATGAGGATGTACCGGAGAAATGGCAGACGGTGGTCAGGCCGCAGATGTTCCCGCCCAAACCTGAAGACCTGCCCAAATATAACTTGGATAGATGGTGAGAAAAGAGTTTAATAGCATTTCCTCCCGTGACTGTCTTTTTTTGTCCCGCTTGCCTTGCAGGTCAAATGTGTTCCAACTAGTCCCTATGAAGTTCATCCAAATGTCAAAGACACTTGAATATGAATTTTGTATGGAACTCCAAATTATTACGTGATCATCGTATTTTGGCGTCAAATAGATTATTAAAAATATTTCTTTTTTACTTTGTTCATCGATTTGTCGATACACAAAATTTTCGATATTTTTTAATGCAATAATACTAACTATGAAGTCATACTTTGGAGTCTCGTACGAATATCAACGAAAAGTATCGTTTTTGACATTTGGATAAAAGTATTGAATTTGACTAGTTGGAAACTACCGTTTTCGTCCGTTTCATCGTGTTTTTGCGGTTTCTACCGAGTCTCAGAATTAGCTGAGACGACCAATGGCCACCATTGGTCGTCTCAGCTAATTCTGAGACTCGGACAATAATTCAACACAATTAGGGTACTTTGAATGGAAAAATATATAATATACCCAATAATATATCTTATAACAAACGAAATAAAATTCAAATTCCTCCAGCATAAGAATTTTACCCCACCACCAAGACACCGGTGGATTCTTCGTGGCAGTCTTTGAGAAAGTCTCTCCATTACCGTGGGAGAAGGACATCAAGCCGGCAGAGAGCGCAGAAGTCAAAGAAGAAGAGAAAAAGGAGCCGCCTAAGAAGAAGAGAAGAATGGGCGGGTATAGGGAGGATCCATTTGTTTTCTTCTCCGGTAAGTTTTTGTTTTTTTTGATAGGATAGTTAAAAAACTTTCATCCCCTGATGATAAGCAAGCACCGTCCTATGGATACTTGCAACATTAAAAGGAGTTATGAGTAAGTTGTTAAGTGCGTAAACGCGAGTCTGTTGATGGCCAGCAAGGATAGCTCTATCAGAACCAGATTAAAGTGTACGGTGTTCAAAGACCCAACAGACCATCACTGAAGGGTCTACGAGGGTCGATGTCCAGCCCGGATTTGTGAAAAGGTCAAAATTTAAGGTCCAAGCCTTATTTATCTGCGGGATAAGCGCAATGAGGCACCGCGGCATCGGCCCAGAGCAGAAGAAGCAACGGGGGGGGGGGGTATAGACAGTAAGTGAGAGAGAAGTAAATTGATGATTTTGCCCTTACAAAAAAACCTTATTTATCTCTTAGCAAACTAGGGATGTGCCTTCATCTAGTTTTTTTATTTTTTTGCAAAAATAAATTCATTGTTTAAATAAAGCGCCGATATGGGGGGAGGGGTGGAGGCAAGCTGATATAAAATGGATCTTAATTCTTATCCATAACCACCATGACGATACAACTAATACATTAAACTTTTATATGTAAAAATTCGGCAAACGAGTAAACAGATTACCTGATGGTAAGCAATCAGCGTCGCCCATAGACACTCGCAACGGAGGAGTTACGAGTGCGTTGCCGACCTTTTAGGGATAGGGAGGAGAAGGATTGGGCCTCCGGTAACCTCATTCACACGGCGAAACACAATGCTTTGGTTGTCTCACGCCGGTTTTCTTTGAGGCTCTGGTGTCACTCCGGTCGAGCCGACCCATTCGTGCCGAACTGACTGACTTAGTTCTTCCCAACTTTATTTACAGGCGAAGAAGAAGACGTGTACCCATCGATAAAGGAGTTTTACGATCTCAAACAAGATTTCAACGCGACCTGCCTTCTAACGAGATGTCATGTCGGTAAAAAGAAGAACATATACCTCGTGTCACCGATTGTGAAGGACGTAGTGTCGCTGAACGAGGGCAAAATCAAGATAATAAACACCGGAGTCAAGACTTTTGTACGCTGTGATAATAAGAATATGGTTTGTCCTTTTAGGTATGTAGATTTCTCATTTCTTCGTGAGTTTCTCGAATTATTTCATGGTAGGTACTATTAAATCTGTGCTAACGGGTAATTAATAGCCGGGGTTACGGGGTAAGCGCAATGAAAAAGACCGGGGGGTTTTTAGTCAGTAAGAGTCTGACACTACCTCTCGCCTCACCCTGGGCATGAGAAGCCATAATATCAATATAGATGTCAGTGTTATTATCTATACTAATATTATAAAGAGGTAAAATTTGTAAGTTTGTATGTAGGGGGTAATATTTGGAACCGCTGTCGGATTTCCAAAATTCTTTCACTGATAGGTAGCTACAATGTTCCTGAGTGCTATAGGCTATAAAACGTCACGCTACGATCAAATGAAGCAGAGCAGCGGGTGAAACCGCGCGAGAATAGCTAGTTTGTTGTAACGTAACTAGTAAAAGTTTGTAATAATTTATATTAAATGTACATAAACATCAAATAAAATAAAATATGTACATATTTAATAAAGTATATTATCACCATGATCTTAGAATTAAAGTGTAGGTAACTAAATTTTATTTAGGTATATTTACTTGTATACTACACAGTATGGTTTTATTAATTCTCTTGCAGGTTATCACAAGAAGGTCTCCAAAGTATAACACAGTTTATAGGGCCGAAGCGTCGCCTGCGCATTCTCAAAGAAGATCTGATTCTCGTACTACAGAACGACAATCCTAGCAAGCCGCCTGATGTTAAACTCTTTACTCCACAGACTCAGGAGTTGGTTAAAGATTTCGGTAAGTTTAACAAATAATTTAAGTTCAAAACTATTTTAGATTTGGAAGCTTAACGTCCGACCTGGCAACCTTCAAGGCCGTTATAAAAATGATTTTGAGGAATATGTGTGTATTTTATGCGATATACAATATGTATAATAACGCCTGACTTCCTTAGAGACAATACAAAAATACCAAATACCCTGTTTTGGTTAGTAACCTTTTTACCTTCGTCATCTATCATCGATTGAAAGAGTTTCCTTGGGTAATTTTCTAGATCAAAAGTATTTTTTTTTTTACCTTTCAATACAATTAATTATTAAAATACAATCGTATTCTAATTCAATGTATTGATAAGTTTAAAAAATAATTTGATTATTTACATCTGATGGTTTGCCGATCTATACTATAAATATTTATATGTATGTATATATTTGACGCTGACTGTACCAACACGGTCTATAGCAATCTAATTAAAATTTTGAAATCGCCAATCCGAATTACCTTGAGCTAGCATGTTGATTAAAGCTCAAACCTTCTCAGTGTGAGAAGAGGCCTTTGTCCAACAGTGGGCACTTATAAGCTAATGATGTGTGTACCAACACGAAAGCACACTACCTCCAACTCAACGCTTAACATTTCCCTCCCAGCTACAGGCAGCTGTGTGCTAGAGTACAAGGAGGAGGGAGAGGGCACGAACCTGGAGCTGACGCTGGTCGGGTGGCGCGGGGTGCACTCCCTGCGCGCGTACACTGCGACCCCCGACACTGTACACTATCTGCGACTACTGGGCGCTGACTACAGTAAATACGGTGAGGGAACTTGTGTTTAATAGATTTGTTTCTAACTAGCTTCTGCCCGCGGCTTGTCGTGGTGTATTGCAAAAAACAGCCTATATGTTAATCCAAGGTACACCCTATCTACGTACCAAAATTAAAACAAATCGGACCAGCCGTCTTTGCGTGAAATAATAACAAACATATATACATACATTCTGACAAAGATTCACATCCTTCCAAACCGCTGCAACTCCTGTAAGCCATAATCTACAGTAGGTACAACCATGGAAATACCGGAACACTGAAGTCCGGCGCATCCCAGGGACATGAATGACTGTCTTGGATCCCACAAATCCCGAAATAAATCAGAAGATATTATTTGAGGAGAAAAAAACTAATTAGTAGGATTAGTAGGATGTGTTCAGATACTTTTGTTACTTTAAGTGTGGGAGAGCTATGCCTTGGCACGAACACTTGAAAGTACCACAAGATATGTCCTCCCTATCATAAATCCCCAAAACCTTTGAATAGATTTTCTTCTGTATCATGGGTCAACAAATATACAATTTCACATAAACAGAACCGAAACGCGAAACAACAATTTGTAGATCACACAAAGAGTTGTTCCGTGCGAGAATCATGACCGCGTTGCCCAGCCACTGCACCAACCGTACAATCAAAATATTTGAAGTTTAAAATAAAATAATATGTTATTTTCCAGATGTAAATAAATTCAAGAAAGCCTCCGATGTTCCGGACGCTGATGCCGAAGCTAATGACGTCACAGAAGCAACTGAGGCCACAGAGTCCACTAGCGCTGCAGCGGACAGCAGTGAAACTAACGGCGCAGGCGCAGACGTTGAAATGGTTGAGCAAAGTGCTTCATAGTAAACGATGAAGTTGTATACTTAAGTATAAGTTACATGTTAATATTATAATGATAATATTTTATTTTGTATAACATGATTAAACGATTTTGTTTATCCATTTTTTGGTATTTTTTATGTAATAGGTCGGCAAACGAGGACACAGATTACCTGATGGTAAGCAATCAGCGCCGCCGATGGACAACGCGACGGAGGAGTTACGAGTGTGTTGCCGACCGTTTATGGATCAGGGATTGGGGGAGGGGAAGGATTGGGCCTCCTGTAACCTCACTCACACGGTGAACCACAACGCTGTGGTTGTTTCACGCCGGTTTTCTATGAGGACGTGGTACCACTCCGGTCGAGCCGACCCATTTGTGCCGAAGCATGACTCTCCCACTTTATTTTACTATCGATTTTTACGGGTTAGAGGCAAACAAGTACAAACAAAAAACTAAGCTTAAGCTATCCAAATTGCAAAAATTACTTATTCGTATATTAGTTTGAGATTTTATAAATGTGTCTTCTCTGGGCTAGTATTTAAAAAACAAACCTTTCTTTATTTGATATTGCGGCAGCAAACAAAAAAAAAACAAACCTTTCTTTATTTAATTTAGCAACCGCCCATGGACACCCGCAATACCAGATAATTTACGCGTGCGTTGATTTGGAGATTATGGTTTTGGAGATTTGATAAGGGGAGGGAAAGGATTGGGCCTTCGGTTATCTTACTCATAGGGCGAAACAACGCTGTGGTTGCTACTTGTCGGTATTCTGTGAGGCCGTTTTGGAGATTGGATAAGGGGAGGGGAAGGTTTGGGCCTTTGGTTATCTCACCCATAGGGCGAAACAACGCTGTGGTTGATTCACGTCGGTTTTCTTTAACGCCATAGTATCACTCCGGTCGACCCATTCATGACGCTTGGCCTATCCAGGGATATGACATTTTTATTATTTTAGTTATTTTTCATCAAGGACGAGCGCGTCACAACTTCAAGTCCTGTAAGCCAGGATCTACAGACAGTACAATAAGTATTTTTAGCTATTAGAGTTCTTAACATCTAATGATATTTTTGTAAGGAATCACTTTTTCCATGGCCAGGCAGACCCAAACGCACAAAATAATCCCTTATAGGTAGGTAGGAGGAAAGCAAAAAAAAAAACGACACATTTATGTTTAGAAACCCTTTATTTCCATCTTTCGCATTCGTTTCATTCGCATAGCAGCGATAACAACCCTTATTACTTTACATTCTAAAGCCCATACTTGTTTGAAACAATATTTTAACATACGACTTGCCTAACAAAATAAATTAACAATGAAAATTAATATTAATATTGCACAGAAAAATTGTTAAATGGTAACTTATACGAATAAAAACAAGGAACATTATCGTTTAACAAGTCACCAAGATGCTTAAAATAACATAGAAACACATTCTTAGGTATTGCACATACCAAGAGCTATCACATAATTATGCATTCAACTTGAGAAACTGTCACCGAATCTTTGTTTCTTCGTGATTAGGGCATACCTAAATCAGTAATCTGTCTTATTAATTTAGTTCTGTGCACTAAGTTGGTACGCAAAATTGTAATGTTTATTGGAGCGATAGGATTAAAATCGATAGCAGCGACATCTATTAATGGTGAGCATAAAATGTGACAGCCCTGTGAATACATCTTTGTTTCAAACGACAATAAGTAATAATTTATCATTATTGTTTTTATTATTATTTTATTAATAAACGCTAACAATTTATCAGGAAATAATTACATAAATAAGTAAATGGGCTTTCCCTACCTAATACGCTTTGCCAATTGACTACGCACCCCTTAATTAAATTTGCAATTTTTAAGTATTCAATATAACTTTTTCATTTTTGTCGAGATCGAATTATATTAAAACAGTATATAAATTAGAAATAGAAAAAAAGATATACTTAGATAAATTTAAATACTATTTCTGAGAATGTTAAACTATTTGAAATTTGTCAAACTTAACGCAAGTTTAATTTGAGAATGAAACCTAGTTGTGTAGGTAAATAAAAGATAAGTAAAACAAAAAAATATTATTTTTTCATAATAGGTAATAGTTCAATCTCGACAAATGAACAAATCGCCAATCGTAGGCCAGAATAATCTTGCGTCAAATTTTGAATTTAGAAAGCACAATCGAATCAAATTTTAGAATCAGTCCAATGAGTTACGATAATACTTTTATTTTTTTTAATATTGGCAAAGGTCGCATCTTTTTAATGTGCGTAAGTTACCTACTTTGAAATATATATTTTACATTTTTTTTATTCCACCTTATCTTTCTAATGATTCTGTCACGAAATAATATCAAGGGCCGTTTCACTATCTACGAATAAGAAGTACCCGATAAAATGTGACAGACAGATAATGTAATAAATACATATATTCTAAATTAAATTTATGTTGGCTATTTGGACATAATTAAACTTTACTAAATATACTTTTGCAGTATTTTTTTCAATCTAAAGAGATTATTTTCTTTTAACAAATAAAGAATAAAACATGCTTCAATAGAACAAAGAACAAACATGTGAGATAGTTCTTATAGAAGATAATTTCTATTAGAAAACAGAGAACTTAAAAATAGAACATTTAGAACCTAAGCTAGGTAAACTAGGTATGCTAGGTCTGCAAACATCAGTGCGAAATCGTGCAATCACAAATAGCTTTAAAAAGGTATTTTGCGTACAGACAAAATGTTTATTGAAAATAACGACCTACCAACGTGAATTTACCGAAATAACTCTACTAGTTTCAAGTCACAGCGGGACTCTTATTCATGAGCAGCGTGCGCGTCGCGGCTACGTTGCGCATACTACTGTTTTACGTTGCCGTAACGCGCACGCTGTTTGAACGGTTTTCGATACGTTTACGACGCTTTCTATTAAAAAAACGGTAAAACTTTATTGAAAAACTAAAGAGGAACACAGAAAAAACAACTCAGGTTGTGATAGATTATGTATATTTTAAGGTACCTATATCCAAAAATCTGCAGGAAGGAACTATTCCACGCGAACGAAGTCGCGCGCAAAAGCTAGTATACCTACTCATACATAATCACTGTGTAAATTGAATGAAGTATTAGGTAATTTTAACACGACTGCCCATAAAAAGGAGTGCTACGTTTTTTCACGTATAGACATTGTGGTAATTATTTTTTTAAGTAATACAACTTATTCACACATCTATTTTACGAGGAACTCGACTTGTTTCAAGCCACACAAGGGGCTGATATTCATGTGTGATACGTAACGCGGCGAACGTCACTCTGCTAAATGCATTGGTAGGTAGTTTTGCAAATAATTGTAACAAGAGCACAATTGTGTTTTTTGAAGCGTTACTATACCTAACCTACCTACATTTTGTTGTTCACTAATTATGGCACTTGTAATTTAAACGAAAACATCATCTAAGTTATATTACATTAGGTTTAATTTTCTTTTTTATTATACTCTACGATATTGATCTAGTTAGGTACGTATTTGTGTGAGTATTATCTAGCATAAGAATTGATTTAATATTCTAGCTATTGCTTAACTTTGTGACGGCCTAGTAGATAAAAAATATAAAATTTAAGTTTCCATTGTAAGTTAATAATAATACATAGGTTACAAAAACAGAAAATCTATTAGGCTGTACGGCTTACTCGAGTAACTGTTCGACGGCGTTACTCGACAGATTTCAAGACACGCCGGGGCCTATAATCACAAGGAGTTCACGCGATATCTGACGGGTAATCCGTACAACCTAATTAATTTAACAATTCTGCGATAGTTATAAAACTAATTAATAAGAAATTTTCATATTTTGTTGCAAAAATATATATACATAGTAAAGTACCTACCTACTTTCAAAAGAGTAGATATCGTCAGTCAAATGGAATGAAAAATATGGTATGGGTAGGTATTTTAACTTTAAGGGAAATATCAAAACAGTTGCTACCTTATTTAAACATTTTACAAAGAAATATAAAAAAATTAACATGGAAAACCAAAATTGCCAAAATGCATGAACATACGATCGTACTCAGGCAAGACTCATATAATGGTTATTCAACCAGTCCTTTGCTTAAGTAATCGTTAAAAGTCTAAGTAGCTATGGCAGTTACTCAATAAGTGTATGGGAGGTATCCAGGCACACAGCGTTGTAACATTAAAAAATTAAGAATACAATTAAAAGAAGACGTGAAAGAATGGGGTGATACTTAAATATAATTTCGCGATGTTATGGTCAATATTTATAATGGAAATACTGTATAAGACAATATTAAAGACATACGCGAATGCAAATCGAGACAATACATAAAAGAGTTATATAGTATGATTCCCCTAAAAACTGCCTCACACCGACGATAAAGAATATTTCTCACATACTAACATACAAAAATTCGCTCATCATCGAAACATTGACACCATTTCACGCATTCGTAAAAAGCCATTTTATACAGATTATAAATATTGACCACCACACTGCAGACGTCGCCATCTTAGAACTAAACGTTACATCTATACCAACAACTGAGAACCCACGCATTAAAACCTTTATCAAAGACCCTCGATCCTTTATCACAGTGGGTGATGTGGTTTCTTTAAGCTAAAGCTAATTACGAGCTAATTATACCTAAAGTAGGAAATAGGAACGGAGATAGAGAGGCAGACAATTTAAGAGATACAGTAGAAGTAGTTGAAGATGATGGAAAAGATGAAAATACTGCTGTGAGAAACGGACTATTTAACAAGGCAGGAATAGTAGGAACGGTGGTACACATAAGTGTGAAAAACAATGCAGAAAAAGCTGTAGATGACAAGATAGATGAAAAGATAATAGAAATGAATACAGATGTAAGAATTTATATTGATGAAGCTAGTCTAGCAAATTTGAAAAGACTCGTGAATGATAAAATAGTATGTAACTCAGGTCAGTTTGTACTTGATATATAGTATGTACCTACTTAGAAGAAATTCGCATTTAGAAAAAGCTTGTGGATTATAGAAGCAACAGAAAACTCCTCTTTGCAGATTAATTTATGAGGAAAATGAAAGTCAAAATATTTGGGCATAAGACAAATGACACACAGAAGAGGAAATGTGAGTAGATGAGACAGAAGATTGTAAGGCAAATTCTTAATTTGAAATTTAGTTGTTACTACAAGAAGAGGAAAATTACAGACAAGTCAGAGTTTAAAGAAGAAATGGTGGATTGTGGATAAAATGGGATTGATAAAAGTAAAAAATATAATAACGAATTATCAATAGTAATAGTAGGAAACAAGAAAAGAGAAATTGTTCTAGAATCTCTAGATAATGTAAAAGAAAAAAGACTATGGATAGGTAGATTTTAATGTGTAAGAAAGAGATGAAGCAAGATCATCTAGTAGAATAAAAAGAGAGAGCAAGATTTAGAACTTATCCTTAAATTTGAATCTATATAATCTTACGTAATAATATAATTCTATACTAAGCTAAGCTATACTAACTACTTAAACTAAACTTAATGCTACTGACGAATGAAATAAATAATAAAAAATACATTTGACTAAACGATTCTACTCTTTAAAAAGTAAAGGAGTAAAACTATATCAATATTGAAACGTATTCCAAAATACTAAGGTCTAATTTACTGAGACACAACTGCGTCAGACTATACGTTATACATTGCTCGCAATGTTCTTTTGTTTGTGTTTGCGCTATCGATTACGCGGTGAATTGCAGCAGTGTACAACAAACAAACAACGCCCGTATGTTGCTTACGGAATCAAAGTAACTATCTAGTCTGGATATTTAAATAAACTAATGTTATACGGAATATTGTTAATGAATCTACTATTTTACATGAATATTTTTATGAGTGCGTAATTTAAATCTACCAACATCAAAAGTCTAACAGAAAAACTATGGTGTAAATAATATATTTCTTAACTGTACTATTGTGTACTAAGTAGATATGGTTACTTACAAACGTGTGATTTTAATTTAAAGGTCACATAAAATGGGCGTTAGGAGAAATGATTTTCTGTGATTTCAACGCACACTTAATCTAAAAACAACTTATTTTCAATTTTTTTCGTGTCATAAACTTTTATTCTTAGTGTACCTAGGTATGCATTGAAAGGCCCTTATACCTAAAAAAGATGGTAATTTACTTACTGAGATAATTTATTAAGTACCCAAATTCTCGTAAATATTTCTTCAATCGATTAAAAGCTATATGATAACAAGAAAATTCTGCAAAGAACAAGACACATTTACATCAAAACTGTTAGATAGGAGTCGATTCCAATATTTAATTGTAGGTAATTAAGTAAATCGCATGTTTTGTTAATAAAAATGAAAATTACAATCAATTCTATAATTTATCTCAAACGAGTTTTTTACTTAAAAAAAAAACTCCAAATCTATATTAATATGATAATGAGGTAAAATTTTTAAGTTTGTATGTAGAGCGTAATCTTTGAAACCGCTGGTCGGATTGCAAAAATTCTTCCACTGATAGATAGCTAACTATAATAATGTTCCTGAGTGCTATGGCTGTAAAATATCACGCTAAGACCAAATGGATCTGAGCAGCGAGTAAAACCGCGCGAGAGTAGCTAGTGAACTAAAATTAAATGTTGTTCTGAAACGTCAAAATAAATTAATAGTCTGTTAGTCTGTTCGTCAGTGAAGCTAGGTTAAAAATATTCTCTATTGTTGGAGACATACCTACTATTGTATTCTACCCTGGCTGCGCTGCCGGGAAAATTTAAATGTCCCTTGATATACTTTTTCATATAAACATATTGGAATCGGCTCAAAGTAAAATAAAACAAACAATCTAAGACGGAATCCATATTATTGGACGGTAATCGTGGACTAAGAAGCAGTGCTTAGACTTATCAATCGTGAAGAGTACTTTAAGTCATTTGACGGATACAGTTTTTCAAATATATTTTTATATGTACTTAGATTAATTAAAAAAACTAATAAACTTATTATTCAATCATACTTTACATATAAATATATTCTTAAAGTTGATAAATACATTTTTATTGTAGTAACTTCGAAAAAAGAATATTCATTTTAAATTAACAACAAATTCACAAAAAAGTTATAGCTACTAAAAATCTAAAAACAAATTGTACAGAGAAAATAAATAAATAATGATAATACCTATACTTATCTAAATATTATTATACTATTGAGATCAATCCGAAAAAATGTGGGATGAGTAAAGAACTGCTATGCAGTAGAAATATTAACAAAAATATCTATAAACAATTATAATTCAATAGTTGAATAACAAATACATGTTGCATGGGAAATTCAGCCATTCAATCAAACGACTAGTCATTTATGCTGTTAGTTAAATGGCCAATTAATGGCTGTGATATAATTTCCCGATGAAATATTGGAATGAATTATATTTTGTAAACGACCTTATGAATAACTTTCAAAGCGTTCGTGTTTATTATAGGTACATAATGTACCTATATTTTAGAAAATTGATTTCTGCTTTATTTAATTTCAATTTTAATTAAAACTTTTTTATATTTTTTCGTTTGAGCCAATTGTTGTTTTATAAATTTTAAAGTCATCGAAAAATAAAAATACTTACTTAAATTGATAGATACTTCTTTTTTGAGCTTGCAACTGCCAATAATTTTTGAGTTCTTAATTTTTTAAATTGAGATTCTAGATTCGAATTAATGTTTTATAATATGCTCGTATAATGCAATGTTAATAAAAATACTGATCGTTAGAAGATGTAACATAAGAATTAGGTACTTACATAAAACATTTGATTCGTACCTAATTAAAAAAAATAATGCCTTTTATTAACCATGATGGTTTTTCTTTGTTTTTAAAACACTAGGTAACTATTTTTCTAAATAAAATATAAGATGTCATATAGACACATTTTAATGCAATGACCAAAGAAGATATTAGCGACCTTTTTTAAAACTTTTTTAATCATTCATAAGTTTTCAATGTATTAACTTTTTCAAATATTACTACATGCAGAATACATGTGACAAAAAGGCTTTAACCTTGCTTTTTTTGTTTCTACCTTTTTGATTTCATTAGATTGAAATTCTTCCGCAATTAACCCAATATGAAAACAAAACGATCATTACCTGTCAATGTATCTAATAAAATCATTTTTCTAATTAAGAAAAACCATAAAGGATCAACGTAAAATTGATTATCTCATCTTCAAAACGCAAACGCGATTGTAAACGTTATCTATGACAAAAAAAGTATAACTTGGCTCTCTGGAGCTAAACCTGGACGTTGCACTATGAGGACTGCGTAGTCCTGGGGTTCCGAGGACACTGCATCAGGTGCCTCTGCCAGGGAAGGTCGCGAGCCAGCACGTTGGTGAAGCAGTACGGACATTTCCATTCGTCCATGCCAAGTGCTGGAAATGATAATGGATATTTTAATTTTTTTTTAATTTCACCACACTCTGAGTTTTCCTCCTGAGGCTTGGATGCATGTACAACCATATAAATTTACAAATACATTACACCCAGCCCGGGAACAACAATTACCCAACTACACAATGTGGTGTGTCGTGCGTATGTCGTGAGTATGTCGCCGCGTGTCGTAGATCCCGAGCGGCGGTAGTTTGTTTACATAAACCGCACATCGATTTAAGCCACGTAAAAATTATGAATTTGAAAAGAAAAAAAGTCACTTACGAATACAATTGGCGTGGTAGTCAGGGTCATCAGTCCTGAGGGCTGCGCCGCACTTATGACACGCCTTCCAGCTCCCCTCGCTCATAGTACACTCCTCTGTAAAGTCAATTCAGAAATCAATACCTATTTACGTATATTATCTATCAAATGGTTATCTTATATCAAATATTATCTCTATCAAATAAAGACCGTATCTAATAAATATCAATAACACTGGCAGTATGTGATAGCCCAGAACTGAACTATGAGGGACCCGTGCAAAAGTGAATTTGCCTTAATTTCCTATCTTAACAGGCAGGCTGGCTGACATCGCCATTAAAAGTTTTAGAGTTTCAGAAAGCCTTGCGTTTAGAACCTGGTCAGTTCTTACGTCAAGAAGACCGCAAAAATCATAAAGATTCTTCTCCAAAGTCCTTTAAAAACCATATTCTTCTTCATAGTCACCACAAGACTCATAATCATCAATTCCAAGGTGAGCACTGCTGGACGTAGAGTAGAAAGGTGTACAGTAAACAGAAATAAGACTTATACCTTTCTTGAGAGGAGAAAATCATCAAATGTCTTCTCCTTCTGTAAGTGCAGTGAATCGAATACAGAGTGTCAGACTGTAACTGACTAAAAACCACCCTGATCCTCCTGCTGTCGTGAGTCGTAACTGTATGATCATTGTACAAGATAAGGCGTAAGACCATGAATGTAATTACCGAGTAAGTGTGTGTGCAGCATCCTGGCCTCGAGCGCGACCCGGCAGTGCGGGCAGCGCGCGAGCAGTACACAGCGGCGCCAGTAGTGCGCCTCCAGCGCCTCCGCACGCACTCGCCGCCCACACCAGGAGCACGTCGTGCTGTGAGAAGGGGGGATTATTACTACTTAAAAATTAAGGATTATATTATATTGAGCTAAAGCTGTAGGGTACCCAGTCGACTTAGGCATGCCATGAGAAAGGAGCGTCATGGAGCGTAAGCAAGAAAGCACGGAATGAGCAAAGCACTAATCTCAGAAAAAAAGTTAGGTTCGCCTATGCAATTCTTGCCTAAATCACATAGGCACCAGTTTAAATCCAAGAAACAACGAATATCAAGAGTAATTACTAAAAGTGCTATCCAAACTAATATTATAAATGCGAAAATGACTGTCTGTCTGTCTGTCTTTATTTTCTTTACACTTAAACTACTGAACCAATTTTGTGATATTTGGTACAGACATAGTTTGGAACTGGAGAAAGGACATAGGATAGTTTTTATACCAAAATTCTGCAAGAAGTCACTATTCCACGCGAACGAAAAGTTTAATTTTATACCTAATTCTGATTTATAAATTTTGTCATTCATACTCACTGCAAGCTGATGGTTTCAGGTATATTCTCAGACACGTCTGCATTGCCGACGTCGTAGGGCTCATACTGATGTTCATTGCTTGCAACCTGATGCCTTCTCCCTAAACATATTCAAATCACAGAAAAAAAATCAATAAACTATTTAAATGATTATTCGACATAGGTACTCGAAATGAGAAGGTATTCACCTGGACTATAGTAACCACTCTCATCCATCTGGCTATGCTCATCAAGATGCAGGTTCCTTAGTCCAGCGACCAGCTTCGGTGATTCCAACACTCCATCCCTAAAGTAATCAGCCTTCACTTTTGGAGAGTCCAGGCTTCTGCAGTCCGAATCACATCTTACATCATTTCTAGACATTTGTGGAGAGTCCATTGGCAAGGAATCCATACTCCGAAGGTCATTTTTGGAGGTTTTTGGAGAACCTAAAGTCGGAGAGTCTCTGTAGTCCAAATGTAAGGGCTCGTACACTGTGACCGGTCTTTCTTTGAGTTGTGGCTTCGAAGGTTCGTGGTCGTAGTGGATCATGGAGTGTCTGTTCTCGGTGTTGCGGTTCGTTCGCCGGTAGACCACCTGCTCGGATAGGGATTGACTCTGACTGTGCGACTCTTGGAAGTGTACCTGAGGATGTATCGAATGAGGATAGACATAATTTGTGGTCTTTTAGAAAATATTATCAACGGCTTTCTCAAAAGACCAAAGCAATGGTCTCATCATTGGACTAAATCGCAACCATATATTAATCTGACTGGGCCATCTACACAGTTTTATCTTTTTGTATCCATGATAATCCATGATATTAAGTCAGTAAATATTCATAAACAATGTGCAATAAAGTTTATATAAATAAATCAACATAGAAAAAAACTTACTTTCTCAACGCCACCTGAAGCAGCAGACCTCGGCGAATGTTTCGGACTCACAGCGCTATCCAACCTCAACTTATTATACCCAGGATAGTTGGAAAAGTCCTTCGCAGCAGCTCGAGGAGTATACCTCTTCGTAGGAGACTTCTTCAAACTACTCTTTGTTTTAGAAGTGGTATAGCTTCCACTAATGCTAGAAGGAGCAAGGGTAGCACCGCTTGCACTTGACGTCATGGACTTCAGACTGTAAGATGAAGTAGCTCCTATGGATGAGGCCATGCCCAAAGAAGCGGTCATGCCACTAATGCCACTGACTGTGGTGCCACTTCTAGTAGACTGAGTGACGCTAGCTGTTTCCATCGTCGAGTCTGCCATTGATTGGTCGTTGCCGTTGAGAAGTTGTTCTTCTGTTGGAGCTTGATTCAGCATTTTCTGGAAAGTGACATATAAATAATGTTTTCATTAAGAGAAGTAACAATTAAATTTGGGAGAAGTATTATAATATATCTATTTCAATTACAAAACTAATTTGGTAGGTATGGGTCTTATATTTTGTCAACTTTTGGCTCATCATGGTCTCAGTTATTTCGTCTATTGTTTACTTGGTATCAAATATCAGATGGATAGTATGTGTGTAAGTAAGTTTCATTTGTTTCGAGCTTCAAGGAAAGAAACAGGACACATACAACTTCTATAAAAAGTTGGATAACATTTCAGTTGTACTTAAAAAGAACCAATCAAAATCACCACCATGCTCATCACAGAAGATAATAAGTAAAACTTATAACTGGATTCGGTTATCATTGTACCGATAGTCGTGTCAGCCAATGGCTTCTAGCTAAGAGCCTCGACCAACACCTTAGGAGGCTATCGTTAGGTGCTGGATTAAGGGCTTTATTCAGAAAACGTACTCCTGGACACGGCTCGTATTGTAGCTAGGACCCTGTCCCCGATACAGGTGGGACGCTTTTTTATTAAAAGCTTAAATGCTTTTTATTATCTTTTTTTAAGAAATATTTAATGGTAAATAAAAATAACAAATAAAATTATACCTGCATATCAATCCTATCGAACTGCTGGAACAGGTGTCTGTAGATCAGGTTCCTCCTGGTAACTGCATCATCAGGTGGTAGCTGTGCCCTGACCACGCGAGGTGACCGTGCATACGCTGCCAGCAGAATTCGTTCAGCGGCCGCGCGCACTGAGCCGGCTGCGTGCTGCGCTCCTGCAGCGCCACATTCTGCTAGACGACGGACTGTCAAGCCGCTGGAAGATCATGGTTCTATGAGATGTGTGGTTTGGACCTGAAGCTGATCTTTTAAGCCTGATACCTTTTCTAATTTAAATTGTTAATGATTGCGATTTATATGCATAAACTTACTGCTGTAAAAAAAGTTCGTCCTCGAAATTTCTTAGTTTAGGTGATGTATATTGTGGATATATCTACAGATTATCCTGATTCTTATAATTTCAAAGCATGACGAAAGTCTGTGTATATAAAACTGAAAGTTATTTGCTTTAAAACCTTAATTTTGAAAAGTAATAGAGGTAACTTATTGCCCTACCAACTAATTTAGTCCACAATTCAGAAAAAGAAAGAAAATGATTCATCAGTATCAAATATTCTTATAAGGATCTTTGAATTTTTATTTCTATTGCAACAAAAACTTAAATGGCAATCAACCTTCATCCACTTGACCTTTCGCCCACTGACAGACAAAAATTCACTGGACCGCAAAAAAGTTAAAACAAAAGAAATTTTTTGTTCGCTCAGAGCTCTCAGATTGGAACGGGTTATTTAAGCTAACATCTCATCGGGGATATAGCTCAGTGGTAGAGCAATCGACTGCAGATCGATAGGTCCCTGGTTCAAGTCCGGGTGTCCCCTAGATTGTCTTTTTGTTAAAAGCCGGGACATTTTTATAGATAGGTGTATTATTTTAAGACGGTGGTTTTAAACCAGGTAGTAGGCAATAAAAATTATGAACTTAATTTTTATAATAGGATCAATATTTCGGATTTCAAAATAATCGATATCGATTTTAATTTTTGTACACTATAAAACTTAACTTTTTGTTTACATTTTTTCTAGAATTAAAAAGTTAAACTGAACATTAGGTATGAGAATGGAATTCTTCTTAGGTATTAATCGTCACCCTAATCTCGACTACAACAGGCTCTTTAGAGAAGCCTTATTAATTATCCGAGTTAATATCGCCGAGCCTAAACAAACGATTCCCTTAGTTTAAATACTAGAGGCATAAGTTCAAACTATCCAGTAGTCTAAATACAACTGTAACATTAGAGGCATAAGTTATAAAATAAATTGCCACCTATTCTTGTCCGTAGAGATTCCATGGCTGAGTATCAGCTGTTCCAACATCTGCAATCGAGAAAGGGCCAGGCGAGGGTGCATGGAGGCCGCCACTGGACGTACAAGCTGCTGAGGGATTAGGTGGAGGCTCCTGAAAAAAATATTATCGTTATCAGCCTATAAATGCCAATGCTCAGCGAAGGCCTCTTGTCATAATGGCAGAAGGTTTAAGCAATAATCACCATAGTTATTCAGGACAAATTGCGAAGAAATATACTATTGTAGCTAGTTAATTTATTGCGCTTCGGATCATGAAAGTTCAGTAATAAGTTGAGTATTTTATTTATATTATTGTCTCGGTTAGAAGTCTGATGTCATTTATGCCTAACACACACTAGTTCGAAACCCTTTGGTACTGATAGCGTTTTGTTTTCCTAATATCAGTTCTTGCAAAACGGGATTAGTCTTTTGGCATAATAGTAATAGTTTTATTGACGAGATTATATTCATTAATTAATTTGTAACTGAATTTAAGACAACAGTTGTATTGAACCCTCATCAATAGGATTAGTCGATACAATACTTTTACTCTGGTTACAAAAGTATGACACTAATATATTTTAAGAGTATTTAGCTTACTGCAGGAAAAGTCCTTAATTTACGAACCTGACTTGAGGACAGTCAGCCACAGTAAGCACGGTGTGCTGAGCGGTGGAGTGCACGCGAGGAGCAGGGTCCCCACACGCACGAAGCAGCTCCGGTAGTAACTTCTCCAGGCAACGACCCACCTCTGCAGCGCATACCCTGGAAGGAGACAATTACTAGAGAGACGGGAATTAAAAAAAGAAAGCTTCCTAGCAGACACAAGTACGTAGACCAAAACAAATGACAATAAAAATAACTGGAAGAAAGAATAAATGGCTTTATATGAAGTTTAATAATAATATCCAAAAAGTCTGATAAATTAAATGGATGAAGCTTAAAGGGACGAAAAGACTTGTCTTTTCAGTTTCTCCAAATTCTTTGTGATTGATTTGGCAATAACTCAAAGGTTCAGTCAAACACATTTTCTCCAAGGAGAGATTTTCAAATGTAATAGCTTGTATAAGAACGAACTCGAAGATCGACCGGGAAGAACTTATAATCTGTTTAATATCACTGGGAAAACTAATGGAAAAACTCTTACACTTAAGTCATAAACTAATTCGCCTTACCATTAACGAGTGCATCACTGCTAACCATCAGACGGAATCGCAGTCAAGTCATATTAAAAAACCTTTAAACCTTCCAAGAACAGAATCCTTACCTATCAGGCACGAAATCCTTGAAAAGCACCTTCACCACTTCATTGGCCTGGCTGTAGACAGAGAACACCTTGTCTCTCAACGCTCTCTGCAGCAAGATGGCCGCTGCCCTGGCTGTTTTGTTCGGAGAAGTCTTGGTGCTGCCATTGGATGGAGACGACAGTTCCGCACGGAGACGAGACAGGCCTTCTTCTTTGTCGAGGTAATTTTTGGAGTAGAACTTTTCTACCTGTGGAAGTAAGATGTTTTTCAACAACAACAGAATATATTGCATGAATTGCTTTGGCGCGATGGTTGATCTGGCTACCATGCGTGTTGTGGATTCGATAGCCGCAGGATAAAAGTCTGTGCGATACACAAATTGTTGTCCCGGGTCAGGGTATGGTGTGTAGTAATATGAAACTGTACCTTTGTAAATCAAATCGTTTAAACTCACATAAGGCGGCAATGGATTTAAATAAAATTAGTCTTTAGAATTCCAAAATTTTCGAGTGTCAGAGAGTTTGGATTTGGCGTCGTTTAAATGTTTTCTTGTTAGCTAAGTAATCGCAAGTACAACAGCTGAGCAATATGCTCAATTCCTAGACGGAGAAAAGTATTATTTGAGGTCTTCCAGTACTTCCAAATCTAATTGAAGTACCTACTTCCTTAAGTTTATTTTCTCCATTCATGCATCAACAGCAAGATTAATACACGAACAGCGTTGCATTAGATGATTTAAAGAGTTCCTTACCAATGGGTAACCAAATATAAGTATAGGTAACGCAGCGTGCTTCCTCTCCCGTTCGTTCAGTTTGTGAGGCGGCGCCGTGCGGGAGTGGGAGGTAGCCGCACTGCCTCCACTGCACTCCTCCTCGCGAGCCTCACGAAGGTACTCGTTTGTATGAGAGCTAGGAAAAGGGACATCAGTCAAAGGTTTCTTATTGGTCACAATGTTCTTAACAAAACAACAATCATTTTCAGTTTGAAGAAACCCGCAGTTTGCAGAAAGCTATACAGAATTGAACAACTTCATACAATTTTCAACAAGATAAATAGGTAAAACAAGGTTAATGTTGAAAACGCCAACTACATATAAGTGGCCACTGCTGAGCAAAAGCCTGTTCTTATACAAAGAGGTAAGAGCATTAATCACCGAGCCAACTCCAGGCGGATTATTAATTTCAAATAAATTATTAGGTCTTTACTTCTAATTAGAACTTATAAGTTTGAATAAGCCCAGATTCCTCGCAAGTACAAACCTCACTGTATGTCAATGTTGTCCAAGGAAACTTAGCTAAAGGACATATAACTTGAAAAATTTCATATTGGTACTCGCTTAGTTGCAAAACTTTACCCGGTTTTTTTTTTGTGAGGGGAATATCATCAAATAACTTCTCCCGCCCAGGGCCGGGCAGGAGGGAGTATCAGACTCTTACTGACTAAAAACCCCCCTGTTCCTTCTCCTGCTCTGTGCCGAGGTCGCGGTACCTCATTGCGCTTACCCCGCAACCCCGGCTGAACATCAGCCCTTTAGTGTGTGTGGTAAAATAGCAAATAGAGCAAGAATTATGTTTAACTTTTTTAAGTTGCTTTTCAACTACGACGAGACTAAGACTAAGTATAAGATCAAATATCAACAGATTTTTCTTGACGACAAAGAAAAAAATGAAGTTGAAGAGCCAAAAACTTACTGCCTCAGTGCTGGTAGTAGCCGTTCTTCATAAGCTTCAAACGTTGATCGTGGTCCTGCACTCTTATTTCTGCGACGCACTATTGAACCTGGAACTCAAATTGACGTTGCTCAAAGTCTATGTACAAATGGAAAACTACTTTTAATACATTTAGGTAAGTGTTAAAGCTACTTTCTGGTATATTGTGTTACTAGTTTTTTTTATGTTATAGGCCAGCAAACGAGCAAACTGATTACCTACCTGATGGTAAGCAACCAGCGCAAGGACATCCGCAACAACAGAGGAATTACGAGTGCGTTGCCGACCTTTTGGGGAATAGGGATTTCGGAGATTTAGGAAATGGGGAAGATTTTTTTTTTAATAAAAACGTTGCCTCACTCTAGGATTTTCTCCTGTGTCGTGGGTGCGGTTACAAACATACAATTTCACATACACAAGACACCCAGACCCGGAACAACAATTTGTAAATCACACAAAGAGTTGTTCCGTGCGGGAATCGAACCCGCGACACGTTGCACGGCAGCCAGTTGCCCAGCAACCGCACCAACCGTGCCGCCTAATTTAGGGAGGGGAAGGACTAGGCCTCCGGTAACCACACTCACACGGCAAAACACAACTCTGTGGTTGTTTCACGCTGGTTTTATGTGAGGTATTACTCCGGTTGAGCCGACCCCGACCCATTCGTGCCGAAGCATGACCCTTCCATACTTTACTTAGTTTTTCTTCATACAAAAAGATCTTTGTCAAGAGCTTTATCTTGTGTGGTAAAGAACCACAACGTTGCTTTTTATAGTGTGAGTGGGGTTACCAGAGGACTATTTCTTTCTTTCCCCTTAGCCATACTTCAATTCCAATCCTTAAATCCAAAATGACAGCATAGCAACGTACTTTTACTGCACTGGTGTTGCGGTTGTCCATGGGCGGCATCGAATTCTTTCGATCAGGTGGTCTGTCAGATCGTTTAGTACCTCCTACCATAAAAATGTCTTTCTCCTTCTTATCAAGATTTTTTATTTTTAAAAATCGTTACCTCACACTGGGTGTTTCTCCTTTGTTCGTTTACAAACACATATATAACACACCTAGACCCGAAACAACTATTCGTGAAACACACAAAGAGTTGTGGCGTTCATGAATCGAAACCGCGACAGTTGCCCAGCCGCTGCGCCAACCTTTTGAGACTTTTACTACTCTGGTGTTGCGGTTGTCGATTGGCGACACTAATTGCTTTCTATTAGGTCTGCCAGACCGTTAACTATCTCATACCTACCTTAAAAATTTCTTTCTCTCTCTTATCAAGATCATCTTACTCACCATTAGCAGCATTTGGTGTGATACTCCTCCTAGGACTGTCAGTCTCTTTCCTCAATTCTTCTTCTTCTATCTTCTGTACTTCTTTGTTCTCTTCTGGCATCATTTGGACGGGCTGTTGCACTGGCTCGGGGTACGATGGTGGTATTTCTTCTTGCAATGTTGGTTCCGGCGACTGAAATATTTTGGACATTTTCTCCCATTAGACAATATAAGTGTTCATGATCAACATAGATATTACAGGACAAAAAACCGCCCCTTAATTAGCACTCACGACCAACATGTACGTTTTTACGGTCATGTTTTGTTTAGTTCAAAAATAAACTTTGCTCCTCAATAGGATTTTCTCCTATGTTATGGGTGCCTTTATAAATAACAATTTGTGGATCACACAAAGTGTTGTTGCACAGTAGCCAGTTGCCCAGCCACTACGCCAATCGTGTAGTCATTGACTCCCAGAAGAATTCAAAAACAAATATCTCAACGCCTTCTTTCTTTGTTCTTTTTTTCTTGAAATGTTACGTTTGAGTTTATGTAGCCGCACATACATCACAACGTATGATATATTTATTTGGTATATTTAAATCAAATATTCTCAATCTCACCGGCTGCATATCCTGAACATCTTCTTCTTCATCATCTCCATTCACGTACTCCGGCTCCTGGATCTCATTCTCTTCTGGTTCCTGTTCTATCGGAGGCACTGGTGAAGGTATGTCCATGCTAAGAGATCCCGCAGCTACAGACGGTGAGAGATGATGGGAGAAGTCATACTCCTGCGGCATCGAGGAGTCGTTGCGGCGATCCGGCTTTAAAGAGATTCGGAAAGATGTTATGATAATTCCTTAATCTAATGGTAACTCAAGGTCGTGACTACACTGAACTATTTCAATAACGGTAAACGGTTTTTCTATCGTCTTACGAGATGTGATTTGCTATAAGATTTCGGTTGAGGAGAACAAGAAGACTAGACATCATCAGAGAAAACTGGACATCACATCTTCCATTGCCCCTAATAGAAGGTCACAAAATATAACCAGTTATCAGTATCCTGTAAACACTTTTCTAAGCAACTACACAAACTAGCGCTCTCAAACTTATATAATTTTTACGCTTATAGAAACTTACTCCATCCTCCTCAAATAGTCTACAAAGCTGAGGGTCTTCCTTCACCCCACATAGAGCGTCCGCTATCCTATCCCGCATCCTCCTCGCCAGCTCGAAGTCATCCCGTGCAGCTGCTGTGCGCTTGCGCAATCGCCACCGACCAATACGAATGCCGGCTGAGGCAAGCGCCGCCCCCGCTGATTTCAAACGACGAGCGTATTCGAAGCGTTCCTCTGTATGAAATATAAAGGTCTTTAAGTATATGAGACATGAGAAACATTTCATAACACATCAACCATAACGTGTATTCTTATTTTTTCTTTTTGAATAATGGGACGGCAAACTGGCATATGAATTATTTGATTTTAAGCAGTTGGCTCCACCAGAAGAGTTTGAGTGAACTGCTGGCCTTTTGGGATTTAGAGTTCGGGTTTGGTGTAGGGGAAGGAAACCTCTGGTAATCTGAACTCAAACAGAACAGACATACGCTAGTTCGTAGTACTTAGATATTATGATTCTTTACTAGATGTGTCTATAGTCCAATATGGGAAGGCACCTCTATTACCTACCTACACTAATAAACTTAGGACAGTGTCTGTATATAGTGTAATTGAACTTTGGTAGTTGACACAAAATTGAGAAAGTATTGCTTACAATACTGAACTTGAAATAAGAAATGTATTTTTTTAAGTACATTGACAAGACAACAGATTCCCAGCTTACCACTGACAGCAACCTTCTTCTTCTCGTCCAGACTCCGCACCAGGTCAGCAATGTCATTGTCCACATACATGATGAAGGCCAGGTCATCATACGGCGAGTACGCTGGTTCCTTACTGACAGGCAGCACTGGAGGAGTCTCAGTGTCTTCCACTTCTTCACCAAGGACGTTGACAGCCATAAGAGCGACCTGATCATCTTCTTTCGCTGGTGGGTGTGGACCAGACAGTTTAAGCTTAACGAACCGAGCTATTGTTGGTTCTGGAAGGGCGGCGGATCTACAAAATCGTAAAAGAAACATGTACAATTTATTGGCCAGTTATAACTAATCCAAAAAGACTTAGAAGATCAAACTAAAACATTCCTTTACGGAGAATCTTCCAAAACGATTTTGCCTACAATAAGAGTCTTAATTATCGTAGCAGTAATATTGAAAAGCTGTATAGCCTGTGGGGTCTACCTCAGTTCCCGAGTCCTAGCTTGCTGTGCAGGTCTGGCAAGAGTAACCTTCCCCACACTGGTGTAAGTGGCTCCACACGGAGTAGCAGCGCCTTCCGACACCAGCCCTCCAGACACCAGGACTTCTACGCAAGACGCTGAAATAAGGAAAGGGCAAATTCAGAAATGCACATACTTCTTTCGGTCTATTCGAGATCGCCAATCCGTCGTCAGGAATCATGGTGTTAACTGCTCAAACCTGACAAGAAACCTTTGCTCAGCAGTGAGCACTTATAGGCTGATGATATGATTAAGAGTAGCCGGGCCGTGGATCAAGGGCAATAAGGTAGCGTGGCCTCGCCTGGAGCAGGATAAGGAACGAGGAGTTTTTAGTCAGTAAGATTCTGACATTCTCTCTCTCGCCATACCCTGGGCGAGAGAAGTTATTTGATTACTTTCTCTCCACAAAAAAGGTAAAGATGATAGTTTTTAAGTATTTCTTTTTTTATGGTATAAGTCGGCAAACGAGCATACGGATTGCCTGGTGGTAATAATCGGCGCCGCTCATGGACACCCAACACCAAAGGTGTTATGAGAGCGTTGCCGACTGTTTGGGGATAAGGGTTGCGGATATTTAAGGATTGGGAAGGAATAGGGGAGGGCAAGGGATTGGGCCCTCGGTAACATCACTCACATGGTGAAATTCTTGAATATAGGTCACGGTACGATACTTACGTATAAGCTGATGATGAGCTAGCAGCTGCAGTTTGTGGACCGAGGTGACGCGGGCGAGGCGGAGGAGCAGCTCGTGTGGCGGTGTGCCCTCGCTGCGCCAGCCGCGCGCCGCCGGACCTTGGGCGTTCAGCTCGCATGCTGGATAGGAACTGTCTTCACCTGGAGATAACCAAATATACATATTATAAACGTTGGTATTATAGCAAACTGTTGGAAAGCATACAAAGAAAAGTACTGTGATTCGTTGGTCAGAACTTGAGTAAAGAATACCAGACAAAATCATCAAGGTTGTTGTAACGATTATTGTAGAACTAATTTAATACGCGACAGTAAAGAAAGAAAGAAACGTGCTGATAATGATGATGAGTGAGGTGCTATTTTGTCAATAATGTTAAACGAAGGAATATTGTTTTCAGGTGTACTAATTTTATGGAAGGAAAATCATCAAATGACTATCTCCCGCCCCAGGGAAAGCCGGAGGGGTGTCAGACTCTTACTTACTACAAAACCCCGCTCCTTTTTTTATGGAATAGGTCGGCAAACGAGCAGACGGATTACCTGATGGTAAGTAATCAGCGCCGCCCCTGGACACCCACAACGGAGGAGTTACGAGTGCATTGCCGACTATTTAGGGTTTAGGGTTTTGGAGATTTAGGGATTGTGAGGGATCGGGGGAGGGGAAGGATTGGGCCTCCGGTAACCTCACTCACACGGCGAAACACAACGCTGTAGTTGTTTCACGTCGGTACTCTGTGAGCCGTGGTATCACTCCGGTCGAGCCGACCTATTCGTGCCGAAGCTTGGCTCTCCCACACTTAAGTTCCTTCTCTTGTTCCGAGCCACGTCTGCGGTATATGGAGATAGACGATCTACCAACCCTGGCAGCGATGTCAACTAGACTTAAAGATACTTTTGTGAATAAAATATCAAAACATCATTCGATGCTGTGTGGGAGAGGCAAGGAATGGTTCGGCTCGAACGCAGTGGATACCACGACATCACAGAAAACCGGCGTGGAACCACCAGCGCTATGTTTCATCGAGTGAGTGAGGTTGCTGGAGGCCCCAATCCTTCTTCCCCATCCTCAATCTCCGAAACCCCAATCCCCAAAAGGCAGCTGGCTACGCCCTCATAACTTTTATGGAGATGGGAGTGTCCATGGCCGGCGCCGAATGGGTACGATCAGGTAAACTGCATGTCCGTTTACCATCCTTCATAAAATTAATGCTGTCTTTTTTATAGTAAAGCTATTTGTTAATGAAATAGTTTTACCAACAATTTAATTACCCAGAAGTGCTGAAATGCTAAGCATTTTAATTAGCCTTCGTTGGCAGCTCATAGTTACGTGGGCTACGTGCATAACATAATATAAAAATACATAGCTACGAAGATATTGACGTGACAAAGCTAGAGTTCCCTCCAATAATAATTTCGATTATCTAGAAACTGTTTGATACAGAAAGTCTGTTCTTTGTAAAGATGTTTTTTCGGTAATTCATAATCACTACATAGTATAAAACAAAGTAGCTATATAAATATTGAATTATTGTTACCTACTTTAAATGCGGAAGAGCATTGCTCCGGCACGAATGGCTCGACTCCCCCTTAGTCATACACTGCCTCACAGAAAACCAGGGGCCCAAGTCTATTATTTTCAAAGTGTTGTCATTCCTACACGATCCCATTGTCATTTTGCTAAAAGTTCGTAATCTGTTATTTCAAAATGGCTGATCATTGGCGTTAGGCATTGTCGTAATAGAGTTAGTACGAGATGCCTTGTAACGAATCACAAACAATAACTGCACATTGATATTCTAAACGTAAATCATTGAATAAAGGCACTGTCATTTTTTTATTAATTGACCGCAATGTGTCAAATATTCATTTGTCTCATATATGAGATTACCGTTCTAAAGAATTATTTCAATAAAGTGGCATTGGTCGATCATTGGAAAGTCATAATGACGCTATCGTGTTAGTAGATTACCAAACTTGTCAAATTCAACAATTTTGAAACCAATGATCTACTATTCTGACACTATATTTTTATTATAACTTTCGTGAGACATTCTAAATTATTTATTATGTTTTCGGCTTACTCACGTAATAATTTGACGAGATACTCGACTAGTTTCAAGCCATGCTAGAGGCCCATATTCTGATACTATTGTAATAGCAGACCCGAGGCCCAGCATGTCACAACCACAGCTTTGCGCCGAAGGCCCAATCCTTGTTCCTCTCTAAAATTTCTGCCTTATGCTTGAAACCCCATGTCCCCGATTGTATCTGAGTAAAGTTTGAAAGCACCTATATTATTTCTGGAGTGTCATCGAACGACTTCTCTCGCTTAGGGTGACGCGAGATATAATATCAAACTCTTACGGACTAAAAACACCCTGTATCTTCTGCTCCAGACCAAGGCCGCGATATGTTATTGGGCATGAACTGCAACCCTGGCTGAACATCGGCTCTGTTAGGCACTATCTGGGGTGGCCTGTAGGCTCTTCGAAATAACGGAACGCTACGCTCCGTACGCTTGGGTCTTGTTCTGGTCGGCCGCCGAGCTACCCTTGGTTGGCGTCCCGAGCTACCCTTGCAAATGTGTAGTCACTTATTTTTATGCGATAGAACGGCAAACGAGCAGTAGGATTATCTGATGGTAAGCAATCAGCATCGGACATGGACAAAGGAAGAGATAAGAGTCCGTTGCTGACCTTTTGGGATTAGGGTTTAGTTGATTTAGGGATTAGGGGAGGGGAAGAATTGGGCCTACATGGCTTAAAATCAACATTTAGCGCCAATATTACAAAATAAATCCATCAATAAAGCTTATGAACTAGATATTGCCTATCATAGGATACCAATGTCCATTATATTCTCAACCATACTCCTTTATGTTAAGAATGAAAATCGAACAGCAATTTGTCAGAACTCAAAACGAATAGCTTGATTTGCGGCTCATAACTAATCACTGTACCAGCACATCAAAGGTCCCTAACCTGTAATATCTTTTTAATCAACTTTCAACCATACACAAATGGTATAAGGTTGAGTATTCTAGTACAGCAATGGTATATCTTTACTTGCTGCCTATACAAGACTAGTCACTACAATTTTACCATTAATAATGTAAGGTTTGCTTCGTCAATCGATACGAATAGTTCAGAGTTTCAATTGAGTATGATTTATTGACGGGGCTTCTGTCTGAAGTCTCATAACTTGTTTCATTATATCTATAGATGTATAAAAAGGAGTAGGCAGAAGTTTCTAATGTTTCCATATTAGTATTTGATCCTGTACTGTGGATTAACAAACATACAATTTCATATACACATCACATTTTGTTCCGTGAGGGAATTGGATCCGCGACATGTTGTATAGCAACCGAAACGAGCAGACGGATTACCTGATGGTAAGCAATCAGCGCCGCCCATGGACACCCGCAACACCAAAGGAGTAACGAGTGCGTTGCCGGCCTTTTGGGGATAGAGGTTGCGGATATAAGGATCGGGAAGGGATAGGGGAAGGGAAGGGATTGGGCCTCCGGTAAGCTCACTCACACGGCGAAACACAACACTGTGGTTGTTGCACGCCGGTATTCTGTGAAGCCGTGGTATCACTCCGGTCGAGCCGACCCATTCGTGCCGAAGCTTGGCTCTCCCACACTTGATGATGTGAGTATTCTAAAAAACCGTTTAGGATTTTTTTAGATGGAAAAATCTTAAGATATCTTCCGATTATCCGTATTGTGTTGTATTTTTGTTTTGTTCTGGCTTTCATGTCTGATGCCGAAAAAATGAATTTTTTTCTCACTTTCTTTTTTGTTTCTTTCTCTCTTTTCGCTCTGCGTGGGTCAGGAGGAGTAACAAGAAGAGAGAGACTTTTCAGCCGGGGTTGCGGGGTAAGCGCAATGAGGTAGGTACCGCGACCTCGGCTCAGAGCAGGAGAAAGAACGGGGGATTTTTACTCAGTAAGAGTTTGGCACTCTCGCGGATAACTGGATGAGAGAATTTTGATAATTTTCCACTAACAAAAAAGAAGGATTTTTTATGGAATAAGTCGGCAAACGAGCCGACTGTTTTCCTGATGGTAACGCACTCGTAATACCAAAGGAGTTACGAGTGCGTTACCGGCCTTTTGGGGATAAGGGTTGCGGATATAAGGATTGGGAAGGGATGGGGCCATTAATCACTTACAACCACCCCAATCCTTCTGCTGCTATTGACCGAGGCCGCTGTATTTTCCAACTAATCAAATTCAATACTTTTATCCAAATGTCAAAAACGATACTTTTCTATGAAATACTGAGCTATAACGTCATAGTATTTTTACGTCAAATTACTTATTTATTTCTTAAAAAATCACTAAAAAGTATCTAAAATTTTGTGTATCGATCGATCGATGAATAAAGGTATAGTTTTTTTTATTGAATTTTGTATTGAAACGTCGAATTAATTTAGCTTTGACCTAGGAAACTGCCCAATTGCACTTGCACCCTACCTACATATGTATTTTTTTTTACTTGCAATAAACTGTGCTTGACTGCGATCCCACCTGATGGTAAGGCGCACTAGTTTATTAAGAGCCTATTCACTCTAGCGTTATAGTATATAGGCGAATCTACATCTCTAGTGTGCACTATGCATACAATTAAAAAAACAGTCAATTCAAGACCCATCCATATGTAAAACGCCCAAAGTTCGCCTTAAAAAACTATAAAGCAAGTTCTAAAGTGAAATAAATATTAAAACAATTAGTAGGTAGGAATAGTTACACTACTCTTTCGACTGTAAACAACTTCTAATGAATTGGTAGTACAATCCCATTAGGCTAATGGTCCGGCCGGTCAGTACTTAGGCACTGAACAACCAGTTAACCCCCAATGTCAAAAGTGTCGGTGACAGTGGTAAAAGCACTCTATTATAATCTAGTTACGGATCGTTTTCATTTGTAAATAGAATGATGGATTCTCGTATTTCGACGCTGGTTGCCTATGAAATACGATTCGTTTTTTAAATTGGTATTATGTATATTGTTACTGACAGGTAACAATTTTATGAAATGGGGTGATCAAAAAAGTAAAAACTACTAACTGAGTCGTTAGGCCTATGGTCGCAGAACAGCCAATCAAATGATTTTGGATCCGGTTTTCAGTTGAAATTTGACTTGATTTTTTAAAGGATTGTAACAAACTCAAATGACTTCTCTCGGCCAGGGCATGGTAAGAGAGAGTGTCATACCCTTACTGATTTGAAAACGTTACCCCTCTCTCATGTTTCAGGCGAAGTTTTAGAGAAGTGTACGATCTCCGACGGCCGGAGTGTCACCTAGTGAGGAGGATAAATAATGCACTCTTAATAGAAAACAGTGCAACAAAGTGTTTTGGGGTATTGGTGAAGTTGCCAGAGGTGCAAAAAACCCTCTCCATCGCCCAATTCTGACACCCTCAAATTCAATCCAGCCCGCCTGCCAAGCAAAAAGAACTTGGCCTATCAGGGACCATGGACAATAGGAACAGTCGCTATTGTCATGCACTGGGCACCAATCTAGACTCAATTGACAATTTCCTGATAGGAAATCCTAACAAAGTTTGCTTATCAGATCTTTAAACCGATAGCGCTATCTAGATTAACAAAGCCTCTTTTAAAACATACTAAAGCATACATTATTTACCTAATATTGTTGAAATATGTTGTCATTGTCATTTACAACCTAAAGCGTCGTGAGTCTCTTAGAGAAAAGTTTAAAGAGATCAATATTATGACCATGTCAGTTTATTTATGAAAACATTATGTATGTTAGGAAAAACTTAAAAATATACGATAAGGTGTCAGATAGACATAATTATCAAACTAGACATAGAGATAGATTATGTCAGCCATTATTTAGATTGGCAAAGGTACATAAGTCGTCCATAGGATTCTGTGTTAAATGTTATAACAAAATCCCAGGCGAAATACAACAATTAAATGAAAGAAATTTTAAATTATGTGTAAAGAAAACTTTATGTAGAAAAGCATACTACACACTGAATGATAACATTGTAGATAAAGATGCTTGGAGACATGCTGGTCCTGCTCCACAGGATAGCAAACCTACACCAAAATAAATAACGTTCCAGTGGATTTTGCTTGAACTGGACTTCTTCATTTTAGTGAAATTGCATTATATTGTATAACTATAACTTGATGAATTTGTAAATGTGAGTGCCCTGTAACCTATTATAATTGGTTAGACTAGCAGAATGTCGGTCCTTATAACAGCTTGGAGTTGTCATGCTCACTGAAAGGTCACACTGGCGGTGGCATGGGCGCTGGATCGCTTAATTCCCTATAATATGGTTGAGTTGGGCGATGCTGGTGTACGTGTCATGCTCGTGAACGGGCGCCGTCAGTTGGGACTTGTCAGCTCCAGAATGTCTATTGTCCTTAAGGTTACTTTATTTTTATATTTGTATAAATATTAGTGTTACACTGTTCTCACATAATTGAACCAACTGTTTGTAAAAGGAATCTGTATGTGAAACTGATTTAAAAAGAGTAACCATGGAGTTTCTTGCTCGTTATTCTCCATCGGAATCTACACTTTGGAACGAGCAAATAGCTTCACTAAGAGGACTGACCGACAGACTGACACTATTTAAATTTTGTTTGACGTTCAAAAGTGCCTGTAAAGGTCTAATTGGAATAAATGATTTTTGACATAGGTCGTACTTTGATTATCTTTTACAAGAGTTTAAATCGCTCTCAATGTTGCGGAGGCGTGATCTGGAGGTTAAGGATCCCTATAAAGCCCAGAAATGAACTGTTTTCGAGTACAAACTTGTTAAGACTCTTTGAGCACCTCAAATAGATACGGTGAAGGAAAACATTGCGAGAAAACCTGGATGGAAAACTACTTAAATCTGGTACTAAAGTTCTAAACAATTACTAGCTATACTAGGGGTTATAAAGCCAAACTTAAAAACATTATTGCGCTGTTTCGTCTAAGTGCGGTTACCGGAGGACCTAAACTCATCTCATCATCCTGAATTCCCCTAATCTCAAATCTCTAACCCCCAAAAGGGCCGGCAGCGCACTTGTGACACGTCTGGTGTTGTACAGATGTCCATGGGCGACGCTGATTGCTTGCCATCAGGGGATCCGGCACCTCGTTTGCCCCCTCTAATCCTTAACTTAAATCATATACAGATAAATAAAATAGAATAATAGGCAGTCTGTTCGTCATTGAAGCTAGGTGTTAGTTCGTAACAAAATCAAGAAACTTAAATAAATATTATTATGTTGCAATATTATCTGCTTTGTCGCCTTAGATTCTACCAAAATCAAAAACATTCGTTGAAAATAGAATAATAGTCAATAGTCAGTCGTTCCAAAATGTAAATTCGAATGGAGAACAACGAATAAGAAACCATCATTATTTTTTAAAGAAAATGTGTGTTTTATAGTCTCACTAATACTTTAGATTTATATTTAGATCTCTATTTGATATAATTTTGTGCATATACTTACGTAAAAATGTGTAATTTACAAAAAATATAAAGAAAAATTGTAAAAAAAAATTACCCATGGGATCAAGAAGTTTTAAATATTATATCGTCTGGAATATGACACTCATATAATATGTGATTATGTAAAAATAACTTTGCTACCTATATTTATATCTATGTCCTGTGAGTTAATACGTGGCAGATCCATATTTAATCTAGTTATCTTTGTTCTCAGAATTCTAGACCTAAGTCGCTATAAACATAACTTAGGTTCTTTTATTAAATTATTCGGATATACATTGTGTAACTTATTTAACATATTAGCCGTGCATTTTAAAGTATGAATGAAAGCCGGTGGTCACTTTAATTATAACAAAAACTATAAAATACATTAGTGCTTTAAATAAAACTTGAAAAAATACTCACTTGTCGCGTAAACAACGTGGAACGGAATACGTTTTGGCATTTTCTTAAAAAAAATATTTAAAAAAAACAACCACAGCCTATCTCTTCATTTTAAACTTCAATCTGATGTTCACTTCCATCGCTTCGTCAATATTGTATTAAATACAAAACAACAAAACACTGTCAAATTAGAAAATAGATTATTTTGAATAGATACATGTTTCCTTCTACTACTTTTGTAGATTATTACATTTTATAGACAAATAAAAGCGGTTTAAGTTGAGAATATTGTGTGGACTGATAGCAAGAATAATAGTGTGGAAGTGTGAAGTTGTTGCGGACTGGGAAAAGCGGAATAATCAATATTCGCGCGGCTGAATTCGCGGTGGTTTGCCGCGCAGGCCGCAATGACTATATTGAATATAGCGCCATCTATTGTCGAAGGTATAACAATTAATAAGAAAATTCTTCGTAAGGGTTGATAAGTGGGTTGATCAAAGATGCGTTGAGCAACACTAAAACAACTAGTTATATCCTTGAACGAATATGTAATATTTGTGTTTTTCCATTTCTGGACTTATCTGAAATGATATATTTATATATTATCTCTGCCGCGGCTGAAAAATTTCTAGTCGCACTTTTTTTAGTTTTTAATGTCCCCTTAAACATTATTTTTAACCAAAATATAATAATATAATCATAAAAAAGACGCAGTAAAATTGATATTTTTTATTAAGTTAACAACATAGGTAACAGTTTAGACAACGTTCACAAACAGAGTTTTGGCACAAATGTTTGTAAGGTTGTTGTGATGTAAGGTTTTCTTGCAACAATTTGCTATTAATTAAGGAACTGTAATCGTAATACAACATAAGTTTATTTGGTAAGTTTTTTGGTATTAAATTACATAAAATAAATGACAACATTTTTATAAGTAGGAACCATTTTTAACTTTGGATGGTGGAAAGATTTTTTCGCACTTCTCTGATAACTACATTTTCGTTTTATTTTCGAGATATCTAGTAAAAATATCGTCGTCAAGTGTTTTTACCATTTTTTTTTTCTTTTAGACTGTAGTATCAGTGTCGCAGATAGATTGTATAGGTAATACACCGTTTTAAATTACGGGTAGCCGTGTTGACAACTGTCAAAGAGGCGGCTAATCTCTCGCTTTACGAGACAAATTAAGTAGATGTACATTTACATTGCGGCTACAACGAGAAGTGCCGTATTGGAGAGCGCTTTGCAATGACAATCAGACTAACAGTTAAACCGCCTTATTTCAAAATGAGCCTGTTTGATAACAGCTAGACGTAGTGTAGTACAGCGGAATGTACAATGTGCCTGCGACATCAATTACATCAAATTGTTTTCTACGTAATGTCAAAACTTTAAAAATGGAACAACAATGGAACAGAAGGTAAAGAAAAAAACGAAAACGCAACCATCAGACTCGCACTCCAAAGAGAAAGTAAATTCAGAATTAAATCATTTAACACAGTATTGCGAAATAGGCTGTGTGTTAGCCACAATCCAATCTAGGAGCGAAGTGACCCTGGTGTTCACTCCTGGGTTATCAGAAGCGCAGAAGTTGCCGAAGCTGACCATACCGACGTTGTAGAGAAGACCAGTCGCAGGGTCTGTGTAGAGGAGGGGGCCGCCAGAGTCATCCTGAAAACGATAGAAGAATTTAAGGTTATGCTTACAGGATAATAAGTCTTTTCAAGAAGATTGCTTCATTATTTCTTGCAGACTATAAAAAAAAATGTCAAATGATTGGTTCGGCGGTATGTGGTAACTAGTCCCGTGGAATTTGGTAACAACGTCGGTGGTATGTGGTAACAATGTTTGTTCCATATGGTAATAAAATCTGTGGTATGTTGTAATAATATCTGTAGTGTGCTAACTGGTCTAAACAATATTTTTTTCTTATTAATTTTGAAGTATTTATCATAGACACTAGTGTTTACTTGGGGTTTGATGAATTAACTGGATCTGTAGTGTGTACTAATTTTAAATAAGACCAATATAATCAAAATTTTCACAGTCAAAAATTGCCATTTGTCAATCAATACTCCAGTTTTGCTCGTTGCAAAGGGTGTGTTCTTATGAATGGAATAGTTCCCGCGCTCCCGAGAAGGAAGATACATGTTAAGTTCCTAGTTATTTGACGTCAGCTGATATCGATGATGACTGTTTTAAAAGATACTAGGTACCTATAAATGCCTACAAAATGAAATCATTCCATTCACCTGACAAGCATCCTTTCCAGGAGTAAAGGTGCACATCTGCCGGTCAGTGAGTCTACTGAATGTCTGCCTGCAAGTGGCTTGGCTTATGACGTCCAAGTCTACCTTCATCAGAGCCTTGGGCTTAGGTCCGCCGATGAAAAGTGTACCCCAACCTGTAAAACCAAATTAAGTATTGCGTTATGTGAGTGAGAACTAAGCCTAGTTCTCCTCCTTTCTCCAACCGACAAATACCCAATTCTCAAATCCGTAACCACTAAAAGGCCAGTAACGCAATAAATGTACACGGTGTCATGAGTTTAGGTACCTACATATTCGGCGTCTCCTGCTTAACTCCAGTCAGCTGATGAGTCTGATTCCATAAAAAAAACACATTTTTGCTATTTGCGTTTTTTTTTCTCGAAATTGCATCCTAACTTGTTCTTCCGTAGAAGAGCACAGGCCAGTAGGCCAATCTACCCCAATGTAAAATTTTGTCATTCGATTTTAGACTTTATAATTAAGTTGAATATAATCAATTTTGTCAGATAAATAGCTAAAGACAAAATCAAATCATTTGTTTGAAAGAGACCACTATAGGCACTTTTGAACGTCAACCATCAATTCAAGTTCAACTTTGTGCGTCAGTCTGTCGGTCTGCCCTCTAGTGAAGCTATTTATTTATTCCAAAGTGTGAGTAGGTAGTATAGTAAATACTTTTTCTTCTAAAGACAAGACAGCAGATGATACTAACCAATGGCAGTGACCCTGGCTCCAGCGAAGTCATTATTACTGAACTTGAATGGCAAGCATACTGGCATGACCAACTGGCTAAACTCTATCGTCTGGACAGTTCTCACTATGGCACAGTCATAATCGTATACGACGCTGAAAAAGAAAAAAATATTGAAAATAATTTGGTGGTGGAATAGAATTGATTCGGGGGTTACCAACGGTTTCCGAAAGGCCGATCAATGTTAAAATCAATTAATCTCTTGTCAAGTCATCTGATTGGTTGACTGAGTTATCAACAACCAATCAGATGACTTGACAAGAGATTTAACAGGAGATTAGTTAATTTTAGCGTTTACAAGCCTTTCAGAAACCGGGTGTCAGAAACATTGATCTGCAAGATAAAATAATTTTTTCCTATTTTGGGATTATATTACGTGTAAGTTGTTAAGATTTCTATTGCAGTACATGAAAAACGATCTTCTTTACGATTGTCATTATTTCAATCTTTCATATATAAAAGCTTTAGGCTTTTTAATCTACTCGAAACTCCATCACCACCAGGCAGCAAGCTAGTGCCGGCGTAAGGGCCACTGGCGTCACAAAATATTGTGACGCTCACTTGAGGGAGTCAATTTCAAGTGTTAGTTAATGGCTGATCGTATTGACATCGTTGGAGTCACTCCTCGAACACAAACTCTTAAAAAAAACCATCTAAAAAGATCACAATAAAAAAGATGTATATAAGCGTAGTGCACAGTTATGAAGGTTTGCACCAGGAGACGTTTGAGACTCCAACTTCAGACCTTGGTCCCCCAGAATTTGTGGTCCCCCCTCACGCCCTAACGCCAGCACTGCAGCAAGCAACGAGGATTTTATCATAATGCTGGCAACAAACAAAACTTCGAACATGTTAACGTCACTATGACAACGTGACTATCACCCGGTTTCTGAAAGGCTTGTCAACGCTAAAATTAACTAATCTCCTGGTAAATCTCTTGTCAAGTCATTTGATTGTTTGTTGATAATACAGTCAACCAATCAAATGACTTGACTTGACAAGAGATTAAATTGATTTTAACATTGATCGGCCTTTCGGAAACCGGGTGTATGACAAAAATCCCGCGGTTTATTAGGATGCTAGCCATCCTATCACCTCATCATCATCGCACCACTACAAAAAAAAAAATATTAGATATACTTCCTATTTACTATTGATTATGGATTTGGAGTTTTTATAGGTTCAGTAATTAGTTTTGTAATTTAATGTAGAATTTTTAACATAGAGCATTAAACCGTTACCGCTCTTAGCCAATCAAAAGAACGCAGTGATGGAACTTCATATTTTTTTTATTTAGGAATATTTTTACTATATTGTGAAGGCCACATCATATAATGCCTTGTAGTGGGCACATTGGTCGAAAAATTTAGGGCAAATATTTAACCAGCAATCTCTAGATGATGTCTCAAACTTAAATAAAGGACTTAGTAAAACCAAAAGCGACTTGACTGAAAGTTTAGCGCGGTGGCTGGGCAACTGGTTGCCGCGCAACATGTCGCGAGTTCGATTCCCCCACGGAACAACTCTTTGTGTGATCCAAAGATTGTTTTTCTGAGTCTGGGTGTGATGTGTATGTGAAATTGTATGTTTGTAAACGCACCCACGACACAGGAGAAAATCCTAGTGTGGGGCAATGTATAATAAAAAATAAATAAAAACAGCATTAACATACTAGTGCACATAAGCCTTGTCTCATTAATGGCAATATTAACTAGGTATACTTTTGTGTAATCGACAAATTGTTTTTTCGGGTCTGGACGGCTTGTGAATGAGATTTTGTATATTTGTATGTTGCACCTACGACACAGAAGAAAGTTCTAGTGTTTATAAAAAAATAAAATAATACTGACGGTGTATACAGCGGGTGGATCACGGCTCCCGCAATTGCATATGCTTTTGTAGCTGGGGAGTCTCCTGCAAAATGAAAAACATACGCATATAAGTTGTTTAAAACACATGTACATTATAGTCTATTGAAAAAATGAGTTGCTCTTATAAGAAGAAATAGGTACTGAAAACTAAAGGAAATAACGGGCATGTAAGTTAAGGTTATTTTGACTAAATCTATATCGGTCCAAAAACTTTAAGGCGCGCACGGAACGCTACGCACCGTACTCGCCGACCGCAGACCCGCGCTTACGGTGGCCGGAGATCGTCCCTTGACCTACCTACCCTTAAGGGTCAATCCACGCCGACACTAGACGCGACACGCTAAGACGGTATTGTAAGAGGTCACTTAAACCATACGCCGCTAGTCACGCCGCATAAAAGTTAGGTATGTTTTATTGTATGCTATACATCGATCACTAATAAAGAACATTAGTGATCGATGATGCTATATAAAGTTGTTTTCTAAAACAAACGAAAGGGTTCACGAAGCATCGCGTCGCGTCGCGTCGTGTCGCGATTTGAACTGACCCTAGGTAGCAAAACGTTCATGTAATACTGTGCTCCTCGTCCTTGCATCCTTATAAACTATCACAATAGCAATTCATAACCAACCTATTTATAAGGTATAGCGAACTATCATCATATTAAGACATTTCCTAGAAATCCTAGAAGAGGTCACAGATTAATAAAATGGGGTTCTTGCCATCTTTTAAAAATTTTGTTAAACTTACCTATGTCAATATTATGCTCGCCTACAACTATGGCATAGTTGGCAGGATTCTGCCTGTACAAGCAGTGGGCAGCCGTCAGCACATGCCGTGAAGTTATAATGGCTCCTCCACACTTAATCGTACGAATCTGCAAATCTACTAGAGCCGCCATCATCGGGAACTCGTTGATGCCAGTTTCTTGACCTCCTACGATGCGGTTCTGAAATTAATGTCCATGTTTTTGGTTAAACTTACCTAACTTATTTAAAAATTCTGTCCTAAAGGTTGCTGATGTAAGCTTACAGATTGATTAAAACCTTTTTGTTTAAAACCTTGCCCATCTCTTGGATTTAACTCCAGTGTCGTGGGTGCTTTTCCAAACATACTAAATCACACACACAAGTCACCCAGACCCGAAAGCACAATTTATAGATCACACAAAGTGTTGTTCCATGCGAGAATCGAACCTGCGACACGTTGCACAGCAGCCAAAGCCAATCTAATAATGAGATAATGAGCTGTATCAACAGATTCGTCCCCTAAATGTTCCTAACGTTATTAAAATAATGACAAGCATTATGGTTATGTCAGATTCATCATCATCATCATCATCATCATCAGCCTATAAGTGCCCACTGCTGAGCAGAGGCCTCTTTTCATACGGAGAAGGTTACAGCATTAATCACCATGCACCGATTTTGCTGAATCTTAGAGGTAAAATCCAGCCATCCTTCCAGTAAAGAAAAGTGAATCTTATCTTGAGGAGGGAAAATCGTCATGTGACTTCTCCCGCAGAGATTATAGCGAGAGGGAGCGTCAGACTCTTATTCACTAATAAACTCCTGCAGTTTCTACTCCGGATCCAGAGCTATGCCGCAGTACGGTATTGCGCTCGATCCTCAACTCCGACTAGGAAAATAGAACTTACAACAATAATTATTTGAGAAATTTGTGAAAGAAGAAGTGTACCATACCCGGTTCCTAACTCCACAGGTGCACTGCGGTGTGGGTGCAGGTGTTTCACTTGGCACCGCCGTAATTTGACAACGGAAGGTACCTCCTGAACTGTTTGCACTTGATATCAAACCTATAAAAAATTTCAACGATTGTGAGTTATAGGTAAATGTCGCATTTAGCTTAAATTATTGCAAAGGTGAAGAAACACTGACATTATGTTTCGCTGTGTAAGTGGGGTTGTTGGAGGTCACCCTCAAATCTCCTATCCTCAAATCTCAAACAAATCACAAAATGCCGGCAACGCACTTATAGTACTTCTTTGGTACTACGAGTGTCGGCGATTGCTTACTATCAGGTAATCCGTCGATGGGGCAATATGCGCTACAAATCGGGATGTCCATGGACGGCGCCGCAACACCCGAAGAACATTATGAGTACGTTGTCGCCATTTAGGGTTTAAGGATATGAGATTTGTGGATTTGGGCATTGGGGAAGGAGGATTGTGGCTACTAACACAACAATAGCTTCGCCTCATGCTATCACTGCGGTGGAGCTGGTCCATTCGCAAAATAATAGAAATCTGTAGGCTTACAAATGTAACTATTATATTAAAGCGCATCTTACCCACTGTGAGTATTTGACCAATTGACGTGAGGTAGACGGAGCCTGGCCCACAGTAAGTTTCTGCAGCAATCAACTGAGGGTCTCCTGATCGGGACACCAGGAAACGATCCATGGAACATCCAGGCGACTGGAATGAAGAGATGATCGGAAGTATTCTACACATCAAAAATATTGCTTGGTCGAAAATGCCAAATCTGTTGGCAATATCCAAAATTATCGTATATCACTAATTAGTATAAAGCACAGTCGCATTCTCAGTCCCTATAGAATGTATGATTAAGTTTTTAAAACGCAACGGATTTTCATGTTTTTTTTTTATAATAGATACAGTAATTGAAGAGGAAGGTTTATACGTATAATAACATCCACTGCGAAACCGGTCGCTAGTATCTTATATATTTGACAACTTTGATAACAGATGTCGCCAGTGGAATTATACTTCTTGTTTTAAAACCCCATTTATCTTTTAGGCTATATATTCTTATACGTATAAAACAAAAAAAAAAAGAAATGATCTGTTCCAAACAACTTGTGTAATGACATCATTTTTTTTATTATGCTTTGGATTAGATTATCATCTATATTTTATATCGAGCTATCGATTGTTATCATGTAACTAACCATTTTTATATTAGCTATAGGTATGACCGATAAGTGTATTGATAATAATATTAAATAACAACCACAAACGTCTTGGTTTAAACAAGTTTTTTTTAATCAGACTTTCCAATAAGCATTAGGTAGTCTTGTATGATCCTGCTCTACTCGGTTAACCTGGTTAAGTGAGTAGACTGATTTTTCAGCTCAAAAATCTTAACACACAAAATTACATCGAAATCGTTGGAGCCGTTTCAGAGACCGTGTCTATACTACCTATATATACTATATACTAAATCCAAAGTAATAAGTATTATAAATGCGAAAGTAACTCTGTCTGACTGTCCTTTTTTTACGCTTAAACTACAGAACCAATTTCTGTGAAATTTGGTACAGATATAGTTTGGAACTCGAGAAAGAGCATAGGATAGTTTTATACTAAAAATCTGCAGGAAGTCACTATTCCACGCGAACGAGAAAGATTTTAGACAAACATACGTATTACAATTAAATAATAATAATTTTGATAAATACTACATAAACAATATACATATATTTTATTTAATCCTTACTTGGGGTATTTGTATTTGAGGGCAATTTATCCGACAGTTGTACCCTGGGGGACATCTGGCTGTCCATCTGCATTGACTACCTTTTGGATAAGGTCCGGGGTAGTTTGGATTTGAGAACACCTGCGAGCTTCCAGCTGCAACCTGTGGACAAACAAAAATTAAATAACACCTCCAAACTACATTAAGACAACACAACAATGTAGTTAATTAATAACATGACTACACCTTAAAAACGCAGCAGCGCCATCTACCTATCCCGGAAAAGTAGAACAAGACATTTTGACAGTTCTTTATGAGTTGGTAAAATTTGTAGCTATAGCGCCTATCGTATGTAGGAAATCACTTCTTTACGATGTTGTGATTAAGCTGATGAAGGAAGGTATAACTCCTCAATGGTTAGGAGTTCAATAAAAAATCGAAATGCTTCAATATTCTTTGAGGTTTGTAGGTTAAAAAATAGAAGCGGACGTATCTCAAGTGTCAAGGTATTGTTTTCTTCGATAATTTTCTTCACTTGTGCTTAAGCTGATCAATTTAGATAATATGTAGGTAGTGTCTAAGTAAAAGATAAATGCATATCATTTGAGTGTATGACTTGAAGTTGCATCGACTTCTTACTTATAAAAGTATATTAGTATTGTTAATTTGGCTTGACAGATATTTCTGATTGGGTAAGTCGATTTTTTACACATAAAAAATAAAGTAAATAAACTCACATCTGTATAGAAGTCACAAGCATTTTGCAATAGCGAATGATCGACCAGCCACAGCAGTAATAACAAAGCAAACTTCATCTCTGAAAGAAAACATAATTATTACAGTGCGGCCAACATATCTTGGCGAGTCTAAAGTTAGCCGATTAACTGCGCAGTACACAACTTTGTTCCTAAAAGATCCATTGCGCAGACAAACGGCTAACTTCAGACTCGGCAAGATATTCCGGCCGCACTGTAAAACACTAGCTTCTATCAGCAATCGAGCCTTAAATCGGGATAAAAAGTAACATATTAGTAAGTACAACGGAGTACTATCTCTATCTAGTCTTTGCAAAATTCCATTGATCTGTTTATCCTTATCTAAGTTATGGTCAACTAGGACGGTGGGTGAAAAAACTGCCTTTTCATCTGAGATCTGTCTCACACAATTTTATTTTTTACATCATTGTATGTATATATGTATTGTATCCACATTTTGCTCTCGTTCCTTTTTGTCACCTATTCTATCACTGTTATCGTCACATATTTTATTTTTTATTCCTTTACGCCTGCACGGTTTTTTTTTTGTGAGGGGAAAATCATCAAATGACTTCTCCCGCCCAGGGCCGGGCAGGAGGGAGTGTCAGACTCTTACTGACTAAAAACCCCCCTGTTCCTTCTCCTGCTCTGTGCCGAGGTCGCGGTACCTCATTGCGCTTACCCCGCAACCCCGGCTGAACATCAGCCCTTTAGGGCCCCGTCTGTGGTGGTCGAATGGCTCTTTGAGGCGCGCGCGGAACGCTACGCGCCGTACGCTCGGGCCTGGTTCTGGTCGGGCGGCGAGCTGCCCTTACTCGCCGACCGCAGGCCCGTGCTTACGGTGGCCGGAGATCGTCCCTCGATCCCCGACGCCCGTAGTGTCGCCAGTTGCGGCTGCTGGGGCGTGAGGAGGAGGATTGCTCCCTCACGCGGGCCGCCTCTCTCTTTGCGAGCATGACCGCTTCACAAAAGGAGGAGACGGCGTCCCAGTTCCTCTCACTCCGCACCATGGCCTCGACTAAGGCCGTGCACGAGAGGTCGCCGCCGCCGATCACTTCCCTGAGGATACGGCGGTGTTCAGCCCAGGCAGGGCATACCGCTACCGTATGCTCCACCGTATCCTCTAGGTGGTCCTCACAATGACGACACTCGGGCGTTTCCTCCCGCTGAATCCGAAACAGGAACCTACCGAAGCTGCCGTGCCCGGTAAGCACCTGCGTCAGACGGAAGGTGAGGACGCCGTGGCGTCTCTCAAGCCACTCCTCAAAGAGGGGTCTTACCGCTGCTATGGTAGCGTGCCCGGCCCTCGGTTGCGACAGTCGTTGTTTCCACTCTGCCATGAGATCTCGCCGGAGCTCATTCCGCCACGCACTAATTTGGCGCGGCAGGGGATCTTCGCCCCGGCGACGCGCGTCTGCGCGCAAACTGTAGACGCGCGCGAGCGCCTTCGCTTCTAGATCCCACGGCGGTGATCCGGCAAGGAGGTTCGCCGCCTCCCCGGAGATCGTGCGATACCCGCGGATTACTCGGATAGCCATGACCGTCTGGGACGCGACCAGCGTACGAGCCGGCCGCCGCTTCAAGTCCGGCGCCCACACAGGGGCACCGTAGAGGGCCATGGATCGCACAATCCCCATATACAACCTCCGGCAGGAGGCGTTTGGCCCCCCGAGGTTGGGAAGGAGCCGCTTGAGCGCGGCCCCAGACCGTTCTAACTTAGGGGCCAAACGACGAAAATGCTCCGTGAAGTTCCATCGGCTGTCGAGGACGAGACCCAGGTACTTCATCGCCGACTCGACGCCGATGGTAACTCCTCCTGCCGTTATTTGGGACCCACCTGGAGGTGGCGCGCTCCGACGGCCATAGAAACACAACGCCTGCACGGTGTGTTTTAAATTGTAACACGAAACATTTCCGCTTAAAATATGTATATCCTCTAACTGCCGTACTTAGCACATTTAATGCTTACTTAAACTAATCCTTAGTAACGATTATCTTTCGAAAACAATTGCTAACGACTGGGTTAAGTTACCATCAAATAATTATTATTCTAAATACGAAAGTAAGTACTTATGAAAAATTGGTGCCTTTTTACAGTTTTAAAATCAATCACGGGAAGAAACAGCGTAAGCGGTTGTGCGTATTCGTTTTCTTGTTTCTAAAGACGGATGCGGTTAAAGCGATGTTTTTACTAGTTTATGAAAAAGGAACCTACTTTATGCACAGCCTATATTGACCATCGCTAATAAACGACTAATATCATCAACTCTAGTCTCTCAAGACATGCAAATTATTTTAGTATTTGCTACATAATTAACATAATAAAAGTTTCTTGCGCCAGCTGAACAAATCATATTATAATATTGTTATTTCTTGTACTTATATGTCGAGAGGTTATTGTTTTCAACTTTTGTTTCTTAAGGAAAATTTACAAAATGATTATATCCGCGATCTTCCGTGAAGGTTTTAGTTGTTTGTGAATTTTTACATTCATTATCTATGGTCCATATCTAAAAATATGCTGAGTACATCGCCGGCGCCATCTTGAAACAAGTCGCATACGCTTGTGACCAATAGAACACGTCTTTGAAATTTGCGCCAAATTATTACATGCATAAAATTAAAATGTTGGATATTGCCAACATTTTAATTTAAAGTAGTGAAGTAAAACATCGTGGGAAAATCTGGACTTATAATTTCTAATTAACTACCTAAAAGTTTGAAATCGCTAATCCACCTTAAGCAAGCGTGGTGATTAATGCTCAAACCTCCTTGTGAAAAGAGGCCTTTGCTCAGCAGTGGCCATTTATAGGCTGACTAGCTACTCCGTTTCACCCGCTGTTCGGCTCCATTTAATCCGACCAGCGGTTCCAAAGATAACCCCTACATACAAACTTACAAACATACAAATTGACAAATTTTACCTCTTTATAATATTAGTATATCCAAGCTCAATGTTACCTGTGTGTCGACTCTTTACTCCAATACTCAAAATGTCCACAGACGGGAAAAAAATATGCCCCAAGCAGGGCTACCGATCGACCACTGAACGCACTGCAAATAGATACTGGTTTTTGTCAATTAGCTTCTTATCAAACTACTAGTAAATGTGATAAGAAAATAATTATTTAAGTGAATTATCTTATTGTTATTGTGATAAAAGGATTAACCCCTATCATATACAGGGTGAAAAACAAAGCAAGGAGGCTTCGGAAGAAAGTATTAGGTAAATTAATGTGTTTTAAGACCGTATTTGGAAAGGACAGTTCTTAAAATAAGTCGACAAGCGAGATGACGGGAACTTGGTAGCAAGCAATCGACGTCAACATTTTTAGGTTTACTTGGAATTTAAAGACTGGAATGGGACGGAAGGATCTGGTGTCCTTTTACCTCACTCACATGGTAAAATACAATACAAGCGTTTTTTCACGTTTTCAGCGTTTCGACACTGAACTTGGCTAAGAGGTGTTGATCTATACTATTATTATAAAGAGGTAGAATGTGTAAGTCTGTATGTTTGTTAGTTTGTATGTAGGGGGTAATCTTTGGAACGGCTGGTCGAATTGCCAAAATTCTTTCACTGATAGATAGCTACAATTCTCCTGAGTGCTATAGGCTATAAAACATCACGGTACGATGAAATGGAGATGAGCAGCGGGTGAAACCGCGCGAGAGAAGCTAGTGTTTAATAAACGAAACGTAATTATTAAAATCTATGCAGCATTTCTTTAGACAAAAACAACTTTATTTTTAAACACAAAATTATTGAAATTTACATCAGCACTGTGGCTTAAGCAACTGGTGTTTTTCGTAAAACAAAATTGGCCATCTGTAATAATATTTGAGGTAGAAAAAATAAAGGAACGTGAAAAATAAGTTTTCGCATTTGTTTGTGACATACTCGTTTTAGCAAATATTATAAAATTAAATGCTGTCTGCTTGATACTTGAATTAATAAAAAGTCGATTTCATTGAATAGTTTAACGTAAGCAGTTATTTGTTTTATCATTAATGTGGCGGCCATTTTTTGTTTGTCGTTATTGTGGTTCGTATCACGTGTGGTTGTTCCCGCCCAGAAACATAAAAATAATATCTTTCAGGTAAATTATTGCTTTTCAATATTCCCTTTAATCAGGAGGGCGGCGCTGATTGCTTACCATCAGGTAATCCGTCTGATCGTTTGCCGACCTATCACATAGAAACAAATCAGGGTTGGTTTATGGATTTCTATAAGGGATAGGGCGACACAAGCAAAACGCATCATCTGATGGTAAGCAATTTGCGCCACGCCGACCGTGAACGAATGCATCACCGACCTTTTGGAGGTTAGAGGTTTTAGGATTGGAGTATTTTAAGATTGGAGATGGGGGCGCTCCCCATTGTGCCGCAACCTGTCTGACACGGGGAAACACAACGAAAGCATTGTTTCACATCGGTTTTTGCGAGACCGTGATGTCACTCGTGCCGAAGTTTGGCTCTCCCACACCATAATTATAATATTACCTAACATTACCTAAGTCGATTATCAACATATATTAGGTAAAATCTTTATCGTCAATTAAGGTTACGTTATCATAGCTAAATCAGAGATGAAGATCTTGAAAAACATCGCCGACTCGATTGTAAATTGTAAGTACCTACTATTCTGCGTAAAACTATTTATTAAAAGATTGCTATCTGTTTGATAGTTAAGTAACTGAGCAAAGGAAATGTACTGGATGGATATAATAATTTATCCTTATAAAGATAATGTTTACGAGGAAAAAGTTAAGAGCGTTCACGTGGTTAGGGTTTCCCTATAAGAGCCCGAAATCTTAAAAACTATTAAACCGATTTTTTTTTCTTTTTGTTTTATGCTATAAGTACGTCGGCAAACGAGCACACGGATTACCTGATGGTAAGCAATCAGCGCCTCCCATGGACTCTCGCAACGGAGGAGTTAAGAGTGCGTTGCCGACCTTTTAGGGATTAGGGATTTGGTGATTTAGGGATTGGGGGAGGGGAAAGATTGATTTTGTTTTTATGTTATAGGACGGCCAACGAGCAGACGGATTACCAATCATATGGGCCGTTTGAGGAAGGATTGGGCCTACAGTACCTCACGAAAACGGCGAAACACACGCATGTTTTACGCCGGCTTTCTGTAAGGATGTGGTATCGCCACGGTCGAACCGGCCCATGCGTGCTGAAGTATGGGTCTCCACACTCGATTTTAATGAAAGTTAATACTTAAATGCAAGAGCCAAGCTTCGGCACGAATGGGTCGGCTCGAGCGGAGTAAAACGGCCTCACAGAAAACCGGCTTGAAAGAAACACAGCGTTGTTACGCTGCGTGAGTGAGTTTACTGGAGGCCTTATCCCTCTCCCTCCCCCCATTCCTTTCCGATTCTTAGATATCCAAAACCCTTATCCCTAGATGGCCGGAAAATGCTCTCGTAACTCCTTTTGTGTTGTGCTTACCATCGGGTAATCCGTTTGCTCGTTTGCCGACCTATACCATAAGAAAAAATATATACTAATACTTATTTTTTTTTTAAAAATTAGAAAGACAGTGAAACTATTTTCGTTTACAATTTAAAATCACGTGTGTATTTAAGTGTTATTTTTTTACGTCGATACGAAAAGCATGGATCTTCGACATTTGATTTCAGTTAGTCGACTTTATAATTAGAGAAAAATAATAAGACAGGAAAATGATCGTACCATCGTCAAGTGTTACAAATAATTACTCACGCCCAATAATAAAATACTTGTAATTGATTTGATATCACCTGTCCACACATGTTTTAGTGTTTTTTTCAGGTGTTTATATCACAATTGCGTCATGAATAAATTTGTATATTAATAGCTTCTATTATATTTTTAAACGAAACCCTACACGAAATGTCCCTATACATTAGGTACCTATACCTATTGCAAAAAAAAAAATAGTATCGAACTCCTTTGTGACAAATGAAAACAAATGAAAAACGCAATCTTTTAAAACTATAATCGATCACTAAGCTTCCAATACCTCGTTGCTTCTAAGCCTTTTTAATGTGCTTTTAGTAATAAATAATACCCCTATTGAACCACTCTTTAAACCCCTTAAAAGAAAGACATCGCATTTGTATTTCCTCTAGTGTTGTGAGTCTCCATGGGCAGCGCTGATTTCTTATTATCAGGTTATCCGTCTGCGAATAGTTGTTTGCCGCTGTTTGTCATAAAAAACAATGTTTTCAAACTTCTTTATTCAAATTCAAAGTCAGGTTCTTTATTATGTTATTAACCGCCTTAAAAAAAGGAGGAGGTTCTCAATTCGACGCGTATTTTTTTTTCTATTACATTTATTCTCTATTCTATTCTATTCAAAATTAGATTTTAAAATTTTGAGCGTAAATAAAATGAATGTCTCGCTCTTACGTAATAAGTGTCGTAGTCTCGTAGCAAATCCTTCGTAGCAAAGTTCTACGAAATGGAAAATTTATTTGTCTTCTTCGTAGAAAAGTTTTAAGAAAAGAAAACGCGGCGGGTTTACCTATTTTCTTTTAGACCTTTCGTAGATTCGACTATATTCTAGTGCAATATTTATTAACTTTTTTTGTGAGGGGAAAATCATCAAATGGCTTTTCCCGCACAGGGTCGGGCGGGAGAGAGAGAGAGTTACAGACTTTTACTGACTAAAAACCCCCCGTTCCTTCTGCTCTGGGCCGAGGCCACGGTGCCTCATTGCACTAGCCCCGCAACACTTGCTGAACATAAACCGTATAGACGTATAATGCTACGCGCCGTACGCTCGGGTCTGGTTCTGGTCGGGCGGTGAGAGCAGACGCGGTGAGTCCGAACTCGAGTGAGACCTAAGAAATCAGGCTAGCGATCTACGAAAGTATGTAAATACCTAGGTATGTTTTATTGTTTTACTAGAATTTTTGCCGATACCGATGGTATGTTCGCAAACACAAAATACTTATCACACATGCACGTCACACCAATTTAGGGTAACAAGGAAGAGGGTTTCTAAAAAAAATAAAGGTATATGGAAAACAAGAGGAATTGTTCCATACAGACTGATGTCGAATCTGTAGGGACTATTATCGGTATTTCTATGACTCCAATCGCACAAGCCCGAATGAAACCATATCTACTAATATTATAAACGCAAATCAATTAAATATTTGTTACTCTTTCACGTAAAAGCTACTGCATGAATTTTCAATAAAATACGATGAGGTAATTCAAGTGTGGGAGAGCCATGCTTCGGCACGAATGGGTCGGCTCGACCGGAGTGATACCACGGCCTCACAGAAAACCGGCGTGTGAGTGTTCCCCTTCCCCAATCCCTTCTCAATCCCTAAATCTCCAAATCCCTAATCCCTAAAAGGTCGGCAACGCACTCGTAACTCCTCCGTTGCGAGTGTCCATGGGCGGCGCTGATTGCTTACCATCAGGTAATCCGTCTGCTCGTTTGCCGATCTATTACATACAAAAAAATAAAAAAAAAGTTTTACAAGAGGTACAATCATAGTAAAAAAAAGCTTATATACGGTCGAATTGAGAACCATCCTCCTTTTTGGAAGTCGGTTAAAAATAAGACACATAGATAGGCCACTTTTCTTAACTTACATATGGGCCACGCAAACAAAACCTCTAGTAGAAGCTAGTAAATAATATTAATACAAACCTGTTCTGATATCCATATTGGTCTCCACCTAATTACAAGATAACAAATAACACTTGGCAAAAATAAAATCTATGATTTACCCTAAGTACATAATACTATGTATACTAAACTGAAAGCACTGCACTTTAGACCTTACAGCAATTGAATAACAATTATAATAACTTTTTCGAACATAATTATATTTCTATTAATAAAGAATTATATAGCGAATCGTGTCGACCCGTTTATTTGTTTTCGTTGTTAATGAGATAGTAAAAATTATAACTGTTCCCTTATCTTGGCACGAGCGCACGTTACACCTTCGTCTGAAGGCTTCACAACTGATAGCAAATATTTCATTCAGCTATTTAAATAATGCTGGTTTTGTAATGAGGTCTGTTTATAATGTCATTTATTTTTATAAGAACATACTTAGGTTAATTGAAGAGAATCGGTAGAGAAGTTCTAATAGAACTGTAAGGACATCTGTGTAACTGCACTCTCTGTCTGACTGCACGGTTGGTGCGGTCCGGCAACTGGCTGCCGTGCAACGTGTCGCGGGTTCGATTCCCGCACGGAACAACTCTTTGTGTGATTCATAAATTGTTGTTCCGGGTCTGGGTATCATGTGTATGTGAAATTGTATGTTCGTAATCGCACCCACGACACAGGATGAGGCACCGCGACCCCGGCCCAGAGCAGGAGAAGGAACATGGGGTTTTTAGTCAGCAAGTCTGATACTCCTCCCCGCGCGGCCCTGGGCGGGAGAAGTCAGTCCGCCTTTGTATATATTATTTTGTATGTACATAAAGTGTTAAATAAATAAATAAATAAATAAATAAAACCTATCGTATTTTTCCTAAGTATTGAAGCTAGGTCCTTTACTCACCTTTATACACCACTATAGCTACTCTCGCGCGGTTTCACCCCATTTAATCGCGTCCGTGATGCGAGCGTGATGTTTTGCACACTCAGGAACATTGTACCTGTCTATCAGTGAAAGAATTTTGGCAATCCGACCAGTGGTTCTAAAGATTACCCCCTACATACAAAACTTAGTCATGGCAGCTGTTGTTATTACAAATGATATCCAGAAATTACTATATAAGTTCTTCATATCCGTCCGTTCCGAAGATTGAGAGAGCCATAATTAGGCACGAATGAGCAGCCTCAGCTGGAGTGATACCACAGCCTTACCAAAAACTCGGGGTTGTGGGGTAAGCGGAATAAGGCACTTCGGCCTCAGCCAGCAAAAAGAGAAGGAACGGAAGGACCTCTCGCCTTATTCTGGACGGGAGAAGTCATTTGATGATTTACCCTAACAAAAAAAAACACCAACAACCGGCGTGAAACAACCTCAGTTTAGTTGTATGAGTAGGTGACCGACTTCCTATCCCTCATTCCTAAATCACCCCTGTTGTCTAAAGCCTAACCCCCAAAAGAGCGTCAACGCTGTCCATTGGTGGTCCATGCTCAACGTCAGGTGAACCGTCTACTCCTCGTTAACCACTCTCTCTCATTAAGAAATATATAAAACTAGCTTCCTCCCGCGGCTTTGCCCGTGTGGTATGTTGATAAAAAGTAGCCCATGTCCTACTCCAGAATGTATTCTATGCCGGTGCCTCATCCAGATCCGTCCAACCGTTTCGCGTATTTGAGTAACAAACATCCAAATATTGTAACTGTCGCATTTATTTATAATATATTAGTAAGATTAATGAGAGAACACAGTAATACATTATATATACATAGTAGGTAAGTTAAATGACAGTGTCCATACAAATAATGAATTTTGTAATAAAACTGTACAGTTCCATCGAACAAACAATTTCAAAACGTACAGATGTAAATACAGATTTAACTGTAGGTAACTATAGTACCTCATCTCACGGCACAATTAATTCACTCTCTTATCAGAGACCTCGCTGATAACACAATGTCAGTCGTTAGTTTGTGATGGCACGCTGTTTTCCAAGATTTTTGGTTACCTTCATTGTACAGTTGTACCCTTAACCCAATTTTAAATGACCTTGGATTTGAATGTTCTGATTGGTTTTAATTAGGCTCTAGTTTTTCCTGAAACCTTAGTAATAAGTTATATTTAGGAAGTGTGGGAGAGCCATACTGCTGTACGAATAGATCGGCTGGACCGGAGTGATACCAGAGCCGCACAGAAAACCAGCGTGAAATACCATGGCGTGTGAGTGAGGTTACCGTATTCCTCCGGACCGGACGCCCCAATCCTTGAAGTCTCCAAAACCCTAATATATATATATATATTAGGGTTATATATATATTATCATCATCTTTCTGCCCTTGTCCTATTTTATTTGGGGTCGGACAAATATGTTTTTTTCTTCCATTCTGTCCTGTCACCCGTCACGCTATCACTAACTCCTCTCCATGTTCACCGTGTCACTCGTAACTCTTTTGTAATTGCTTACCATCAGGTCAACCAACTGCTCGTTTGCCTACCTATCCCATAATAAAAAAAAAAACATTTTGAACTAGGAAAATTTAGTTTGGCAAGCGTTAGGTGTATTAAATTCTTTTACTATAGGAACTCTGAAAATTCAAAGAATTTGTTTCAAGACAACAAAAAAACACCAAAAATAATATTGAACACATTTTATTTATTTATAATTATTCTATTATAATCTAGGAACATAAAAGCACAAGAAGACCGAACTGAGCCGTCACTTTTTCCACCCCGGATTTCTTTGTAATTTTTTTTCTTATTGAGGGAAAAACTCTTCAAATGGTCCATAAAATACGTGAGGTGTTTTTTTAAATTTTCTGCGTCTTCTGCCTTTTTTCCCTCCCCCTCCTGGTGAGATGTCGTGAGATTTTATTCAACCCCTTCCCCCATCCCCGAATGTCACGTGAGATTTTTCAAAAAGTGAGTTCCTTACATGACTTTTCCCTGTGAATGACCTGGGTAGAGAAAGAGGGAGTGTGAGACTCTTACTGAATAAAAACTACCCCGTTCGTTCACCCGCTCCAGATCGGGACCGCGGTACGAATTGCGCATGAACTGCAACCCCGGCTGAACATCAGCACTGCTAGGCCCTATCTGGGGTGGCCTGTTGGCTCTTTGAAACAGCGGAACGCTACGCTCCGTACACTCGGAGTTTGGTTTTGATCAGGCGCCTAGCTAGTCTCTCTAAACTCTGAATTTTCGATGGTGCCATCAGCGATTCTGATTAATTCGGTTCGATCGTCTATTTGCGCTTTAATTTATACATAACATACATACATACATAATTACAAAGAAATATTACAAATAAAATAAAATCTATTTATAATATCATTTTAATACAACCTCTTATTCTTGGTAAACATTTAATGCTATGAATTTAACGGTGCAACGTTAAATAGGAAATCAGTAAATAAATTGTATTTATTTATCTATGTCTTATAAAATCTAATTCATTGTTGAAACTACTACTTTCCTTTTCTAAAAAGCACATACCTATAGTATACGGCAGTGTTCCGTTTTTGCTCAGCAGATGGCGCTATTTTAATGCGAGGTTAAAAATGGAACGACCAACAGTTTGACACTAGCTTATTTCCTATTGGATAAAGGGACGTCAATATATGTAAGCGCCATCTAGTGAACACTTAACAAACAATCCACGATACAGCTCTAAAGACTAGTCATGACTAGAATGTTTAAGACAATAGGAAGAATGTCGGGTATCAGCTACAAAATGTCCACTGCTTACACAAGCCTGCCCCAATTTCTTCCAGATCAGCTTCTTCAGATCAGACCAGATTCATTTCCCTTTCCTCTTGCCCTCTTTCTCCTGAAAGTATCCTCCAGGACCTGGCACCAACTTAACTGAAGGCTTGGCTTCCTTCTTCTGCGTCTCCGGTTGAGGGGAGGGCGTTCCCTCTGGTGAGGAGTCGGTTATTATACCTTGAAGACGATGGGTGTTGGTTTGGCTGAGTCTAATAAGAAAAAAGTAAGATTAGAAATTATATGATCGTTGATACTTCTGTAATCCATACTAATACTATAAAGAAGTAAAATTTGTAAGTTTGTATGTAGGGGTATTCTATGGAACCGCTGGTCGGATTGCCAAAATTCTTTCACTGATACATAGCTACAATGTTCCTGAATGCTATAGGCTATTAAACATCACGCTCCGATTAAATAGAGCCGAGGAGCGGGTAAAACCGCGCGAGAGTAGCTAGTTTATTATAATACTTAAATAGTAATACGAGTTTTCTTAGTCTAGAAAAAGAAAGGTTCGACACGACAGATTCAACAGTCGCGTGGTTTTGTGCTATTCCATAAAGTTATTTTTTTTCAATATGCTAACTGTGCCTCAAACTTATTTACTAACTGTGCCTCGTCGGGTTACAGTCGTTTTACAGAACAACTATTTGTATGATCCACAAATTGTTGCTCCATGTCTGAAACGTGAGGTGTGTGAAATTTTATATTCGGTAACCCACGACACAGGGGCAAATCCTTGTGTAGAGCAACCATTAAAAAAAAAAGAAGAACAATAAGTCTGGTACAACGCATGCTGCACAAAAGCTGGTAGTGCATTACGTACCTGACTTCTTCAACATCAGCCACCTTATCGATGAGGCTCCTAATTATAGCCTCCTTATGCTCCAACGCAAGTGACGCCCTCTCTAGTTCCCTCCGGTACTCAGCATGCGCAAGCGCAGCTCTCCGCTCCTGCTCTACTATGCGACGTTCTAACTCCTCTAGGGACGTGTAGGCGCGGGATTTTACTACCTATGACATGAATTAAGTATGAGAATTATCATAAAGTCTAATTACTGGATTCTATTTCTGAGTTAGCCTACTGCCTGCCTGACTGGCCTTGTGGCCAATTAAGAGACTTTTTTTGTTTTTGAACTCATCCGCTCACTAATATTTATTGCTTCTCATGCATGAGTGTAGTAGTAGTATATGCACTTTCTATGATTATTGAAACAACACTGACATTCTGTGAAGGAAAATATCGTGAGGAAACCTGGACTTCTAACTATAAAATAATTATGAAATCGCCAATCCACCTTGAGAAAGCGTGGCGATTAACGCTCAAACGTTCTCTGTGTGATAAGAAGCCTTTGGCTAAGGGGTGATGAGAATGATGATGATTATAGTAATAAAATTAATTCGATATCGAACTAATCGAGATTTATTCTATGTTTGACTACTCGACTACTTTCAAGTTACGACAGGGGCTCATAATAATAAAAGGACTACGAATGCAGCGAGCTAAAATTGCATATCTTATCAAAATCTCACCTTAATCTCCTGTTTGATCTTATCGAGTGCAGCCATGGCTTGACGAAGCGGTTCGTTGTTATTATTCTTGTTTCGGCGCGCACTGGAGCGCACGCGTGTCATACGCGCCGTGGCAGACTTAAGTCGCTGTCTGAATATCACTGCTGCTTTTCGGTACAACCTGATTGGAAGCGAAGCATCGATAGAAGATTTTATTGCATCAAATATTATAAACGACTTGGAAAGTACTTTGATTTTGCAGGTGTCCGTGGGTGCCGAAATAAGGTACTGCGACCTCGGCTTAAATCAGAAGAAGGAACAGGGGTTTTTAGTCAGCCGGGGTTGCGAGGTAAGCGCAATGAGGCACCGCGACCTCGGCCCAGAGAAGGAGAAGGAACGGCAGGATTTTTAGTCAGTAAGAGTCTGACACTCTCTCTCGCCTTACCCTGGGCGGGAGAAGTCATTGGATGATTTTCGACTGACAAAAAAAGGGTTTTTAGTCAGTAAGAGTCTGACAGTGTCTCTCTCTCTCGCCTCATCCTGGGCGAGAGGAGCCATTTAATGATTTTCCCCTCACAAAAAAGGTGTCCATGGGTGGTGATGATTGCTAACCAACACATGACCCGACTACTGCTGCGTAACACTTTATTTCATGAGTGATAAAAATCATCACATTACTTCTCCCGCCCTGGCTAAGACTTGCCCGAAGCCTGACTTTTACTGACTTAAATCCCCTTGTTGCTTTTCCTGCTCCAGATCGGAGATGTGGTACTTAAATGCGCTTGAACGCAACCACGGCTAAATATCACTCTTATTGAGCCTGATTGAGCTAAACGCTATTAGAACTATGAAGCTATTACAGATGTCAAAGTCAATGTCAAATTTTTTATTTGAATTAGGGCTGATTTATCAATGTTGAGATAAAAGTTACCTGGGAAATAATTATCATGCTGTCACGTTACAGTGTTTGTAGAGGACAGTGACAGCAACAATTTTATTACTCAGATAACATTTATCTGCCTATTGAAAAACCAGCCCTAAGTAAAGGCAGATTAAAAAAAAACTGAAGCTGAAGAGTTTGTTCGAACGCGCTAATCTCAGGAACTACTGGTTTGAATTGAATAATTCTTTTTGTGTTTGTTAGTACAATTACCGCGGAAGGCTTTAGGCTATAAAACATTACGCTATGATTTGTAGGAGAGAGATACAGCTACAGAAGCCAGTTTCATATAAAAACAACTGCAAATCAGTCGGTCATTCCTCTAATGAAGAAGTTCTAACTATACCTGACGTTCTTCAACGCCTTCTCCAGTTCCTCCTTCGTATTCTGGTTCTCCTGCATCAGCTTGGCACACTTTTCTTCCACCAGTTTCAGTTGTTCCTGGGTCTTCGTTAGCTGTTCGTCTTTGCGGTTCGTATCCATACTGTATTGGTGTTTTAGCTCTTCTAGTAACCTGGAGTTAATTATTGAAAAAATTGTTTAAAGTACGGTTTAAAGGAAAGATAAGCCGAACCGCAAAAATATGATAAATTGTAAAATTCAATAAATGCGTGTCTTGAATAGACTTCAATTTAATATCTTGAATAGATTTGAATTAAAAAAAAATAATGTTTATAATGATAAAAATAAGAGATTGAATCACATAACAATTAAATTATACATAAAATGAAATATATAAATGAAGCTTGATTCTCACTGTGTTGATACCACGGCCTCGCAGAAAACCGGCGTGAAATATCCTCAGCTTAGTGTTTCCCGTATGAGTGAGGTTACCGAAGGCCCAAACCCTCCCCCTCCGCCATGCGTTCCCTATCTTTAAATATCCGAAACCCTTATCTCCCTGAAATGCTGGCAACGCACTCATAACTTCTTTTGGTGTTTCAGGTACCCATGGTCGGCACTGATAGCTTACCATTAGGTAATCCTAAACGTATACCATAAAAAAAGTCGTTGCCGGCCTTGCTGCAGGTATATTCATTTTTAAGGAGCAAAGTATAATTGGATCTCGCTCCATTCCTTCCAACTTACTCCAAGTCCCTTACGTCTTAGTTAGCCGCCCGACCAGAACCAGACTAAAACATACGGCGCGTAGCGTTCCGCGCGCGGCTCAAAGAGCCAATAGACCACCACAGTCGGGGCCCTATAGGGCTGATGTTTAGCCGGGGTTGCGGGGTAAGCGCAATGAGGCACCGCGACCTCGGCACAGAGCAGGAGAAGGAACAGGGGGGTTTTTAGTCAGTAAAAGTCTGACAGTTCCTCCTACCCGACCCTAGTCGGGAGTAACTTGATGATTTTCCCCTCACAAAAAAGTCCCTACCTCTTACAATGGTCGAGCCTCCGTTCGTGCATGTCAGCAGGCACGGTCCGCGCGCGCAGGGCGTCTAGCTGCGCCAGCTTATTCTCCGCCATCTCCAGGTTGTTCTTCACTACGAAGTACTCTCTGTGGACCGTCTCGTAATCTCTCATCATGGCTGACACTGGAAGGTGGAAAATGGAAGAAGGTAACTTGGTAACTTAGAATTATTTAAGTGTTGGAGCCATGCTTCGGCACGAATGGGTCGGCTAGATCGGAGGGACACCACGGCTCACAGAAAACCGACGTGCAACAACCACAGCTGTTTTTCGCCGTGTGAGTGAGGTTACCGGAAAACCAAGCTCCGAATGACTTATCCCCAAAAGACCAACAACGCACTTGTAACTCGAGTTTAGTCGTTCACTAGTTTCAATTAGTCACAATCGAGGACGTTCGAACAGTTTCAAGCTACAATTAGGGCTAATAATCAAGTCGTGAGTAGCCAGGGTAACCATCATTGTCATGTGCGTCTTTACCTATCAAAAATCCGAATCAGAAGCCCTTTAGACAACGTTCATCTAAAGTTATTAAAGACTACTTAAGTGAGTCATGCTTCGGCGCGAATAGACTTTCGGAGTGATACCAAGTTCTCATTAAAAATCGGCGTGAAACAACGCTTGTTTCTATAAAAGCAACTCTATAAAAGACAAGAAAAATAAAACCTACTTTTATCCTCGTACAATTCATAAACCTCCTTCAATTTAGACTCCGCCCTCTCAGCTCTTTCCACAAGCGTAGCTTTCTCAATATCAGCCGTCTCTTTCTCGACTACCATCTTCTTATAACTCTGTCTCACTCCCACGAGCTCGTCTTCCAAACTTTTTACTTTATCTGTGAGAGTTTTGTTCTCATTGACGATTGATTTAGACTTTTTGTTTATAGTTTCGAATTGTTTTTCGTAATCTAGTATTAGAGTATCTTTTTCTTGAAGATTTTCTTGGTAGGCATCGAAGAGAGGGGCTGGAATGTGAAAATTTATTTTTTAATAATGTAATATTTAGTTCTAAGAACCTGACACATAAAAATTACTGTCAAGTGGACTAGTAAATGCTTTTCTATGTATTGATGAAAAGTGATATTCTATCGTTTAGCCGGCTCGACTGGAGTGATTTCTTTTTTTTGTTTTTTTTATTTGATGGGACGGCAAACGAGCAGACGGATTTCCTGATAGTAAGCAATCGGCGTCGCCCATGGGCGCAACAAAGAAGGAGTTACGAGTGCGTTGCCGACCTTTTAAGGATTGGGATTTTGAGGATTTAGGTTTTGGGAAGGGATTGGGGTAGGGGAACGATTGGGCCTCCGGTAACCTCACTCACACGGCGAAACACAACGTTGTGGTTGTTTCACGCCGGTTTTCTGTGAGGCCGTGTATCACTCCGGTCGAGCCAACCCATTCTTGCCGAAGCATGGCTCCCCCACACTTAATTTCCCACACAGAGAACTATATAGTAACAACGCTTGCTTAGTGCTATGCCGTCTGAATGAGGTTACGGGGAAGCAATCCTCCTTCTTTCCCCACCTGTCCCAAAATTTTCAATACTCAAATCTCTAACACCCCAAAAGGCTGCCAAAGCCCCTGAAGTCCGTGAGCGACGCCGATTGCTTACCGCCAGGCGATCCGTTACCTTATTCATTACCCTATCTTATTAAAAACTTACACTAAGAAAAGTCACTAAGAAACACAACGGAAATAAGATGTGGTTATTATACCCAGGGCTTGTGCGCTGAGCAGTCCCGTGAGATCCACAGTGCGGCCGGTGTAAGGAGTTTCTTCAGGACCTGGCTTAGTCTGCCCATCTTCCGTGTTCAATGTCTCTGAAAGACACAAGCATTTCAAGATTTACACTATCCTACTAATATTATAAAAATGTGAAAGTTGGTAAAAATGTGTGGATAGTTGTTTCTTATTGTTTCTCGCAAAACGGCTCGACCGATTTGGTATGAAGATAGGTGGCACCCTAGATTAACACATTACATAGGCTACTTTTTTATCAACATACGCCGCGGGCAATGCCGCAGGTGGAAACTAGTAAAATAATATAATGGAAGAGCCATTCTTCGTCACAAATGGGTCGCCATGACTGAAGTGATACCAGAGTCTCATAGAATTCTGTCGTAAAACAAGTACAGCGTTGTGTTTCACGGTATTTCGAAGACCCTAATCCCCAACAGGCGGGCAACGCACTCGTAACTCCTCAAGGGCGACGCCGATTTGCTTACCATCAGATAGTCCGTCTGCTAGTTTGCCGTCCTATCACATAAGCAAAGGGGATCTGGGAGGTTCCGATGGAGAAGAAAAAGTAAGATGGTGGTTAGCTTCTCTTTTACAAAAAGTTACATTATTTGGTTGTTATAGTTTTTCTTTTGGAGTGATCCCTGATAGTCTACAAGAAGTCGGTAACACAGTTGTAACTAACTCCTTTGGTATTACATGTGTCCATGGGCGGCGCTTATTGCTTACCGCCAGGTAAACCGAATGCCCGTTTGCCTATGACATAAAAAACCAAATTCAACTGTGTATTACCTTTATATCCAAGACTGGCAGTGAGTAATGAGTCCAGTGCATAATATTTCTCTCCTGGCTTGAACAGCACCTCGGGTTTGTCTCCAGCCACCGACTGAGTGTTGGCGCGGAGACGTTCTTGGTATCGAGAGAGCTGGACGTTTAGTCTGGAAGGTCATAAGTATATCATGGTGTATATTATACTTTGATAGCATGACTGGTCCGCTGGATGAGGAGACGGCTTCCCAGTCCTTGTCGCTTTGGGCCATGGCCTGAACTAAGACAGGGCGCGAGAGCTCGCGTTTCTAAGAAAACATAATAATATCATGACACTCCGCCATCGTATGCTACACTGTGTCTTCATAATTTTTCACGCACTTTTATACAGGTTATATGTGAAGTGGGGGATCTTAGCTTCGAATGGGTCGCCTCGACCGAGCGGAACCACGACCTCACAGAAAACCGGCGTGAATTCCGATCCTTCCCCAATTCCTAAATTTACGAAACTTTAATCCCCAAAAAGCAACACACTACCAACGCCTCTGGTGCTGTGGGTGTCTATAAAATAGACCAACAGAAGATGTCGAAAAGATCGTTGCTATCACTAACATGGCTAACGTTTCACTACAGGAACTTATTAGTTAGCGTCACATCATTGATCATTAAAATTTTGATAGCTAATATGATTGGTCTAACTGAATGCGCATACGCCTCGCTGAGTGAGAGAGGCGGCCCAATGAACCCCCTCCCCCATTATCAATCCCTAATAACCCACAAGTGGTCGGCCAGAGGCTGGTGGACGCGACGGAGGGAGATTTAAGGGGATTGGGGAGGGATTCCAATCCCTAAATCTCCAAAATCCTAATCGCCAAAGGTAAACTCCTCCGCTTTTGCCACCAGGTAATCCGTCTGATCATTTGCCTATATTAAGTGTGGGAGAGCCAAGCTTCGGCACGAATGGGTCGGCTCGACCGGAGTGATACCACGGCCTCACAGAATACCGGCGTGAAATAACCCACAGCGTTGTGTTTCGCCGTGTGAGTGAGGTTACCGGAGGCCCAATCCCTCCCCTTCCCCTATCCCTTCCCAATCCTTATATCCGCAACCCCTATCCCCAAAAGGCCGGCAAAGGCCGGCAACGCACCCGTAACTCCTTTGGTGTTGCGGGTGTCCATGGGCGGCGCCGATTACTTACCATCAGGTAATGCGTCTGCTAGTTTGCCGACTTATCCCATAAAAAAAATTTGCCGACCGATGACATTCAAAATACGCTACATACGCCATCTGGAGTTAAGAAATCTGTGTAAAACCCCCCATTTAGCCATTCTTACCTGTATAGAACATCTTTGAGAGCCTGCATATCTTTCTGCAGGCGCGTGTTATGTTCCCGCGCCTGGTTCAATATTATCTGCCGACTGCTGCAGCTCATGCATACTTCTACTAGAGGAATAACTGTTGAGGACTCGTGGTCTGGAAAGAAAGGAAAAATTTGGTTGAAAATATTAATTATTTATATTTGATGCACTACTATTTTTAGAAAGAAAATCAATTTCTTAACTGTTTAAAGCTAGTTTCATGCATATTTACGGGCCGAAGCAACGAAAACATAAGGTGCAGTTCGCCGCCCGACCAGAACCAGACCCGAGCGTACGGCGCGTAGCGTTCCGCGCGTGCCTCAAAGAACCAATAGACCACCACAGACGGGGCCCTATAGAGCTGATGTTTAGCCGGCGTTGTGGGGCAAGCAGAATAAGGCACCGCGGCTTAGGACTAAAGCAGGAGAAGGAACGGAGGGGTTTTTAGTCAGTAAGAGCCTGACCCTCCCTCTCACATCACCCTAGGCGACAGAAGTCATAAAAGGCATCCCGCCATCCCCCCTCCCCCCACGATAAAAAAATTGTGATGAGTGATATTAAATGTTTGCGAATATAATCAAGTGATTGGTGCGTTGTTTTTATTTGCATGAGCTTTCTAACGAGTCTGCAGGTATTTAAAACAACGTAATGTACAACGTCTTTTAAATCTAATCATTTGAGACTTGGGAGAATAGTAAGGTATGTTAATTATTGATATATTTTTGAGACACCACCAAACACAAACTTACCATGTAAGTTTGTGTTTGTTTGTTTGTGGGCTTCCCAAATAAAAAAACTACTTTATAACCTTTCCATTAAAGTATACATTCAAACTATCCAATAGCATTGTAAAAAACTAAGTATCTCACCTCTATCAGGCAACTCATACTGCTTAACTTTCTCTTGCAACTCCTTTACTCTGCCATCTAACGCTCTATTCCTCTCCCTCTCTTCTTTAATCACCTTCTTGCATTCTTCTGCATATTTCACTATAGTTTCATATTGACTGCGCAATTGATCGTTCTCTTCTGCGAACAGCTTGTTGTACTCCAGCACGGATTTTAGTTTCTCTTTTAATTTGGCAATTTGAGAATCTTTTTCTGATAGCTGTGGAGAGAAATTATTATATTAAAATAAATTTCAAATCTATACTAATATTATAAAATTTGTAAGTTGTAAGTTTGTATGTAGGGGGTAATCTTTGGAACCGCGGGTCGGATTGCCAAAATTCGACTGGTAGATAGCTACAATGTTTCTGAGTGCTATAGGGAATAAAACATCACGCTACGCTTAAATGGAGCCGAGCAGCGGGTGAAACGGCGCGAGCGCGGCGCGGCGTATTCCTGCATTTTGAATTCCATAACATTGTTACTCAGGAACAAGTGGGACACAGTAACAGAAGTCACGGGCAACTACACCCTAAGTATTCTTATTTTCCTACCTATATTACAAATATAACGCACGAGCACACAACCCCGTGCAATATAGGATCCTGTCAATTAAGTATTACAATTCGACCAAGTATTAACTACTTACTTGTCAAGAACCCAATTGCTGACATAGATTTTACCTAATTTATGCTAGTTTTTAAAAGCGTTAAACGCCACATCTCCATACAAACCTTCAAGTCAAAAATAATAGGAAACTACTTGGTCTCTCACGTAATGCGTCATGATCAAGAAAATGAATTAGATAAGGGGCAAATCGAGTGAGAAACTAGTCTTTAATTCATCAAAACCCAAGCAAAGGTTCACGGTCCTAATATTCTTTTATTGTGTCTCGAGTTGCCACAATTGAAAGGTTAAAAATAAAAGCTTATTATCATCACCTGAACAACATTTTCTTCACATCTCTCCATCAAAGAATTAACGAGTTGTTCATATTTTTTCGTTAATTTTCTCTTCTGTTCTTTCAGAAGCGACTTCCCTTCTTTCGAAGCCCTTGGAGAAGAGACTGCTATGCCTTGGATGACCCTCTTTCTTGGAGGTTTCGCTGGTTTCTCACCTGGAATTTGAGAAGATCTTCTGTATAAAATTAAACTAAGAAAGGAGATTAATTTTTCTTCATTCTGTTAACAATACCTACAAAGATTAACTAGGTAATTAACAATCAAATACAATATTTTATTAATGGATAAATTGTAACAAAAAATAAATCTGGGTGTAAACCGTCCCATATATTGGCTGTTTGAGGGAAAAAAGTAATTGAATGACTTCTCTCGCCGTGAGTTTCTACCCTGGATATGGAGTGTGAGACTCTTACTGACTTAAACGCACACCATTCCTTTTCACCGACTTCAAAAAAAGGAGGAGGTAGGTACTATGTTCGGCTGATTGTTTTTTTTGTATGTTCACCGATTACTCCGCCATTTATGAACCGATTTCCAAAATTCTTGTTTTGTTTGAAAGGTTATACTCCCGAGAGGGGCCCATTTTCATAAGGTCTGGAGATCTGATGATGAAATCCTAGTTTCCCTAGGTGCCAAGTGAATCATCAAAGTCATAACAAAACAACAACAGTATTAGAAAACTATATTGATCGGTACCTCCTAATCATCAAACTAACAATAGGTATTTTTGTTGTGTGTTATAGGTAATCTTTACACTATTTTTTTTTACTTGGCACCGAATTCAAGATTATGAAAAGGTTATTAATATTATTTTCTATTTAACTAAATGAAAACATCTATTAATTTCTGAAAAAGAAAATTTATGTTTTGCTTTTTGGTTTACTTTTTGAAGTCGGAATATTTTTGTTAAAAATTATTTTGTATGACATAGGTCGACAAACGAGCAGACGGTTTACCTAGTGGTTAATAATCGGCGCAATACCAAGGAAGTTACTACAAGCACGTTGCCGGTCTCTTGTGGGTCATTTAGTTACAGCGACATAAATACCTACATTCTATGGCATAACCACCACACCACAGTTGCGGGACAAGTTGCAGCGTGGGAGATTGGTTCATTGGTTCAAGCATTGGGCATTTGAGAATTGAGGATAAGGGTGAGGGAAAGGGCTGGGTCTCCAGTGACCTCACTCACACGGCGAATCACTCCTGCTTCAGGCCGGGGCCAAAGTATATTATTGAGCTTGACCCGCACCCCGGCTGATCCCTTATATTGGCTTAACTACTTACTGACAAGGGCGTTACATAGTTGAACTAATTTACTTAAGTTAGTTTGTCATATTTAAGTGAATTTCACTTCGAGAATTAGTAGGATAGCCAAGGATAAATAAAGGTAGCCGTTTAGCAACATGGGAACCTACTGAATTTAAAGATATGGTGATACAAATAAAAATGGTTTGACAACATTTCCCTCCTCCGGTGGGAGAATAAGGTATCTACAACTTTCCAGAGTTATTCA